TCTTTTGGAAAGAATGTTTCAAAGGAATAGTTTCACCGTATTAAAAACGAGAGTTGAGTTCACGTAACAGGACAGAGGTAAATTAATCACTAATCACATTAAATAAATCACAATCTTCATAAAGGGCTTTGGAATGATGGTGAAAACTTGGATAAATGTTGGGATTCCAGCGCCTTCAGAAAGTATTCACAACCCCTTGACTTATTCCACATTTTGTTGTGTTACAGCCTGAATTCTAAATGGATAAATATACGTTTTTTTTTTCATCCATCTACACTCAATACCCCATAATGACAATCTGAAAATATGCTTTTGAAATGTTTGCTAATTTATTGCAAATGAAATAGAGAAAATCTCATTTACATAAGTATTCACAACCCTCAGTCAATACTTTGGAGAAGCACCTTTGGCAGCGATTACAGCTGTGAGTCTTTTTGGGTAAGTCTCTAAGAGCTTTGCTCAACTGGATTGTACAATATTTTGCCATTATTCTTAAAAAAATTATTCAAGCTCTGTCAAGTTGATTGTTGATCATTGCTAGACAGCCATTTTCAAGTCGTCATAGATTTTCAAGCCGATTTAAGTCAAAACTGTAACTAGGCCACTCAGGAACATTCAATGTCGTCTTGGTAAGCAACTCCAATGTATATTTGAAGATTTGGAATGGCCTAGTCAAAGTCCAGACCTAATCCCAATTGAGATGTTGTGGCAGGACTTGAAAACAGCAGAAAACCCACAAATGTTGCTCAGTTAGAGCAGTTCTGTATGGAAGAGTGGGCCAGAATTCCTCTACAGCGAAGCGAGAGACTGATCAAGAACTACAGGAAGCGTTTGGTTGCGGTCATTGCAGCTAAAGGTGGCACAACCAGTTATTGAGTGTAAGGGGGCAATTACTTATTCACACAGGGGCATTGGGTGTTGCATACAGTGCCTTGCAAAAGTATTCATCCCCCTTGGCGTTTTTTTCCTATTTTATTGCATTACAACCTGTAATTAAATTGATTTTTATTTGAATTTAATGTAATGGACATACACAAAATAGTCCACATTGGTGAAGTGAAATGAAAAAAATAACTTGTTTCAAAAAATTCTAAAAGATAAATAACGGAAAAGTGAGAATCTGTGAGAATTGAGAATCTGTGGTATGACTTAAAGATTGTTGTACACCAGCGGAACCCATCCAACTTGAAGGTGCTGGAGCAGTTCTACCTTGAAGAATGGGCAAAAATCCCAGTGGCTAGATGTGCCAAGCTTATAGAGACATACCCCAAGAGACTTGCAGCTGTAATTGCTGCAAAAGGTGTCTCTACAAAGTATTGCCTTTAGGGCGGTGAATAGTAATGCACGCTCAAGTTTTCTGTTTTTTTTTGTCTTATTTCTTGTTTGTTTCACAATAAAAAATATTTTGCATCTTCAAAGTGGTAGGCATGTTGTGTAAATCAAATGATACAAACCCCAAAAAAATCCAGTTTAATTCCAGGTTGTGAGGCAACAAAATAGGAAAAATGCCAAGGGTGGGTGAATACTTTCGCAAGCCACTGTAACTTTGTTTATGAAATACATTAAATAAGTATGTAATTGTTGTGTTATTTGTTCACTCAGGTTCCCTTTATCTAATATCTGGTTTTGATTGAAGATCTGATAACATTCAGTATTACATTCATATTAAAAATCCTATTTATTAAATGTTCCATGTTGTCTATTTTAAAGGGCACTTTGTTTAATATAACAGGCTTATTTGTGCACAACTTCTACTTAAAATATCAAAGGGACACAAAAGGCATTCATTTTTCACACACAGCTAACATTCTGTCCATGGCTGCTCGGCTGGAATTAGCAGGTAGACAACATGACATGAGGAATGTGTCAGTCATCGGCCTGGAGAGTGAACCTCTTCAGTATGACAAATATGACGGCGATGCTATCAATTTACCACACAGATAAGGAATGAGTTACAATGACTTTGACATTAAGGGTTGCCCTATTTCCCGGGGCAAATGACCTGACAAGTCACGGTAGTTGAGCATGCTCTGTTGTTGCACCATTGGGCAGGTGATTTATTTTTTTACTAATAACAACCAAATGATATATTTCCAGTAGTCTGGTCTTTCAGGTTCCTCCCCTGTGTGTAGGTAAAAATAACTAATTTAGAGTTTAGTGTGTGAACCAGTATGTCAGACTTCTGTATTTCATAATTCTAGTACATAGTTGTGAAATTGTATTTTGCATTGCCCAATAGTCACACTATTGTGTAAATCTTTAATTCAAGGAAAACCGGCTTTTTGGGCGCTCCTCATTCTGTGGCGTTATTACTCATCAACAATGTGACTGTCACTCAAAACATCATTTCCAATTTGGTTCCTTTTCTGCAGACGTGCGCTCAAAGTGGGTTATAAACTAATAACTCCTACAGATTCAAGCCAATCAAACTCGATTCACTCGAGTGGCCTTTAATTGCCTATGTGAATGACAACCTCGTCTGCTAATTTGATCTAGTAGCATGGTCCGCGTAGTCATCCTTTTATTAATGAATTATACCTCATCCCTTTATTAACTAATTATACCTCATCCCTTTATTAATAAATTATACCTCATCCCTTTATTTATTAATTATACCTCAAAGATGCAACTAAAAAATGAAGTGAAGAAAACTGTCTAAAACAAGCTTCAGTGGAGAAGCACTGTTGAGGACGCCTTTTGCTCCATCAGGACTTTTTGAATTTAGCATTTAAGTCATTTGGGTCAAGTATCACTCTGTCTGGACAAAGTCGAGTTCCTCACACTCTCGTTAGCTACAAGCGCAGAGAGCCATTTCCCTAGTGCACCATACCGCTCTGGTCAAAAGTAGTGCACTATGTAGGGAATAGGGTGGCAATTGGGACGGAGATGTCTGATTCACACTCTGAGAGAAAGTGGTCCAACAGCAGAACACTCTCACTGGTGACTGGTCGGGAGAAGTGGTGGTGTGAGGGTTAGGGCCACGGTCAGGTGGTCACACACACACACACACACACACACACTTCCCCTTCTTTTCCAGGACTACTGAAACTCTGTAGGCTGACACATCTTCCACAGAACAGAACACAGCCTCCAGCAAAAAACGTACTCCTGGAGTCCCCTTTGACCTCCTGGCAAGCAGTAAAGCTGTTCAGAGCGATTGTATAATACCTGAGCACATTTCTATACATTATAATGCTTGAATTAAGTCTATAATGTAAATGTTATCAATGGATTTTTGGTAGTCTTACTCCCAGAATGAGTTCAATCCCAGATGGCAACCCTATCAGTTTAGGGAACTGGTAACATCAAAGCTTCAATTTATGTTGAACTTATACCTGTGTAGTTACATTGTAATAACAACATTATACCTGTGTAGTAACATTGTAATAACAACATTATTACAAAGTAATTAGAGATTGCAATGACAGTTAGCCCAAACATGTACAATCAATGGGTAGGCTATGTGTCAGTTAGATCTAACTGATTATTTCTGAGATAACATTATGATTATGTAATCATGTTCATCATGAGGCTATAACGTAAGCTAGATACAAATTTAGATTTGGCATTTTATTTGCTACAATAATGTGATGGTGTGTGTCACAATAACAAGATATCAGAGCTAAGAATGAGTGATAAGAATGGCCATTGCAATAGTACGACCCAATAGACTAGTCTATTGCTCTTAAAAGCAGAATATGCTAGTCTTCGTTTCTTCTTGGTGTCAGACTTCTGGTTACAAAACACAGGGAAATAAAACAACTTACCTGGTAAGGTAAGGTAAGGTAAGGTAAGGTAAGGTAAGATGGGTAAGGTAAGGTAAGGTAAGGTAAGGTAAGGTTTATTTTATTTTTATTTTGTTCACCTTTATTTAACCAGGTAAGCCAGTTGAGAACAAGTTCTCATTTACAACTGCGACCTGGCCAAGATAAAGCAAAGTGAGCTAGGTGAGGCAAGGCAAGGTAAGGCAAGGTAAGGTAAGGCAAGGTAAGGTAAGGTGGGTAAGGTAAGGTAAGGCAAGGCAAGGCAAGGCAAGGCAAGGCAAGGTAAGGTAAGGTAAGGTAAGGTAAGGTAGGTAAGGTAAGGTAAGGTAAGGTAAGGTAAGGTAAGGTAAGGTAAGGTAAGGTAAGGTAAGGTAAGGTAAGGTGAGGTAAGGTGGGTAAGGTAAGGTAAGGTAAGGTAAGGTAAGGTAAGGTAAGGTAAGGTAGGGCAAACGTAATCAACCCCATCAACATTCTGACCACTGATTCCAACCACCACTTGTTATTTAAACCTGAATAGGATCACTCATAGGGGAGTTAGATCACGTTAACATCACATGTGTTTAAAAGCCGTTAAAATCTGTGAAAACAGCTGTGAAAACAGTTTCAGATGATCCAAGCTCCTGATATAGTTGCATTTAGACAAGCATGCTGAGAGGGGACAATAGTCTCCTAGTACTAGCCATAAGGGTTAAACAGGTTTAAATGAAATTAGCTCACATTGTCTGAGCATGGAAACTTTCAATAGGCCTACAATAAATTTGATTTAAACATTTGTAACATGTAGTAAGATAACTCATGGAACAGCATTACACACATTTTCAAAATATTTATCTCTAGGCTATCCCAAACCCTATTTTAAATATTTGTTTAATGGTGACTCAAGGTTCAGTGTAAATTGTGAGTTGAATTTTGATTTAAATTATTGACAAAGTATAACCAAAATTGTAAGAAATTAAACGGGCTTAAGTTAATCAAACATGTTACCTATTTTATTTTTCTCAGCTGTAACTTCATTCCTTTTGCCACATTATGTATGTGTAATGATTGCATTTGTATGTTTTCGACAAGTATGTGCCATGGCGTAACATGCTTGCAAGTATTTACCAACTTTCAGCCCCCCCCCCCCCCCCCCCCCCCAACAAGTGGGTTGGTCTATGAATCGCTCGCGTCATTCTTTGTGGAGGGAGGATCCCCAGTACTTTATAGGCTCGTCTGAGCAGCGGAGTGGAGAGAGACAGAGAGAGACAGAGAGAGACAGAGCGCAGTAACCTAGCTCACCGGAGGACCGCTTTATATACCGGAGCTAAATTTACCATCATCCTGAACGCATTTCCTCGCTGGCGCACAATTGGTCCAGCTTCTCGGCTACCATATTTATAAGTTTGGACGACCTTCTACTGCTTGCTGGCGTCTTTGAAGCGCACCTTTCGAACAGTTCGATAGAAAGCACTTATTCTGGTGCAAGGTGAGCTCAAAAGGGCACTCATTCACTGAATCAACTTTGACAAGAAATAAATAAGCATTTACTGTATCTTTAAAATGGCTTTATCCGATGTGATTTTGCCACCCATCTCGACATTCGCAAACCAAACCAAAAGTTTAGAAGACGTAAGTACAGACCTCAAACTTGTATGATCAGTTTTGTGTTTCGGTATAGCCGTCTGTTGCAGATTCACCTCTGTGTGTATTGTGTCATATATCTAATGCCTTTTTCCTATTGGTTATTGCAGAGGTGGAAAAGTGACATGGACAAACCGATGTCTTCCAGCTGCTCAATGCTTGATATGGTACAGAACATGGACTGTCGGAGCATCGAAAGGAAGGACGACGAAGATCTGAGCAACTACTTAGATCTGGATTTCATTCTGGCCAACACCACTGGATCAGACAGCATGGCTACCGCTGCACTGGGAGCAGGTGTAGCCTTGTATAACATGCCCTCAGCGGATCATCCAGGCAACCTGTTCACCACCGGGAGCCCGATGCCATCCTACCCGTCCAGCGAGCATAACACCCCGCCTCCCCCCTACAGCACCAGCCTGATGGCGGAGCTTCTCAGGTCGGAGGGAGAGAACAACTACGGGGTCGGTTTTACGCGTAATACCTCCAGCATCCAAGGAAGGTTTTATGTAAACTCTGCACTGTTTCCCATCAGACAGGACATTATTGATAACATCAAAGTGGAGCCGTCCATGGACGGTTATGGACCCGTTATGGGCATGGTCCCCCAGAGCTGTCCTAAAATAAAGCAAGAGGGCAACGTGTCGTGCATGATGTCCTTTGAGCAGCCGAGAGTAGCCGTCTCTCCGCGGGCAGCCAGCAACATGACGCCGCCGCACAGCCCCAACGACCAGGGGAGCTCCGAGTGCCACCAGCAGGCACCGATGTGTCACTCCATGAGCTTCCCACAGAACTACCACTCCTCGGCTGCGTACACACACCACCACCCCGGGGCGCCTCCAGCCGCCCAGATGCAGCTTGGACCATACCAAGGCGCTCACCAGTTCGGCATGTACGAGGAGGGACTGCAGCCGAACACACAGAGGGTTCTGCTGACGCCCCCGTCCTCTCCGCTGGAACTGCTGGAGCCCAAGCCCAAGAGAGGTCGCCGCACCTGGCCGCGGAAGCGCACGGCTATGCACACCTGCACATTCGCTGGGTGCGGAAAGACTTACACCAAGAGTTCACATCTGAAGGCGCATCACAGAACGCACACGGGTAAGGAATATATATGTTATTGTTGTTTTTGATGAATTACGCAATATTATGTCTAACCTTATGCATATATGCTATTACACAGCCATATTATTGGTGAATACAGATAGTTGCTTGACTGTTGATGTTATCCCAATGAGAGCTAATGCTGACGTTTCTCTTTTCTTTGTCTCTGCAGGTGAAAAGCCATACCATTGCAGTTGGGAAGGTTGCGGCTGGAAATTCGCTCGCTCCGACGAACTGACCCGGCATTTCCGCAAACACACCGGCCACCGGCCCTTCCAGTGCCACCTGTGCGAGCGCGCCTTCTCCCGCTCCGACCACCTCGCGCTTCACATGAAGAGACACATGTGAATGTGATGTACACGACTTGGACTGATGGTGGGTTATTATTAAGGGGTGACCGTCAGCCCTATTTTGTTTTAACTGTCTTTTGTTTTTAATTTAAAATGTTTTACATGCCAAAGAAAAAAAAAGAAAAAAAAAAAGTATATTATTTTCTAGTAATGTAGCTGGTACTACCTTGGTTGTTGTAATATTAAACCTGTAGAAACGCTTGGTAGGGTGTTTGGTTGTATGTGGGGCTGGCCCTGTACTTTTTATCTTTCCTTGGAAAAACTGGAGTGCTGTGTTTGACATAAAAGTGCCTTTTCTATTGTTCTGTCTGTGAGCTACTGTAAAAACTGTCCACAGCAGAACTACAAGGCCACCCAAATAAGACACGTTTACTTAGTCTGCTATGAGTGAAATACAATGTTTTGTTATTGAAACTGCCTCAATTATTTGAATGGCCCAAATACTGTTGCTTACCTTACCCTCAACTGTTTTGTTTTCATGGAAATCTTTTGGATGAAATTGTATGTGTTGGGTGCAAAAAGACGGGTCCAGACTCATTGTACACTAACCAAGGCTAGATGTCTTGTGTATCCTTATTTTTGACTGAAGTCTATATTAATTTTATACTGTAAATGGTGTATTTATTGTAAATATTAAAATACATTGAAATATATTCTTGATTTTTGTATTTCATTCTTGATTTATATTTCGATATGTGCAATGATGCATTTAGCCGCATAGTCACCAAAGATCTTCCTTATTTTGAGAAAGTTGTTGAGACATTATACTAGTTTAGTAAACCACATCCATCCCTGAATATGGGCTTTATATTTAGACTGTAGATGGAGGCAGTAGGACAGACCTAAGATCATACAGACAATCTATCACACAGCCCATTAGAATATAGACGTATGCACACTGCTACTCTATACACCCCCTCTCAACCTCAAAGACTTGGTTCAACTGAAACTGTTTTTTCCAGCTGTTACTCTGACTAGGCCAGTCTTTTGCGGTTTCAGCCTATAAATACAAACATATTTCCATAATTACAGGCTGGCTGGGCTAGGGAGATGTCTGGAAGGGACAGGGGGCACAGCAGTCCCAAATGTCACTTTCTTTATTCCCTTATTTAGTGTACTACTTTTGTTATTTTATGGAATAGGGTGCAATTTGGGACGCACCTCTTTTATGGCTAAATTATACACAGACATCAAAAAGGTCCTTTACATTCAACTGAAATGATACACACTCCTTCAAAAACCTTTTAGCTGAGCTGCTAACTGATCACACCTCCCATTATAAGTGGCACTACTCTGTCGCTGAAGGAGACACATGTAGGACAGGTGGGAGCAGAGAGCTGCACTTTGTATCTCTCTCTCAATATCTCTGCATTTAGGTACATTGCATTGACTATTGGTCCATTTGAGAGGATTTGACCATTTGCAGAGGAAAAAGGCCCTTCATAGATTTCAGTTCAATCTGCCAACATCTTGTTAGAATACATCAAGTAAAAAAAAAAAAAAAAAAAGTAGTAAAAACCTGGCTAAAAATAACTCATTGAGTAGTGAAATGCAAATCTAACATTCTCATTTCACTTTTCTGTTCTTGTGAAAGTAACTTTTACTTCAGAGAGAGAGGGGAGCGAGAGGGGGAAAGAGGGGGAAAGAGAGAGAGAGATGAGAGAGAGGGGAAAGAGAGAGAGAGAGGGGGATAGAGAGGAGAGAGATGAGAGAGCGAGAGGGGGAAAGAGAGGGAGAGAGAGATGAGAGAAAGGGGGAAGAGAGAGGGGGAAAGAGAAAGAGAGAGGGAGAAGGAGAGAGAGAGATGAGAGAGAGGGAAAGAGAGAGATGAGAGAGAGAAAGAGGGAAAGAGAGAGGAGAGAGAAAAGAGAGAGTGTGTTTCTCTTTGAAACAAGACACCAACCATTTCCTGGTATGTTACACGATGTTTTATTTATATTCAAAGATATACACAGGATGACAATTACTTTAAGAAAAATCCCCAACCTTGAAGGAATATTTATAATCATATATACTGTTACACATGAAATTAGCCATTTTGGTTGTGGATAAGACAGAGTACATTACTTCTTAATGCATCTCGGTGTGACCAATACAATACACCTTCAGGTCAACACTGGAGAATGAGTTTCAGCACAGAGTTCTTTGAATATACACACACTGTGTTTGCATCCCAAATGGCACCCTATTCCCTACGTAGTGCACTACTTTTGACCAGGGCCCCTAATGAACAGGGTGCAATTTGAGACAACATTAAGAGTTAATTGAATAAACACACATTGTATGTGCCAAAATAGTCTTCTGAAAATGAATTAAATAATATAAAAAGAAAAGTCATTCTAATGCCCTAGTTGAATAAATCCATAACGGATTACACTTCAAAAATCAGCCTACTGAAGGCATTATAGAGTTTAGCGTTAAGAAATAACAACGGAAATACAATCAATCTAAATGTTGACAGTGAGAGGTGAGAGATCAACCCCCCCCCCCATATCCTTTAAGGCAGAAGAGTTTTTGAACGTGTCATTCTTCTGTTGGGATGTAAGGCAATACAGTAGCGAACCCAGAGACAAGCAAACAACAAAACAATGTCTTTCCATAATCTAGAGATTTCCTCACCAAAAAATAGATTTTCACCAGAAATCAGGAACACAAGCACACTCACTGACAGAGAAAGAGTATGCTAAGTTTAGACTTTTAATATGAATGTTTCTAAGCAGTTATTAAAGGGTATATTATACAGCTATAACAGTGTATGTACAGACACTTCATAAACCACAAGTGCATGATCTTTCCCTATATAAATAATTAAAATTAAATAAAAAAAATGTTAAAATCTTTGATGTTTCCTCACAACAAACGATGAAGCAATGCAAAGGGAAGCATCCAGAGTCTCCCCACAGAATAACTACGGGGACTGCTAGAGTTAGACCACTGGCCGTAGCCAATCAGAGTTAAGTCACTCTTGATTTAGGCTGTGGTCAGTCAAGCTTAAGTCGGACTAAAGTCAGGCTAAAGTGGAGCTGAGCTGTGGTTGATTATAGTTGTGATGTGGCTGACTAGAGGGCCATTGAGGCTGATGACAAAGAGGTTAAAGAGAGGTTTTGGTAGGTTAGAGTCTTCATAAAGTCTGGCTTCAGTGGTGCTGGATCGGTAGCGGGGCTGCCATCCCATCTGTACATATTAGGCCCAATCCCAAATTGACCCCTAAACCCAACACCCTAAGCACTTGTGGAGATCGGAGAGGATTTGATTGGTATAAGCAACATGGGGAAACTTCCACCTAGCCTATCAGAGAGCAGGGTGGAGCTATTACCAGATTACTTACACCTGTCAGATCCTCTCAGATCTCCGCAAGTGCATAGGGCGTAGGCGTTTAGGGGACGATTTGGGCCACTGTCTAGAGGGACTGCTGTCAGAACGCCACAGAGCTGTATCGGTAGAAGGGCTGCTGTCAGAACGTCACAGAAGTTGTAGTTGTTGGGGGTGTACTCCAGTTTTGTATTGGGGGAGTACAAGAGTTATAGTCTAGCTGTATTGAGGTCTGTAGACAACGCTGTTCTCCGGCTGTAGTCAGACGGTAGTATTTGGGCTGTTGAGGAGCTGTTGCTAGTAGTGCAGCTGTATGTGGGCTGTACTGTTTGATGTCAGTCAGCAGCATTGTTTTATTCAGCTTTGTAACAGGACTGTGGTCAGGTGGTGTGTGTTGTTGCGAGTGTGTAACAGGGTTGTGGTTATTGTCTCGCGTTTGTAACAGGGTTGTGGTTATTGTTGCGAGTGTGTAACAGGGTTGTGGTTATTGTTTGCGAGTCTGTGACAGGTTTTTTTAGTTTTCATCCTTGCTGAGGGCGATGGCCAGTTCCAGGTCCTCCTGTTCCTGTAGGCGGAGTCTCCTCAGCCTCTCTTGTTCCTCCCGCTCGCTCTCCCTCGTCGCCCACGCCAGCTGCTCTGATTCACTTCCAAACTACAGGAAGGTAAAGGGGACACGTCACACGCTGGATACAAGGGGAGAGATGCACACAGACACACAGACCTAAAGCCTGCATATGTCAAAAGGGTCTCGTACTCAACTTTTACATTTGGGAGACAATAGTGAGCGTTAAAAACATTTGCGATCAAATGATGGTGTTTGAACCGAGAAGTTGGAATTTGAGTAGTCATGAGTTCCAACTGTGGTAAAAACAGTTCATGGTGATTTATCGAATTAGTGGTGATTGATAAATATTGAATTCTTTAAATCAGTGAGAAAAAATAAAATAAAAATAAAGATTGCTGGTGCTACCAACTGTAACATGCCTCCATTTTCTATTCAGTGTGTCAAGCCACCTGATAAAAGAGGTCAATAGTAATCACCAAATCAGAGTGCTCGTCCAGTCAGAGAATGGAATGTAGAAAGGTTCTTCGCATGCAAAGAATTACATTTGGAAAAATCACACCCATCTCTAGTAATCTTACCTTGACACTTTCCAATCCTGGGAGAAAAACACATTACATACAAATGATAAAAAATAACAAGCACCTCTGCAGATTACGCAGATCAGATCACAAACAGACACTTCACAACACGTTGGCACCAGGACCTAGGTAAACAGCATCAACAAATGGTAGTACAATGCAACAACAAACGCAACAGAAAATGCAAAGCTGCCATGCCAGCAGCAGATCTACCAGATAGTATGGGAGACTAAAGAGAGAGATTCTGACAAGACTACTTACTGTACGTCTCCTAAGTGACAGAGAGTCACACGGTATAATATGCGAGCAGAACACTGACTGAGGGAGTGAGAGATGCCACAGAACTATTATAGCATAGATGATTGTCATTTGTGTTGTGTTGAACTAAGAACACTCAACCATGTTCTAGACACGTTTTTTTTTAAAGTTTGTTTAGCCAGATGTCAGAGACGGCACAGGAAGTGCCAGCGACCAGCCTCCAATGCCATGATGGTGCAGTAGGGGAGAGACAAGCAAGGTTGGGGTCAATTCCAATTCAATTCCAGTCAATTCCAATTCAATTCCAGTCAATTCCGAAAAGTAAAACAACTTCCAATTCCAAATCCTAGCTTTCCTCATTGAAAAGCATTGGAGAGGATTGGAATTTCAGTGTACTTCAGTGAATTGTCTGGAATTGAAACGGAATTGAGCCCAACCCTGGAGACTAGAGGAGCATGGACTGCTAATGCAAAGAAAATGAAGACTGTATCCTGATGTCTGGTGAGCTTTCTCAAGAGGTTTGTTCGTCAACACTACAGTACAGGTGATCTGTAATAATATGAAAATAAATATTGGGTAAAATGCTCCTTTTGCATCCATATCCCAGGTGGGGGTGGAAGGTCCTATTTATAGGGGCAGTACTCAGTGACATCACTTCCTGATGGTCTGTCTTACATAGGGAAAACCCGCAGAAGCCTTAAGACACGGATCTGTGAGCACCGCAGCAATATACGGACAGGTGAGACAGAAAATCTGGTTGCTGTTCATTTTGTACAAGCTGGACATCCTATTATCAATCAATCAAATTGTATTTATAAAGCCATTTTTACATCAGCAGATGTCACAAAGTGCTATACAGAAACCCAGCCTAAAACCCCAAACAGCAAGCAATGCAGTTCTCTGAGATACATTGGAATAGAAATGGTCAAGATGTCACGCAGGGGAGGGGACATTGAGAGGAAACTTCTTCAAAAAGGGAATCTTTCTGGATCCACAGGCTCAACACACCGTCTCCTCTTGGCGAGGAGTTTGACTTGAAACCGTTTTTATAGTTTCAATATGGCCAAATTGTATTTTCTTTTAAACGATAATTGAACATCGTATGAATATTGTATGTATATTACTGTAAATATTGATTGCATTCCTTGTGTATGATCATATATGTTGATACATTGAATGTTAATATTGTGTTACCTATGTTATACATTTTTTACCTCCTGTTTCAGGAAGTGATGTCACTGAGTACTGCCCCTATAAATAGGACCTTCCACCCCCACCTGGGATATGGATGCCTGATGAAGACCTGAGGGTGGAAACGTTGTTATAAATAAACATCACCTGGGAGTATGAGAAGCAGTGTGCCGTGTTTTCCTTTCTGTTTTTCATGAATTTACCTACAGCTCCAGCACCTGAGGAAAAGACCTAGATGTGCCTCTGTTCTTCAGCTTTTGTAAAATGCTCCTTTATAATACACATGGTTTGAGCACCTACAATCATAAAAACGACCCTGAAAAGCTATTCCAAGTGAATTGTTACAAATAAATCTATTGGATGGTGAAACGTTGCATAGCAACAGCTACTCCAGCTCGAGGTGCTAGAATGAGGCGCAGAAGAGAAATGAAAGAACTTGTGTTCCGCTCTAGATGTTCTGAGATGGCCACTACAAGCAGAAAGCAGAAAGCAGCAGTGGCTGGGACTGGACAGTAGGAGAACCATTGAGCTCAAACTTACAGAACCAAACCCTCTAGAGGTAGCTTTGCTGGAGACACGCGGAAGAGCAAAAGGATCTTTTATGCTGCTAAATGCGTCTCCAAAGGTGTTTTGAATTTGGAACGGGTCCCTTGGTTTTTCCAAAGCAGCAGCACCTCCACCACCCAACCCAAGTCCTAAGAGAGAACCATAAATATAGGAATGTTGTTGTGCAGTCCCATGAAAGAGATGTTCGCCCCCTTTCTGATATTTCTCTATTTTTGCATATTTTTGATACTGAATGATAATCAGATCTTTAACCAAAACCTAATATTTTATAAAGGGAATCTGAGTTTACAAATTAATTATTTATTTAATTAACAAAAGTTCTGCAACACCCAGTTCTGCATGGAAGAGTGGGTCAAAATACCTCCACGGCGACGTGCGAGACTGATCAACAACTACAGGAAGCGTTTGGTTATTGAGTGAAAGGGGGCAATTACTTTTCCCACACATGGGCATTGGGTGTTGCATAACTTTGTTTATGAAACAAGTGTGTAATTGTTGTGTTATTTGTTCACTCAGGTTCCCTTTATCTAATATCTGGTTTTGGTTGAAGATCTGATAACATTCAGTATGAAAGAAATATGCAAAAGTAGAGAAAAGTAGGAAGGGCGCAAATACTTTTCCACAGCACTGTGATTCTTGAATTTGTTTAAAGAGTACAGTACTTAGAATGACATAACAGTCTCACATTAGTTCCAGGCTACCGTTTAAAACTTTGTGACAATAATGTATTCGTTACAAGCACTACACAAACAGTATTTGGTGGAATTTAATTGATTGACTGACGTTACAAAATTAGGTCGTGTCTCGTTATATACAGAAAACCCCGGCATCAAAAGGTGTGTACATTTAAATGGCCCAACTACATTGAGCCACATTAGGAGAAGTACGTGTTGCAGTGATGAAAGTAGCAGTAGCAGGAAGAAGCCCAGAGCTGCCTGTGTAACACACTGAGACACTGGTTGTGTGTAACACACTGAGACCACTGGTTGTGTGTAACACACAGAGACACTGGTTGTGTGTGACACACAGAGACACTGGTTGTGTGTGACACACAGAGACACTGGTTGTGTGTAACACACTGAGACACTGGTTGTGTGTGACACACTGAGACACTGGTTGTGTGTGACACACTGAGACACTGGTTGTGTGTGACACACTGAGACACTGGTTGTGTGTAACACACAGAGACACTGGTTGTGTGTGACACACAGAGACACTGGTTGTGTGTGACACACTGAGACACTGGTTGTGTGTAACACACAGAGACACTGGTTGTGTGTGACACACAGAGACACTGGTTGTGTGTGACACACTGAGACACTGGTTGTGTGTGACACACTGAGACACTGGTTGTGTGTGACACACTGAGACACTGGTTGTGTGTAACACACTGAGACACTGGTTGTGTGTGACACACTGAGACCACTGGTTGTGTGTGACACACTGAGACACTGGTTGTGTGTAACACACTGAGACACTGGTTGTGTGTGACACACTGAGACCACTGGTTGTGTGTGACACACTGAGCCACTGGTATTAGGGCAGTAGGCATTGTGGAAGTAGCACTGGTTACATGAGGTATTAACCACAACGTAGTGAGGAAACACACTGAGGATCTGCCTGCTGTGCGTCTCAAATGGCACCCTATTTACTATAAAGTGCACTACGTATGGGAATACAAAAGTAGTGCACTACATAGGGAATAGGGTGGTGCCATTTTGGACACCGACTGACTTGAAAAAAAGCTGTAGAGAAAACACCATCACGTTCTCTGTGGCTTGTATTAGCAGGACTGTAGAGAAAACACCATCACTTTCTCTGTGGCTTGTATTAGCAGGGCTGTAGAGAAAACACCATCACTTTCTCTGTGGCTTGTATTAGCAGGGCTGTAGAGAAAACACCATCACTTTCTCTGTGGCTTGTATTAGCAGGACTGTAGAGAAAACACCATCACTTTCTCTGTGGCTTGTATTAGCAGGACTGTAGAGAAAACACCATCACTTTCTCTGTGGCTTGTATTAGCAGGGCTGTAGAGAAAACACCATCACTTTCTCTGTGGCTTGTATTAGCAGGGCTGTAGAGAAAACACCATCACTTTCCAATTGTGCACCGCCCCATGGGTCTCCCGGTCGCGGCCGGCTACGACAGAGCCTGGATTCGAACCAGGATCTCTAGTGGCACAGCTAGCACTGCGATGCAGTGCCTTAGACCACTGTGCCACTCGGGAGGCCTAATAAAGAGCTTCATTGTCCAACCTAGTATTTTTGTGTTTGTATTGTTGTAATGATAGGCTGGTTCTCCCTCTATTGCTGCTGTCCTGACATACAACACAACACTTGTTTACTATTGACATAACACAGATGGAGGTAATTAGCCTGTCAGTCAGAATTGTGGCCTTAGAAAGAAACCTAGAAAACCATCAGACTACCATCATGCTAGCTACTGTGTTAAACAACAACAACAACTACATTGTTGTAGTGGGCTTTTATAGGTGGCTTTTCTGTGCATCAAGCACTATAAAGAGTGTTGATGCCCATGTGAAATACATGGGTACAATTTGGATAGATATAAGGTAAAGCTGGGTGACCGAAAGGAGCACCCGTCGAGACCAGCTACACTCCACCCCTCCTCTCAGAGATAGAGGCTGAATAGTTGACGCGCCAGCACCAGCCTGTCATCCCCACTCGCTTCAAGATGGCCACCAATGTTCCTGTACACAAGCAAGCTCAGGTCACTGAACTGTCTATCGCCCAGTAGCACACGAGCACTCACTTCTGTCATGATGAAGTGCTTTGAAAGGCTAGTCAAGGACCACATCACCTCCACCATACCCGACACCCTTGACCCACTTCAATTTGTATACCGCCCCAACAGATCCATGGGCGATGCAATCGCTGTTGCACTACACACTGCCCTATCCCACCTGGACAACAGGACTACCTATGTGAGAATGCTGTTCATCGACTATAGCTCAGCTTTTAACACCATTGTGCCCTCCAAGCTCATCACTAAGCTCAGGGTCCTGGGTCTGAACTCCTCCCTGTGGAACTGGGTCCTGGACTTCCTGAAGGAAACAACACCACCGCCACGCTGATCCTCAACACAGGGGCCCCACAGGGGTGCGTGCTTAGTCCCCTCCTGTACTCCCAGTTCACCCATGACTGCAACTCAATAATCAAGTTCGCTGACGACACGACAGTGGTAGGCCTGATTACCAACAACGACGAGACAGCCTACAGGGAGGAGGTGAGAGCCCTGTTGGAGTGGTGCCAGGAAATTAACCTCTCCCTCAATGTCAACAAAACGAAGGTGCTGATCGTGGACTACAGGAGACAGAAGAGGGAGCACGCCCCTATCTTCATCGACGGGGCACCAGTGGTTAGGGACAAAAGTTCCTCGGCATACACATAACTGAGGACCTGAAATCAACCAGCGCCTCTATAACTTTAGGCAGCTGAAGAAATTTGCCATGGCCCCTAAGACCCTCACAAACTTCTACAGATGCACCACTGAGAGCATTCTGTCGGGCTGCATCACCGCCTGGTACAGCAACTGCAACGCCCTCAACCACAAGGCTCTCCAGACGGTGGTGCTGTCAGACCAACACATCATCAGAGGCTCGCTGCCTGCCCTCCAGGACATTTACAGCACACGGTGTCAAAGGAAGGCCAAGAAGATCATTAAGAACCTCAGTCACCCGAGCCATGGAGTGTTTACCCGGCTCCTTATCCAGCGTTATTTGGGTTTTTAATTGGATTCGTTGTACTTTTTTAAAACATTTTAATTATTTGTGTACTTTTGACATTGTTTGACATTTTACTGAGCGAGAGGCATGAGAGAGCGAGAGAGAGAGAGGAGAGGCGAAAGAGAGGCGAGCGAGGGTGAACAGTTGACACCACCACCACATCTGGACTGTGGCTGCTGCTAGGAGAGTGAGAGAGGTCACAGAGGAAGAGAGACACAGGCCACACACTGTTGGAGATGTGGGCAGAACACACACATACAGGGAGATGTCGGTCGTAGAGGTTGACACGGGTCTTGCGGGATTCTGGCAGGAATGGGAGTCAAGTTCGGGACAGGATCAACAGTCTACAGGAACGGGCAGTACAGGAATAGTTATAAACTGAGTTTTTGGGGTGGAAATATGTCATGTGTGGAGCATTTCATAAAAACAACAGCTGTAGCCTAATAAAGTTTACTTAATACAAATAAATACAAAGTAAATGGTGATTTCCCCCCTCCCGTCGGCTCACTCGCGCCTCGCTCCAGTTGTTGCCAGTCACTAGGCTACCTCAAAGTCAGATGCCAATCTACGTCAGTAGGCTTTAATGATGAAGCCTTCAAGGAATTGCAACGTCTTGTTGCAGCCAAGGACCCATCACGAACATTAACATTAGAGCCAAGGAAAGAGCGATGTTTTAGCTACATTTGATGGAGTTGTCTTTTACAAGGAAGGAAGCGAGTATGCAGATTGTAAAAAATGCTGCGTTTTAATCAAATAGTCTACCAACCAGAGAGCGGGACACGAAGCATGAAGCGGCATAGCTGCTCTACTCCTAACAGCTTTACTGTCAAGCCCAATTGTTCATGTATTTAACAAAACCTGTGATATCTAAGGTGAAGCGTGAAATATAAATAGGTTGACTTAGCCTATGCAGTCCTGCCGCTCAGGTTTTTTTTAATGTTCATGTTGTAAATGTTAATGTGTTGTAAATGTTCCTATGTGCTCAGTGCTCAGCTGTAGGCTACAGTGTTATGTGCTCAGTGCTCAGCTGTAGGCTACAGTGTTATGCCTGTAGGCTACAGTGTTATGGCTCAGCTGTAGGCTACAGTGTTATGTGCTCAGTGCTCAGCTGTAGGCTACAGTGTTATGTGCTCAGTGCTCAGCTGTAGGCTACAGTGTTATGTGCTCAGTGCTCAGCTGTAGGCTACAGTGTTATGTGCTCAGTGCTCAGCTGTAGGCTACAGTGTTATGTGCTCAGTGCTCAGCTGTAGGCTACAGTGTTATGTGCTCAGTGCTCAGCTGTAGGCTACAGTGTTATGTGCTCAGTGCTCAGCTGTAGGCTACAGTGTTATGTGCTCAGTGCTCAGCTGTAGGCTACATTGTTATGTGCTCAGTGCTCAGCTGTAGGCTACATTGTTATGTGCTCAGTGCTAAGCTGTAGGCTACAGTGTTATGTGCTCAGTGCTAAGCTGTAAGCTACAGTGTTATGTGCTCAGTGCTGTAGGCTACAGATTTCTGCCGGTGCTGTGCTGTAGGCTACAGATTTCTGCCGGTGCTGTGCTGTAGGCTACAGATTTCTGCCGGTGCTGTGCTGTAGGCTACAGATTTCTGCCGGTGCTGTGCTCTAGGCTACAGATTTCTGCCGGTGCTGTGCTCTAGGCTACAGATTTCTGCCGGTGCTGTGCTCTAGGCTACAGATTTCTGCCGGTGCTGTGTTGAGCAGACCTACCTGCTGTGGTCTTTGTCCTCATCCTCCAGCCTTAATGATCTAGAATACACTTATCCAGCTACTTAGACCTAAAGTCAGTCCATTTAACTCCAATAGGTAAGACAACCACATATCACAGTCGCATATTGCATTACTGAAATTATTTTAAATACTTCCTAAACAAACACAATAGCCTACATATTTCTGTGCGCAGGAATGAGCACGGGACGGGAGTGATTTTTCTCGGGAAGGGACAGGAAAGTTCCGGGGTTATAGAAAAACATTGACAGGACAAGACGGGACAGGACTGAATTTTCACTCCCGTGTCAACCAGAACACACACACACACACACACACTGAGGGAGATGTGGGCAGACCACACACTGAGGTAGATGAGGGCAGACCACACACACTTCCAGCTTTTGCGCAACTTTCTGTTGACCTTTGACCTGCTGGCAGCCTAACTTTGACCTGCTGGCAGCCTAACTTTGACAGACAGTTTGACCATTCAAACTACCCAGTGTCCATTACCTCACTACTAAAATTGTCATATTTTCTGACCACTGGTTAATTCATATCTTACTCTGGACACCTGATTTGGATGGTAAACAATACAATCAAAGTAATCAGTCTGTGCTCAAGCAAAAACAGACCTTATCTGTTCCAACAGCTTTCCTGTTTACCAGCTACTACAAAAGAAGAAGAAACGGAGGGTTCTGCACCCTCAGAACACAACCACACAGAGAAGGAGAGAAAAGGAGAAGTACTAACAAGGAGCTCACACACGCTCACACACACACGCTCTCACACACACACACGCTCTCTCACACACACACACACGCTCTCACACACACACACACACACGCTCTCACACACACACACGCTCTCACACACACACACGCTCTCACACACAAACACGCTCTCACACACAAACACGCTCTCACACACAAACACGCTCTCACACACAAACACGCTCTCACACACAAACACGCTCTCACAAGTTTAATAAGACAGTGTTAGAACACAAATGAGTCGTTCTGAAAAACTGATGCTACAAACGGTCACTTACCCCAACCTCTCCTCCTTCTAACTAACTAACATTTTCCAGAGGACACTCACAGGCTACGTACCACACGGCTCTGGTCAAAAGTAGCGGCACTATGTAGGGATTAGGGTGTCACTTGAGACACAGAAACAATAAAACAAGACTACAGTACTTAGAATGTTTTTTTTTTTTTTTTTTAAGAAAATGAATTAGATAAACAGATTTAATAATATAAGCGTCTATTTTAGCATTGTGGTATTACCCCTAGAAAGGTGTTTTAAAAGTTAGCCTCTATGCATCAGTTTTCAGAGTTTCTGTTCTGGTCCTTTGATGTAACAAGAGTTTCTCTTGTTTTTTTTGCTGACTAGGGAAGAACTGTGTTTTATAAGTACAATCACATGAGTTCCTTCTCATATTAGTGTGAGCACAGAAACGTGTGCATGAGTGCTCGCTCACACACACACACACACACACACACACACGCACGCACACCTACCATATGGAGGTGCAGGTCTGTTAGGCACGTTCTTGGGTGGCAGCGCAGGGTTGCTTGGCTTCTGCTCACAACGCCAGAATAAGACAAAAACATCCAAAATGAAGTTTTAAAACAGAGGTATTATACACCAGCATTTTGTTACGAGCCTACATCTCGTTGCCTTGACAGTCAGACAGTGGGTTTACTGCAAGGCCTCCGTGGATTCAGGGGGGAAATAAATATCATATCAATGTCAGTTATTTTATTAATATGGGAATAGTACTTCTATATTATTTACATCTACAACGCTCCCCTGTAACCTACCTTGTGGGACATTTGACTGAAGTCTGCGAATCCACCTTTTCCTCCAAAAGCGTTGCCACCGAAAGGGTCCACTGTTCCGAAACCATCTACAACAGAACAACACCACAACCATAAAAACACTTAAGAAAACAACCAAACACACTTAATATGGAAACATCTAGGGAACAAACTAGCTACTGAAGCTGCCTGGGAAACCACACAGAGAGAATCCAGTGGTGTGACTGCTTCATTTTCTAGGACTTTCCAAACCTGAAAAGTAGAGCTTGAAGACTGATGTATGCATCTGATTAACTACTTAAGACAGTGGTTATGTGAGAACCACTGTACAGAACAAGGTGGTTACTGTGAAGCAGGCACCGAGGGGGTTGCTGTGAGCGCACGACCGAGGTGGGTTGCTGTAGACACCGTGTCGAGCAACCGAGGGGGTTGCTGTGAGAGCGCACCGAGGTGGGTTGATGTGAGCAGCACCGAGGTGGGTTACTGTGAGCGCACCGAGGTGGGTTACTGTGAGCAGCACCGAGGTGGGTTACTGTGAGCAGCACCGAGGTGGGTTACTGTGAGCAGCACCGAGGTGGGTTACTGTGAGCAGCACCGAGGTGGGTTACTGTGAGCAGCACCGAGGTGGGTTACTGTGAGCAGCACCGAGGTGGGTTACTGTGAGCAGCACTGTGGTGGGTTGCTGTGAGCAGCACCGAGCTGGATTACTGTGAGCAGCACCGTGGTGGGTTACTGTGAGCAGCACGAGGTGGGTTACTGTGAGCAGCACCGAGGTGGGTTACTGTGAGCAGCACCGAGGTGGGTTACTGTGAGCAGCACCGAGGTGGGTTACTGTGAGCAGCACCGAGGTGGGTTACTGTGAGCAGCACCGAGGTGGGTTACTGTGAGCAGCACTGTGGTGGGTTGCTGTGAGCAGCACCGAGCTGGGTTACTGTGAGCAGCACCGTGGTGGGTTACTGTGAGCAGCACCGAGGTGGGTTACTGTGAGCAGCACCGAGGTGGGTTATTGTGAGCAGCACCGTGGTGGGTTATTGTGAGCAGCACCGTGGTGGGTTATTGTGAGCAGCACCGAGGTGGGTTACTGTGAGCAGCACCGAGGTGGGTTATTGTGAGCAGCACCGTGGTGGGTTACTGTGAGCAGCACCGAGGTGGGTTACTGTGAGCAGCACCGAGGTGGGTTACTGTGAGCAGCACCGTGGTGGGTTACTGTGAGCAGCACCGTGGTGGGTTACTGTGAGCAGCACCGTGGTGGGTTACTGTGAGCAGCACCGTGGTGGGTTACTGTGAGCAGCACCGTGGTGGGTTACTGTGAGCAGCACCGTGGTGGGTTACTGTGAGCAGCACCGTGGTGGGTTACTGTGAGCAGCACTGTGGTGGGTTACTGTGAGCAGCACTGAGCTGGGTTACTGTGAGCAGCAACGTGGTGGGTTACTGTGAGCAGCACTGAGGTGGGTTGCCGTGAGCAGCACCGTGGTAGCAGTACTGTGGAGTTGTTTTCCAACACTGCTGTATGCCTTTTTGACTTATCAAATACATTTCAGAGAGGTTTCAGAAAAATGTATAAACCATTGTAACAAAATATTTGTTTGTTGGGTCGTTCCTCCTCAAAAAGCACAAGAAAAGGACTGACACCCGCCATCTCAGATTGTTCTGAAATGGTTTCTGTAGTTAGTAACGGATATGATTAGCGTTCCTGAAACATTCTGTTGAAATATACAGTGCATTTGGAAAGTATTCAGGCCCCTTGACTTTTTCCACATTTTGTTACGTTACAGCCTTATTCTAAAATGTATTAAATAGTTTTTTTCCTCATCATTCTACACACAATACCCCATAATGACAAAGCAAAAACAGGTTTTTAGACATTTTTGCAAATGTATTAGAAATACAAAACTGAAATATCACATTTACATAAGTATTCAGACCCTTTACTCAGTATTTTGTTGAAGCACCTTTGGCAGCGATTACAGCCTCGAGTCTTCTTGGGTATGACGCTACAAGCTTGGCACACCTGTATTTGGGGAGTTTCTCCCATTCTTTTCTGCAGATCCTCTCAAGCTCTGTCAAGTTGGATGGGGAGCATCGCTGCACAGCTATTTTCAGGTCTCTCAAGATGACGTTCGATCGGGTTCGTCTGGGCTCTGGCTGGGCCACTCAAGGACATTCAGAGACTTGTCCAGAAGCCACTCCAGCGTTGTTTTGGCTGAGTGGTTAGGGTCGTTGTCCTGTTGGAAAGTGAACCGTCGCCCCCAGTCTGAGGTCCTGAGTGCTGTGGAGCAGGTTTTCATCAAGGATATCGCTGTACCTCGCTCCGTTCATCTTTCCCTCGATTATGACTAGTCTCCCAGTTCCTGCCGCTGAAAAACATCCCCACAGCATGATTCTGCCACCACCATGCCTCACCGTAGGGATTCTCCAGACGTGACGCTTGGCATTCAGGCTAAAGAGTTCAATCTTGGTTTCATCAGACCAGAGAATCTTGTTTCTCATGGTCTGAGAGTCCTTTAGGTGTCTTTTGGCAAACTCCAAGGGGGATGTCATGTGCATTTTACTGAGGAATGGCTTCTGTCTGTAACTCTACCATAAAGGCCTGATTGGTGGAATGTTGCAGAGATGGTTGTCCTTCTGGAAGGTTCTCCCATCTTCAAAGAGGACCTCTGGAGCTCTGCCAGAGTGATTGGTCATCTCCCTGACCAAGGCCGTTACCCCCCGATTGCTCAGTTTGGCCAGGCGGCCAGCTCTAGGAAGAGTCTTGGTGGTTCCAAACTTCTTCCATTTAAGATTGATGGAGGCCACTGTGTTCTTGGAGACCTTCAATGCTGCAGAATTTTTTTGGTACCCTTCCCCAGATCTGTGCCTCAACACAATCCTGTCTCGGAGCTCCGCGGACAATTCCTTTGACCTCATGGCTTGGTTTTTGCTCTGACATGCACCGTCAACTGTGGGACCTTATATTACAGGTGTGTGCCTTTCCAAATCATGTCCAATCAATTGAATTTACCACTGGTGGACTCGAATCAAGTTGTAGAAACATCTCAAGGATGATCAATGGAAACAGGATGCATCTCAGCTCAATTTCGAGTCCCATAGCAAAGGATCTGAATACTTTTGTAAATAAAGGTTGAAGCATTAGGTTGCTATTAGGACAAACTGAATCGCTTTCATGGAGGAGTGGCTTGAATTGTGAGGATGACCACACAATGTATTTTCATCATGAGCCAAATCTATTGGTTTTTCTACCCAAAATTGCAAAGGAAATGTTGTGATCTATTTAATAAACACAAGAGACCAGCAAAATGGATAAAAGAGTGTGCCGGTATAGCAGGAACAGTGGCATCTAGTGATCAAAACCTGGTACTTTCACACTACTTTACAGTAAATAATGCAAGCCACATCAAATACTAATTTCTCTGAACAGGGGGGGGGAAAAAAAAAACATCAACAGATTCACAGGGAATACATTACATAGTATGAAGAAGCAATGCGCCAAGCAGCAGCTTCATGCTACTCGTCAAACAAAGAGAACTGATACTGTGTACTGGTTGTTGAGGTGGGATTGGCATGGGGTGTGGGGGTTCCGTGGGTGGAACCCCCACACCCCATCTTTTGGGATTCCTCATGTCTTATTCATTGGTAGGAAGAAGTTTGGTCCAAATCGGATTCTGGGCACTATATTTATTGAATATTATCTGAATCCTATAAACTAAAAAATGGCCAATTTGGGTGCAAACAATTAGCTTAATTTGTCAGAAATAAAATTACATTTCATCAAAATAATGTTTTAGGAATGCCAATCTTACCCGATTCTAACTACGGAAACAATTTCAGAATATATTCTGAGATGGTGGGTGTCATGGGCTTGCTGAAATGGCATGAAACGACTCTGTTTCGACTTGAGACTGTGTGTGTGTGACTGTGACGATGAAGGGGCACATTGATGTGTGTTACGCAGCGTTTTCCTTCTCGTGGCATAGCTCTAAGTCTCCCCCACAGTGTAGCCCTTATTCCTGTGGAGGGGTGTCGTTTCACCGGTGCGTAGGAGTGTTAGCCCTAATTTAAACCAACTTCCTCCTCTCTCAGTGACTAAGGCATAAAGGCCCTGCAGTTCAATAGCAGAGGATGAATGGAATGAACAGGGGATGGAGAGGAGGAGAGGGGGGAGGAGGAGAGGAGAGGGGGAGGAGGAGAGGGGGGAGTAGGAGAGGAGGAGAGGGGGAGGAGGGAGGGAGGGGAGTAGGAGAGGAGGAGAGGGGGGGAGTAGGAGAGGAGGAGAGGGGGGAGTAGGAGAGGAGGAGAGGGGGGAGTAGGAGAGCTGAACTGGTTAAAGCAGGGGTGCGAGAGTTCTGGTGTGCTGTTTCCAGTCACACATGCACACACACACACACACACACAGTTTCTGTTATGTTTGGCCCCCACTGCAACTCCTGTTTTTCCAGGGTTATTTTTAGTTGGCCAGCAGTTAAATACGTAGGTATCCTACTAAATATAGACCTCAGCCAGGAAAATATGAAATTACAGTGAGTTGAAATCGTATTCCACAAACTAATGCCCAGAAATAATGTCTAAACGTGCCGGAACACGTCACCTGGGCAGCAGTGAATGAGGGCTTTTCTTCAGAAGTTTATGCACAATTCAACTGACTTTCTATCTCTCTTAGTGATATACAGAGTTTTTCTCAACTCTAAATGTTACTTGACCGTTACAGCTAAAGTATCTTGAGTGCAACTACACTGACTAAAAACAGTAATTCAAATGTAGATACAAAAATAGCAAATGTGTGTGTAAGTGTGTGTGTGTGTGTGTGTGTGTGTGTGTGTGTTCGTGTGTGTATGTATATATATATATATATGTGTGTGTGTGTGTTCGTGTGTGTATGTATATATATATATATATATATATATATATATATATATATATATATATATGTGTGTGTGTGTGTGTATGTGTGTGTGTATATATGTGTGTATGTGTGTGTGTATATATATATGTGTGCGTGTGTGTGTGTATGTGTAAAAGAGGTTGTGTAATGCATAGGAGAGGTACCTGTAGGCTTGGGGCTGTGGGAGGTCAAGAGATCCCTGCTACCAGACAGACTGCCACTGGGCTGAGAAATAGACAGGAGGAGAAGTACCATTAAGATCAACTCCATCGAGATACATTCATTCAACTGAAAACAGGATGTCATTTCAATACCAATATATTCAATAAATATGATAAAAATTACATACAATATAATTCAATATAATGTATTCAAATATGACATACTGTAAAAAATAAAAAATAAACATTGAAAATAATATATTAAATAATTCTGTCAGTAATTCAACATGTATTACCTTGATGGGGGGAGTAGGTTTTCTACTGAAGGGATCTGCTGAGGCGAACAGATCGGTCGTTTTCTTGAAGAAGTCTGAGGAAGCACCCTTGAATGGATCAGACTCTTTGAAGGGATCATCTGCTCCAAATGGATCTGAGAGGATTGAGACAAAACGTGACCAAGATCCTTGTGGATGGAAACATTGTCATTAACGGTGGTGATATGGAGCATATACCATGAGGAGGCCTTTCTGCTCTGTTCAGGTATACTTCATTAGCCAAGCACATGTGCGTATGACCACAAGCGTTTTAATAAAGGAATAGAACCTCATAGCCTCTGGAACATACAGTCCTAGCCATGGAATTTGAATCATTCCAGAATTGTTGCAACAATATGGTTCTGATAACACAAACTATTTTCCATAAACATTCATATGGTATAATATACTTTTAAAGTTACCTTTGAAGGGGTCTGATTTGAAGGGGTCCTCTGTCTGGAAGGGGTCTGCTGCAGGAAGGGGCTCTGGTGTTGATTTGTTGCTGCTGAACATGGCTATCTTCGATTTGAAAGAGTCCTCCTGGGAAAAAAAAGTTTTTTGACAAAAGATAAAAGATTCTCCATTTCCATTCAAAATCAACTAGATTGCCCAATGTTGGGACAATAAAGCTTTACCAAGCGGAACTGAATGGAGACGCTTCTTCTTGTAATCACTAACATAATGAGCATTAAATAAAAAAGGTACCAACTATGTCAGGTGTGAGCAACAGGAAGTGAGGTCACACTAAACACAAAGTGAGAGCTCCACATGAATAGCAGGGAATATAATATACACAGGAGTGTAGAAAACATTAAGAACACCTTCCCAATTTGGAGTTGCACCCCCCACCTTTTCCCTCAATACAGCCTCAATTCATCGGGGCATGGTGTCGAAAGCGTTCCACAGGGATGCTGGCCCATGTTGACTCCAATGTTTCCCACAGTTGTGTCAAGTCGGTTGGATGTCCTTCGGGTGGTGGGCCATACTTGTCACACACAGGAAACTATTGAGCGTGAAAAACCAAGCAGCGTTGCCGTTCTTGACACAAACCAGTGGGCCTGGCACCTACTACCATACCCTATTAAAAGGGCACTTAAATATTTTGTCTTACCCCATTCACCCTCTGAATGGCACACATACACAATCCATGTCTCAATTGTCTGAAAGCTTGAAAAATCCTTCTTTAACCCGTCTCCTCCCCTGATTGAAGTGGACTGAACAAGTGACATCAAAAAGGGATCGTAGCTTTCACCTGGTCAGTCTATGTCATGGAAAGAGCCGGTGTTCTTAATGTTTTGTCCACTCAGTGTATATTTCATTATATCCAAGCTCTTTCCAGTCTTCGGTCATATTAATTAAGGCACTACTTAGCTAAATGTTTTGCAACGGAAAACAAAAATGAGCATTTCTTATTCAGGTAGTTCAGGTAGTCGCCTAATGAACACGACCCTGATATCATGACAACACTACTCACCCTGGCGCCAAATCCTCCGTTCTCCCTCTCTGAGAATCCTACTTCGCTCATGTCTGCCAGGTTGGTCATGCTGCCAGCATGTGTCTGGCCGTGGATTCCGTTCAGAGCGTTGTTGTATTGCTCTATGGTCTTCGTCACATCCTGTTGACTGCCCTGGATCTGAGAAAGCTTACTACGAGCCTAAAGGGATAAAGGGATGTCAGTGAGTCTACAGTAACACTGGTTGTCGTAGTAAAAGAGTATGTATGTAGGGCTGTTACGGTGACCGTATTACCGCCGCCACACCGCCAGTCACGAGTCATGACCGCAGTCAAATTACCGTGACCGTTTAGTCACGGTAATTAGGCTACTCCAAGCTCTGATGCTGCTACCAAACTTGCTAACTGCCTGGTACTCAGCACTCTATTGTCCCTCTAATCACTCTGACTTCAATGCAAATGTATTCGAAAATCTAATCAACACCCCATGAGAGCCCATGAGCTCATGTTGCGCAACATTTCTATAGGCTATGCAATTGTGTGAGAAAACAGAGTGATGGCCTCTATTAAAAAGAGGAGGATCCTATCAGCTTTCTATAGGCTAGGCCCACTATAATTATTTCTCAACTTTCCTAATATTAAGCACATTGCTTCGCTTTACAACAGGAGTACAGCCTACCTGGCTAGCATGAAAACGAACCATTGGAAAGGCGTCCTCCATTCGCTATTTAAGTGCATAGATTCCATGTATTTTTTCCCCCTGCCCCTGTTCCAAGACAGGCGCATGATAATGGTCCATCCTAAATCAAAACTAATTCCACACATATATTATTTAGTAAAGGTAAAGACAAGATTAAATTAAGAATAGTCTGATGGGTGACAATATTAGGCTATCACTTGTGAATGATATATTATTACTTGTGAATGATATATTATTACTTGTGAATGATATATTATTACTTGTGAATGATGCCCAGTGTGTGCAGTAAGGCAAGAAACAGCGGCTGCCTTTTCTTTTCAACTTTGTAAAATTATAGTCGCATACCTCATGTAGCCTAGCCCATAGGCTTATATGGTTTGTATCACAACTAAACTGGCCAAATAACTTCTTAAAATTAAGCACATGAATCTGCTTTACAACCGGTGTACAGCCTAACTGGCATACGTAGGCAGTTTCAAGTTTGGGGAAGATAATTTTCACCATAGAAATGCACTTTTATAATAAAGCATCACATGCATAATCACATTTGAGAAAGGTGCTTTCCCGCTAATTGACTGCATTTGGAACAATCGTGCTTATAGTCTACTGCCGCGTGCGCATTGCGGCGCTTATTTTTGATTACCATTTTTACATTTGAGTCATTTAGCAGATGCTCTTATCCAGAGCGACATACAGGAGCAATTAGGGTTAAGTGCCTTCGACAGATTTTCACCTAGTTGGCTCGGGGATTTTAACCAGCAAACTTACGGTTACTGACCGAATGCTCTTAACCACTAGACTACCTGGCCGCCCCTTAAAGAAATATAATGTGAAGAAATAGCCTAATAGTCAACATTTTAAGCTAAACGTTCTGATTCAGTTGCATCAGCCTCAATGCTTTTAAAAACGTTTTTTTTGATGCTAGTGGTTGTATTAATTTAGGATCTATCGCATCCCACAACTGTCCCAGACTAGGTTTGGAATATTTATTTATTGCACAGAAGGACAAGTTGACCAATAGAACAGGTCAACTTTTGTACTATGGGGGATAGAAGATTAAACATAGGCTAGTGCTTTTGCTGTTCGTTAGGCCTACTCATCTTGTCGGCTGACGAAAAGTAAATGTGGACAGTTCTTCTAACATCTTCAATATGCGCCTCGGAATTGGATAAGAAGGATGGGCTCAGTTGTGTCCTCAACGTGTCTGTCTTCACTTGTAGCCTACTTCGGAGCCGAGATGCCCGTGAGAAGGAAGGGCATTGGCTAATAAGAATTGAGATATCTGAGAGAGCCATGTGAGTGAGAGGTGCTTCGGAGCACGGCGATTGGCAGCCGGGAGAAGGACATTATAATTATTATATTCAGCCCAAGGGCACAACGGCCACTGGCCGCAAAAGGCATGGATTCTTTCAGGGGGCATTACGGCCACACAAGGGGGATGCCGCCAGGAAATTCAAGGCATTATCAAGTGCTTGTCAAATTCTGAATGAGAGACTGATGAAGTGTGTGCAGCCTGCATTAAAAAAAAGTGTGGAAGGCAGGAGATGCTAAATGTGTTTATGTTATTTAACGATCAATTACCTGTCACGCCCTGACATTGAGATCTCTAGTTGAGTTGGTCAGGGTGTGAGATCTAGTTTATTTATTATTATTATTATTTATTTATTTCTATGTTGGCCGGGTGTGGTTCCCAATCAGAGGCAGCTGTCGATCGTTGTCTCTGATTGGGGATCATACTTAGGCAGCCATTTTGCCTACCTATGTTGTGGGAACTTGTTTCTGCTTCTGCTTCTGTTTGGCTTGTTTGATGTTTAGCCTCTTGAACTTCACTGTTCTGTTGGATTTTGTTATTTTGTCGGTGTTTATTAAAATAAACGACTATGTACGCATACCACGCTGCACCTTGGTCCGATCCTTTACACAACGAACGTGACATTACCGTGAGACCGGCAGTTATTTGCTTGACAATCGACCGGCTGCCAAAATGTAATGACAGCCACAGCCCTACATGTATGACTTTATTAATAAAAGCCTGCAGGGACAATGGGTTGTCAGTCTACAACAACAACACTGTTCTTGTGAAAGTCCCATCCAGAAACAACCCTCTAGTCCGGGTTATCTTAAACTATGGGTGGGGACCCAAAGTGTGCCCTGGGCATGTGAGAGGTGGGTCGCAAGTTATGATAATAAATCTATAAAATCACACACAATCTCTTCTTAAATTGGGGTCGTTGTAGGACGATTTGGGCCACGGGAGAAAGGTCAATTTCTCATTTGGTTCTTGAGCTGAAAAAGTTGAAGAACCCCTGCCTAGATCTGAAAGCATTAGAAAGGTATAAGCTAAATGGGGACATTTTCATTTCGCATTAAAAAGGAACATTTCCATTTCCCGGACGGACATTAAAAAAGTTATATTCTACTCCAAACGTAACACTACCTTCATTTAATACAACATTTGTCTATGACAATGAGCTATAGCATTTCTCTATCCCCACCGTACCTGGTTGATCTCATCCTGGGTGGCCTTGAGTGACTTGATGATGGAGTCTAGCTGCATGCGTCCGGCCAGCAGGTTCTGCTCTAACTGGTTCTCCTCCGACTGCAGTTTGTTCAGGTCAGACTTGGTACGGCTCAGCTCATCCTCCTGACTCTGCAGGTCAGACTCCTGGCTGTGGATCTGGGTCTGTAAGGATGAGATCTGGACAGGAGGAGAGTAGAATGGAAGGAAAGAAAGAGAGGGTTGAGGAAGAGATATGAGAGAAAGAGAGAGAGAGGGGAAAATAAAGAAATAAATAATAAAAGAGAGAGACAGGAAGTGTCATAACAACTACTCATAAGACAGCTCAGAAAGGGTCTGCTATCCAAGCTAGAGGAATCCTATGTAAATAAGATACCGAGCTGGAAAATTGTATGTTTGTGCTTTTCTAATAACCAATTTCTGTGTTCATGCAAGTGACTGATTGAACGAATCCTCACTATCAGTAGAGCAATTTGGCAGAACGCCCAGAACATTGTTTTGATTACAAAAGGGATATCTCAGTTTCAAGGTCTCAACTTGGAGAGAAGAAACCTTGGGAGGTATTGGTCGGTCACATGCATGAAGCAGTATTGGTCTGTCACATGCATGAAGCAGTATTGGTCTGTCACATGCATGAACCAGTATTGGTCGGTCACATGCATGAAGCAGTATTGGTCGGTCACATGCATGAAGCAGTATTGGTCTGTCACATGCATGAAGCAGTATTGGTCGGTCACATGCATGAACCAAACGTTAATGATTAATTAATTATGAATGATGAATAAGCTAAATCACGCAAATATAACTTGTCTGTCTAAGCAGTATATAAGAGAACTAACGGGACTGCCCCGGGGGAGCTCACATCAGACCGGTACTTTATGCATCCGAGTTTGACTGTGACCTCTCCAGCTCGCTGACAATAAACAATGATTCATTTAAGATTGACTTCGAGTGTCCCATGTGTAGTATTTCCATGACAATTCGATAAGCGCTAGTGACAGACTGAAACTAGGGCCAAGTGTTTAGGAAAAACTCCTGGCCCTAATGAGAAGATAAAAACCAGTTGCTAACTGACGGCAACAGGAGTCATACAATAAATACATTAGATGAGACAAGCCTTTATAACTGGGGTTAGGGGTGGCACAATCACCATGTAACCGAGTAACCGATGAAGACCATCATGAAATAAAATAACCTTTATAGAAATTTTAAAAAACAGTTTGTGGAACGAACATCTGACGGAAGACAGGACGGACGGCATCCGTGCGGTTCAGTCCGTTTCTACTCTGACATGGCCTCTACAACGTGACGAAACTGTGTTGCTCCTTGCTGAAACAAGCAAGGTGTTTTAGCAAATGAGTCTTCGGTTGCCTAGGCAACACCCCACTCCCTGCAGAAGCAGCACATGCAGTCAGGAGCGGAGGAGCGGGGAATAAAATAAAAACAAGTACAAAATTTTTTATAATTGGCTAGTCGGAACGGATATCACGGTGACCCGCAGTCATTTGGTTGACCAATAACTGGCATCCAAAAATCTACGGCCGTCACAGCTCTAACTGGGGACAGAATTGTTCCTGTCTAGAACACGACCCTATAGGTGTGTTGCTGACTGACCAGCGTGGACTGGTCCTGACACTTCCGATGAACGTCTTTCAGCATGCCCTCCAGCTTGTTCCTCTGCTGGTCCATCTCCTCCAGCTGCTGCTCAGCGTCCTGCTTCTGGGCCTCCAGGTCCTGCAGACCACCGCTCTCCTGGTCCAGGTCACCCTGCATCTCCTGAGGGAAGGAGACCGGCGCAGACCTCAGCAATAGAGATACATGAGACACTCCAGGACGAGAGTTGCCCTCCCCTGGATTAGCCCCATTAAGAATGATTCATCGATAAAATGGGTGCCCGACTCCCCGTGTGTCTCACCTGAATTTCCTTGTTCTTCTGTCTGATGGCTTCCTCCTTGTCCCTGATGTCCTGCTCCAGAGTGTACTTCTCCCTGCAACACCATTCACACACACAGCAGGACAAGTAGGGGGGCGCGCGCGCACACACACACACACACACACACACACACACACACACACACACACACACACACACACACACACACAAACACACACAGCTAGGTGAGAAGGAGATTATGTCAAATTGTACGTTATTACCTCCCCCAAGTGCTTGGACATCAGATGACTGTGCCGTCTCTGGGGATCTGCGAGTTATGGCTTGAGAAACACTGCCCTAGTCAATGCTACACACAGCAACAAGTCCTTTGTGTCACCAGGTTCCCTAAGTGTATCCCACTGTAAAAGATAGAGGCAGTATGACGAGGACACAGTTTACAGAACACACATCAGGAAAACCCACAAGGCACCACACAGAGGATCAGCTGAGCTGGAGAACGTCTGTCCCAAAACACAGGAATGGCTTTAGGAATAGCTTCCTTTTCTCATTTCTTTGGCTGTGCTTGATAGTCATTGGGCAAGGATTCTGTACGCAAAGTAAATTAACAACAGACAACAAAAGTATATTTAATCCAACGAAGAAGATCTCCCCCTGGCTGTTAAAAGGAATGACAAACAAAGATGTCCTCCAGCCGAGCAATATGGGGTTAGGGTTAGTGTTCTAGGGTTAGTGTTCGGGGGTTAGTGTTCGGGGGTTAGTGTTCGGGGGTTAGTGTTCGGGGGTTAGTGTTCTAGCGTTAGTGTTCTGGGGTTAGTGTTCTGGGGTTAGTGTTCTGGGGTTAGTGTTCTGGGGTTAGTGTTCTGGGGTTAGTGTTCTGGGGTTAGTGTTCTGGGGTTAGTGTTCTGGGGTTAGTGTTCTGGGGTTAGTGTTCTAGCGTTAGTGTTCTGGGGTTAGTGTTCTGGGGTTAGTGTTCTGGGGTTAGTGTTCTGGGGTTAGTGTTCTGGGGTTAGTGTTCTGGGGTTAGTGTTCTGGGGTTAGTGTTCGGGGAGGGGCTCACCTCTGCAGCTGGGCGATTTCCTGACTGATGTCATCCAGCTCTTTGATGCCTGTCAGGTCAGCGGACTCTGTAGAACTGCTGCTGTCCTGAGGGGGGAGGGAGGGAGGGAGGGAGGGAGGGAGGGAGGGAGGGAGGGAGGGAGGGAGGGAGGGAGGGAGGGAGGGATGAACAGAGTGACAGAAGAAAGATAAGAGAAGGAAAGGGAAAAAAGGGGTTGAGAGGGACAGGGGAGAGAGAAGAGGAGGTCAGAGAGATCAGTCCTGCTCTGAGGGGGAGAGGAGCTCCCTACTGCCGCATCACCACAATGTTAACACAGGAAGGAGCTCCCTACTGCCGCATCACCACAACGTTAACACAGGAAGGAGCGCCCTACTGCCGCATCACCACAACGTTAACACAGGAAGGAGCTCTGTCGCACGCTAGGTATGTACATAGTCAATGGTAGGCTTCGAGGGGCTCCTACGGCAGGTACACCTGTAGCTCATCTCTTGGCAGTAGTACTGTAGACTACTTTATCAGCCAGCTGGTTCTGGGGATCTCTGTTCACCAACACAAACAGACCCCACAGAGCCCCAGGACAGAAACACATTTAGACCCAACCAAATTATGAGAAAGCGTAAAGATAACCATTTGACACACTGGAAGGAATCAACCAAAAAACAGAGCAAATTAGAATGCTATCTGGCCCTAAACAGAGAGAATACCTGACCACTGTGACTGACCCCAAATGAAGAAAATCCTTGAGTATGTACAGACTCAGTGAGCATAGCCTTGATATTGAGAGAGGCTGCCATAGGCAGACCTGGAACTCGAGAGAAGACAGGATATGTGCCCACTGCCCACAAAATGAGGTGGAAACTGAGCTGCACTTCATAACCTCCTGCCAAATGTATGACCACATTAGATACACATATTTCCCACAGATCACACAGACCCACAAAGAATTTGAGAACAAATCAAACATTGATAAATTCCCATATCTGTTAGGCTACATACCGCAATGGGCAATCACAGCAGCAAGATTTGTGGCCCGTTGCCATGAAAAGCCCCAAAAAACAGTAGACACAATAGAACAAATGCTTGTAAACGATGAAAACCTTACCATCGTTAAACTGTTCCCCATGAAAGCAATACGAATGTACAGACTCATAAGCGCCTATAATTGAAAGCTGCCATAGGAGATGGAAACTCGAGAAAGAAGGATTGATGTGCCACAACTGCCTCCCCGATGAGGTGGAAACTGAGCGGCAACACCCGCAAAATGACCAAGACAAGAAGCACTATCCCGAGACGAGAGCACAAGAACTGAGAGAGGAACGAGAATGGAGACAAGAGAGAGAGACATGAGAAGACCCAAGCATGAGGAGACATGAGCAAGAGCAACGAGAGAGATGAGAGAGACCCGTGACCGAGAGAGAAGGAGCAGACCAGGGCAGGAAGAGACCATGAGAATAGAGACAGAGACGATGATTCTAGGATGCACGATGACGAAGACGTCAGTAACCAGAGAGACGATTGAAAGAGAGATTTGAGAGAGAGAGAGAGAGAGAGAGAGAGAGAGAGAGAGAGAGAGAGAGAGAGAGAGAGAGAGAGAGAGAAGAGAGAGAGAGAGAGAGAGAGAGAGAGAGAGAGAGAGAGAGATTCCACAGTGAACTGAATCAGCGGTCATTATGAGGTGCAGACACAGTGGTGTTATCACTCTAGACCACCACAAGGAGGCAGCATTCGCCTTGAAAACAGTAACATTCTGAGGTGAGGCTGGAAATATTAGAAAACGTTCATCCCTTCCTTGGCATTGGTAATACAGAAACAATAGCTCATGACACAACAGGAAATACATCTGTACAAATATTGTGCTTTACACTGTGAAACAAAGGACAGTGACACAACACCACACCAGACAGTGACACATGCAGAAGGGCACCACCAGCCATCAGCAGGTCTATGGACATGACAGACAGTTGGAGAAGGCAGCAGGTCTATGGACATGACAGATAGTTGGAGAAGGCAGCAGGTCTATGAACATGACAGATAGTTGGAGAAGGTAGCAGGTCTATGAACATGACAGATAGTTGGAGAAGGCAGCAGGTCTATGAACATGACAGACAGTTGGAGAAGGCAGCAGGTCTATGAACATGACAGATAGTTGGAGAAGGCAGCAGGTCTATGGACATGACAGATAGTTGGAGAAGGCAGCAGGTCTATGAACATGACAGATAGTTGGAGAAGGCAGCAGGTCTATGGACATGACAGATAGTTGGAGAAGGCAGCAGGTCTATGAACATGACAGATAGTTGGAGAAGGCAGCAGGTCTATGAACATGACAGATAGTTGGAGAAGGCAGCAGGTCTATGAACATGACAGATAGTTGGAGAGAGGGGTAAGGGGTTGGAGAGAGGGTTAGGAGAGAGGGGTAGAGGGTTGGAGAGAGAGGTAGAGGGTTGGAGAGAGGGCTTGGAGAGAGGGTAGAGGGGTTGGAGAGAGGGGTAAGGGGTTGGAGAGAGGGTAGACGGTTGGAGAGAGGGGTAGACGGTGTGGAGAGAGGGGTAGGTGTTGAATAGGGGTAAGGGTTGGAGAGAGGGGTAGAGGGGTTGGAAGAGAGGGGTAGAGGGTTGGAGAGAGGGGGTCAGGAGGGTTGGAGAGAGGGTAGAGGGTTGGAGAGAGTCTAGGTCTAGAGGGTTGGAGAGAGAGGTAGAGGGTTGACGAGAGGGCTTGGAGAGAGGGGTAGAGGGTGGAGAGATGGGTACAGGTTGGAGACGGGGTCAGGGGTTTGAGAGAGGGTAGACGGTGGAGATAGGGTAGACGTGAGAGAGGGGTAAGGTGTTGAGCGCGGGGTCGAGGGTTGGAGAGAGCTGGTTAGCGGGTTGGAGAGAGGGTAGAGGGTTAGAGGGTTTGGAGAAGGGGTGAGGGTTGGAGAGAGGGGTTAGAGGGTGGAGAGAGGGGTAGGGGTTGGAGAGAGGGGTAGAGGGTTGGAGAGAGGGGTTAGAGGGTTGGAGAGAGGGTGGTAGAGGGTGGAGAGAGGGGTAGAGGGGTTGGAGAGAGGGGTAGAGGGTTGGAGAGAGGGGTAGAGGGTTGGAGAGAGGGGTTAGAGGGTTGGAGAGAGGGGTAGAGGGTTGGGAGAGGGTAGGAGGTGGAGAGGGGTAGTAGAGGGGGTAGAGAGGGGTAGAGAGAGGGGTAGAGGGGTTGGAGAGAGGGGTGTAGAGGGTTGGAGAGAGGGGTTAGAGGGGTTGGAGAGAGGGTAGGGGGGAGAGGGGTTGGAGAGAGGGGTAAGGGGTGGAGGGTAGAGGGTTGGAGAGAGGGGTAGAGGGTTGGAGAGAGGTAGAGGGTTGGAGAGAGGGGTAGAGGGGTTGGAGAGATCTATGGGGGTGCCACAGGGTTCAATTATTGGGCCGACACTTTTCTCCGTGTATATCAATGATGTCGCTCTTGCTGCTGGTGACTCTCAGATCCACCTCTACGCAGACGACACCATTTTGTATACATCTGGCCCTTCATTGGACACTGTGTTAACAAACCTCCAAACGAGCTTCAATGCCATACAACACTCCTTCAGTAGCCTCCAACTGCTCTTAAACACTAGTAAAACTAAATGCATGCTTTTCAATCGAACGCTGCTGGCACCCGCCCACCCGACTAGAATCACCACTCTCGACGGGTCTGACCTAGAGTATGTGGACAACTACAAATACCTAGGTGTCTGGTTAGACTGTAAACTCAACTTCCAGACTCACATAAAGAATCTCCAATCCAAAGTTAAATCTAGAATCGGCTTCCTATTTCGCAACAAAGCCTCCTTCACTCATGCTGCCAAACATGCCCTCGTAAAACTGACTATCCTACCGATCCTTGACTTCGGCGATGTCATTTACAAAATAGCCTCCAACACTCTACTCAGCAAATTGGATGTAGTCTATCACAGTGCCATCCGTTTTGTCTCCAAAGCCCCATACACTACCCACCACTGTGACCTGTACGCTCTTGTTGGCTGGTCCTCACTACATGTTCGTCGTCAAACCCACTGGCTCCAGGCCATCTATAAATCACTGCTAGGCAAATCCCCGCCTTATCTTAGCTCATTGGTCACCATAGCAGCACCCACCCGTAGTCTGCGCTCCAGCAGGTATATATCACTGGTCATTCCCAAAGCCAACACCTCCTTTGGCCGCCATTCCTTCCAGTTCTCTGCTGCCAATGACTGGAACGAATTGCAAAAATCTCTGAAGCTGGAGACTCTTATCTCCCTCAATAACTTTAAGCATCAGTTGTCAGAGCACCTTACCGATCACTGCACCTGTACACAGCCCATCTGAAATTAGCCCACCCAACTACCTCATCCCTATATTGTTATTTATTTTGCACCCCAGTATCTCTATTTGCACATAATCTCTTGCACATCTATCATTCCAGTGTTAATACTATTGTAATTATTTTGCACTATAGCCTATTTATTGCCTACCTCCAAACTTGCTAATTTGCACACACTGTATATATATTTCTTGTTTTTACGTTATTTTTTTTTACCCCATATGTAAACTCTGTGGTGTGTTTTTATCGCACTGCTTGTGCTTTATCTTGGCCAGGTCGCAGTTGTAAATGAGAACTGTTCTAACTGGCTTACCTGGGTTAAATAAGGTAATAAAAAAAAAAAAGGGTTGGAGAGGGGGGTAGGAGAGAGGGGTAGAGGGTTGGAGAGAGGGGGGTAGGAGGGTTGGAGAGGGGGGTAGAGGGGTTGGAGAGAGGGGGGGTTAGAGGGTTGGAGAGAGGGGTTTATAGAGGGGGTTGGAGAGAGGGGTAGAGGGTTGGAGAGAGGGGTAGAGGGGTTGGAGAGAGGGGTAGGAGAGAGGGGTAGAGGGTTGGAGAGAGGGGTAGAGGGTTGGAGAGAGGGGGGGTAGAGGGTTGGAGAGAGGGGTAGGGTAGAGGGTTGGAGAGAGGGGGTAGAGGGGTTGGAAGCGAGGGGTAGGAGAGAGGGGTAGAGGGTCTGGAGAGAGGGGGGTAAGACGGGGTTGGCGAGACGGGGTAGACCGAGAGGGGTTAAGAGGGTTGGAGAGAGGGGTAGAGGGTGGAGAGAGGGGTAGGGGTTGGAGAGAGGGGTAGGAGAGAGGGGTATGGTTAGAGGGTGGGAGAGGGTGGGTAGCGGTGGAGAGAGGGGTAGAGGGTTGGAGGTTGGAGAGAGGGGTAGAGGGTTGGAGAGAGGGGTAGAGGGTTGGAGAGAGGGGTAGAGGGGTTGGAGAGAGGGGTATCCCTCAACCCTCTCAGAGGGTGGTATCACTTCGGGGGAGAGGGTCTGAGGAGGGGAGAGGGTTGAGGGATTGACTTACAGGCACAGGGGTGGTGGTCCTCTCAGACGGTGGTATCATTTCGGTTGTGAGGGTCTGGGGAGGGTCCAGTCCCTTGGTGACTTTCTGCTGGATCAGCCACATGGCCAAAGAAAACTGCTCTCTAGACAGCTGTCCTATCTGCTTGGTGTCAGCCAGGCCCCTAGGAACAAGACACATTACATTTAGGGTTGCAAAATTACTGTCACTTATTTAAATTTCACTGCTTTTCCCGAAATTCTGGTTGCAGGATTGCAGGTTTTGTGCTTATTCCCTCTTGATTCGAGGAATGTCCCAACCTGAATTTCTGAAAAACCAGGGAACTTGGAGAAAGTTAGGAGAATTTGGAACTCTAATTACACCCATACACACAAAAATAAAAATGTATGCACGCATGACTGTAAGTCGCTTTGGATAAAAACGTCTGCTAAATGGCATATTATTATTATTATTATTATTTTACATGACATTGTAGTCAAGTTAACAGGTACTGTGTATTCTAATCCAGAGTGATTTACAATAATGCATTCACCTTCAGTAGGAAAGAAACCTACATATCACAATCATTGCAAGTAACATTTTGTTAATGTAGATGTACTGTACTGGTCCAACAAGGCAATGCCCAATGTGTCACTGTATGATTGGCCAATGATAACACTTTTTCTCGCTTTGCCAAATCATTTTATACACTGAGTGTACAAAACATTAGGAACACCTTCCTAATATTGAGTTGCACCACCCCCTTTTGCCCTCAGAACAGCCTCAATTCGTTGGGCCATGGACTCTACAAGGTCTCGAAAGCGTTCCACAGGGATGCTGGCCCATGTTGACGCCAATGCTTCCCACAGTTGTGTCAAGTTGGCTGGATGTCCCTTGGGTGGTGGACCATTCTTGATACGCACGGGAAACTGTTGAGCGTGAAATATCCAGCAGCGTTGCAGTTCTTGAAACACTCAAACCAGTTCGCCTGGCACCTATAACCATACACCGTTCAAAGGACCTTAAATATTTTGTCTTGCCCTTTCACCCTCTGAATGGCACACATACACAATCCACATCTCAATTGTCTCAAGGCATAAAAATCCTTCTTTAACCAGTCTCCTCCCCTTCATCTACACTGATTGAAGTGGATTTAACAATTGACATCAATAAGGGAATATAGCTTGACCTGGTCAGTCTGTCATGGAAAGAGCAGGTGTTCTTAATGTTTTGTCCACCCAGTGTGTGTGTGTAAGGTGTTAGATTAACAATAAGTAACTAAGGTGCAGGCCATTCCGTCTCTCACCAGATCTGTGCTAGCATGGTCTTAGAAAGGTTGGATAGCATGAAGATCTCCATGACTTCCCCTCCGGTGACAAGACCGTCCATGTCTGTGTCCGTCTTCAGGAAGATGTCATCGTAACGTCCTCTGTCTGCCACCGGGACCACCCAGTTCACTACTGCTGGTGGCTAGCACACAGGAGAGAGAACAGGACGATCAACCCAGTTTACTAGTGCTTGTGGCTAGCACACAGGAGAGAGAACAGGACGATCAACCCAGTTTACTAGTGCTTGTGGCTAGCACACAGGAGAGAGAACAGGACGATCAACCCAGTTTACTAGTGCTTGTGGCTAGCACACAGGAGAGAGAACAGGACGATCAACCCAGTTTACTAGTGCTTGTGGCTAGCACACAGGAGAGAAGACTGGAGAGAGGACCGGAGAACCAGCTGATGAATAGGAAATACAATCTCCTGGACCGAATCCTAATCCTAACTATGTGTGCATATCTTGCAATTTCAGAAATCATGCATTCATGTCAATCAATGAGCATTAAGCACTCTTTGATGGTATGCATATTTGCACAAATGAAGGAGTGTAGCTTTAAGCCAGGACACTACAGTGAGGGAAAAAAGTATTTGATCCCCTGCTGATTTTGTACGTTTGCCCACTGACAAAGACATGATCAGTCTATAATTTTAATGGTAGGTATATTTGAACAGTGAGAGACAGAATAACAACAAAAAAATCCAGAAAAACGCATGTCAAAAATGTTATAAATTTATTAGCATTTTAAATTAGGGAAATAAGTATTTGACCCCTTTGCAAAACATGACTTAGTACTTGGTGGCAAAACCCTTGTTGGCAATCACAGAGGTCAGACGTTTCTTGTAGTTGGCCAAAAGGTTTGCACACATCTCAGGAGGGATTTTGTCCCACTCCTCTTTGCAGATCTTCTCCAAGTCATTAAGGTTTCGAGGCTGACGTTTGGCAACTCGAACCTTCAGCTCCCTCCACAGATTTTCTATGGGATTAAGGTCTGGAGACTGGCTAGGCCACTCCAGGACCTTAATGTGCTTCTTCTTGAGCCACTCCTTTGTTGCCTTGGCCGTGTGTTTTGGGTCATTGTCATGCTGGAATACCCATCCACGACCCATTTTCAATGCCCTGGCTGAGGGAAGGAGGTTCTCACCCAAGATTTGACGGTACATGGCCCCGTCCATCGTCCCTTTGATGCGGTGAAGTTGTCCTGTCCCCTTAGCAGAAAAACACCCCGAAAGCATGTTTCCACTTCCATGTTTGACGGTGGGGATGGTGTTCTTGGGGTCATAGGCAGCATTCCTCCTCCTCCAAACACGGTGAGTTGAGTTGATGCCAAAGAGCTCCATTTTGGTCTCATCTGACCACAACACTTTCACCCAGTTCTCCTCTGAATCATTCAGATGTTCATTGGCAAACTTCAGACGGGCCTGTATATGTGCTTTCTTGAGCAGGGGGACCTTGCGGGCGCTGCAGGATTTCAGTCCTTCACAGCGTAGTGTGTTAACAATTGTTTTCTTGGTGACTATGGTCCCAGCTGCCTTGAGATCATTGACAAGATCCTCCCGCGTAGTTCTGGGCTGATTCCTCACCGTTCTCATGATCATTGCAACTCCACGAGGTGAGATCTTGCATGGAGCCCCAGGCCGAGGGAGATTGACAGTTATTTTGTGTTTCTTCCATTTGCGAATAATCGCACCAACTGTTGTCACCTTCTCACCAAGCTGCTTGGGGATGGTCTTGTAGTCCATTCCAGCCTTGTGTAGGTCTACAATCTTGTCTCTGACATCCTTGGAGAGTTCTTTGGTCTTGGCCATGGTGGAGAGTTTGGAATCTGATTGATTGATTGCTTCTGTGGACAGGTGTATTTTATACAGGTAACAAACTGAGATTAGGAGCACTCCCTTTAAGAGTGTGCTCCTAATCTCAGCTCGTTACCTGTATAAAAGACACCTGGGAGCCAGAAATCTTTCTGATTGAGAGGGGGTCAAATACTTATTTCCCTCATTAAAACGCAAATCAATTTATAACATTTTTTACATGCGTTTTTCTGGATTTTTGTTGTTGTTATTCTGTCTCTCACTGTTCAAATAAACCTACCATTAAAATTATAGACTGATTATTTCTTTGTCAGTGGGCAAACGTACAAAATCAGCAGGGGATCAAATACTTTTTTCCCTCACTGTATGTACTATGGTTATTCGCTTGCCATCTTAAAAGCGTCATGTTTTTGTGTCTGAGATTACAATCACACATTGTGGGTGTGGCGTCCTTTCCCTTTCAATTAAACCTGTTGCTCTTAAATCATCAGATAAACTCCTTACAACAAACATATGACTAAGAAAGGAACCACTCAGGGATATAAAACAATTCAGGGAATGTGGCCAAACAAGTCTACTTTTAATACAGCTGAACCATCCCAGTGGGTGTTAGGGGGTAGAGGAAATGCAGGTTGGTAAATAGCAGCTGTGCCCTTAACAGACTTTCTCAGGGACAGGATGAAAACTGAACGATGGCCTGGCTTCACTAAGAAAAGCACAGCTGTCTATTCCCCTTTCTGAGCTGCGCTACCTACCCCCTGACAGTCTGAGGACAAACCCTAATGCCTTCTCAATGTGCTAGTCAAATACAAGGAGGGAGACAGGACAGTCTGCAATAACATTAAAGGCATAAATCTTAAAATCTCACAATCACATAGGGTTCTCGTCAAAAACAGTGCACTATATAGGGATTAGTGTTTCATTTGAGACACAGATGTGACACTGTAACAGCATTCCTACCCATTCAACAGGCAGGGTGTGGATTGAAGAGGCTCTATACCATACCTGTGAGGGGGCTTTGAACGAGTGTTTAGGGGAGAGACTGCCAGTGCTGTTGATGGAGGTGATGCTTCCGTGGGACGGTGTGGAGTGTAGGGTCTCTTTGAGAGGAGGAGAGCTGGCTGTCCGAGACAGAGCAGACAGGGCAGGCAGAACCGCTACAGCACCGGGCAGGGGAGGAGAGCTGGCTGTCCGAGACAGACCAGACAGGCCTGAGAGGGCAGACATGGGAGGCAGGACGGAGACGGCGCCAGGCAGAGCGCCCCCAGACTTCTTCCTCTTGGATGGAGGGATGAGGGAGGAGGGCAGGACGGAGGGGACAGGCTCCTTCTCCATGGCCCTGTACACCAGGTGCATGGTCTGGAGGGGGTTGGATAAACCAGTTCAGTACACTAGCCGCATTTATACCTTGCAATGACGTGTCCTAGTGATTGGATTGTCATGAATGGGTGACGAAAACCACATGTTAATGCAAGGTGTAACCAGGCTAATTGGCCTCATTCAGGAATGTGTCTTAACTGGATGAGCTCAAGATGCAACAAAACAAAAGTTGTCAACTGAACTTACCACTGAAAACTCCTCTCTGTCCAAGTGTCCATCTTTGTCCACGTCACCGAGGTCCCAAATCTACGTAACAGAATATAACGAAATATGACCAAACGGTCACAATATCTGTTATAGCGAACTGTTTAGTATACAGGAATACATAGTAGTAGCTCCATCTTTCCCACTGCTACCACATACCTATCCAATGAAGTGCCTAGGGGGTAGGGGTTGTTCGTGGACAGGACCTAGTCATGTGCTTACCCTTCCTAACACATCCAGGGGTAGTTTGGAGTTGATCAGGACAGGTTTGACTTGGTCTCCAGACAGAAGACCATTGACTGGTTGAAGACTTTCAAAGATGCCGTCAAACTTCCCTTTCTCATCAGACTGGAGGGGATGGCAAGGCAAGGCAGGGAGAGAGGGACAGGGGAAAGACGTTACATGGGGAGAACCTTATGTTGCTTACTCCTCGCCTCCTTCTCAAAACCCATTGGAGGAGAAGGTCAGATGACCCATCAGCCATGGCACAGTGTTGATTTATACCTGTTTATAATCAACATAATTCTGGTCATCACTTTGTGGATTTAAGCTCACTGCACTTTCCACCATGAAAATAATACATTGTCAAACATGTATAGGTAAATTGTTAACAAAATGTATGTGATTCTACATACAGTGCCTACAGAAAGTATTCATACCCCTTGACTTTTACCACATTTTGTTGTGTTACAGCCTGAATTAAAAATTGATTAAATTGAGATTTTTTTTGTTACTGGCCTACACATAATACCCCATAACGTCAAAGTGGAATTATGTTTTTAGAAATGTTTACAAATTAATTTAAAAATGAAAAGCTGAAAGGTCTTGAGTCAATACGTATTCAACCCCTTTGTTATGGCAAGCCTAAATAAGTTCAGGAGTAAAAATGTGCTTAACAAGTCACATAATAAGTTGCATGGACTCACTCTGTGTGAAATAGTGTTTGACATTACATTTTTGAATGACTACCTCATCTCTCTACCCCACACATACAATTATCTGTAAGATCCCTCAGTCGAGCAGTGAATTTCAAACACAGATTCAACCACAAAGAGCAGGGAGGTTTTTCAAAGCGTCGTAAAGGGTAAAAAAAAAGAAGCAGACATTAATATCCCTTTGAGCATGGTGAAGTTATTAATTACACTTTGGATGGTGTATCAATACACCCAGTCACTGCAACGATACAAGCGTCCTTCCTAACTCAGTTGCCGGAGAGGAAGGAAACCGCTCACGGATTTCACCATGAGGCCAATGGTGACTTTAAAACAGTTACCGAGCTGGTTGAATGCATTCAGTTGTACAACTGACTAGGTATACCCTTTCCCTGTTAGGCAACTGTATAAAACATGTGGTCAACACTCAGTCTGGAGAGCTACTGGGTGTGCAGGCTTTTGATCAAGCCCTGCTAAAACACATCAGAGCAAGTTTATCAAGGTCTGTTTGAGCAGCAAATGTCTAAAATGTGGTTTGTTAGAGGGGGACTGGAATAAAAGCCTGCACACCAATTAGCTCTCCTGGAGGATGTTTGACCACCCTTGAAGTAAAATATTTCAACATTAAAACCAAATATGTTTTAAGCCTTTTTAAATGGTGGTCCTCTGTAGCTCAGCTGGTAGAGCACGGCGCTTGTAACGCCAAGGTAGTGGGTTCGATCCCCTGGACCACCCATTCACAAAAAAAATGTATGCACGCATGACTAAGTCGCTTTGGATAAAAGCGTCTGCTAAATGGCATATTATTATTATTATTATTAAATAATTCGCTCATTCAATATATCAAAGATCAAATGGCTATGGTAGGCTACAAATCATTTTATTTAGCTGAAGCAAAGCCCACAAATTTACTTCAGGAAATTTTCTTTTTTCAAGTTTAGTCATTTACAGAGTGGCGCAGTGCTCTAAGGCACTGTGGTCTAAGGCACTGCATCGCAGTGCTAGCTGTGCCACTAGAGATCCTGGTTCGAATCCAGGCTCTGTCGTAGCCGGCCGCGACCGGGAGACCCATGGGGCTGCGCACAATTGGTCCAGGGTAGGGGAGGGAATGGCCGGCAGGGATGTAGCTCAGTTGGTAGAGTATGACGTTTGCAACGACCAGGGTTGTGGGTTCGATTCCCACGGGGGGCCAGTATGATTTTTTTTTAAATAATGTGTGCACTCATAAGAGCGTCTGCTAAATGACTAAAATGTAAAAATAAAAAAAAATCTTGGCTACCTTATTGAGTTGCAATGTCGCATACATTGGATGCCCAAATCAACTGGCAAAATCTACAAAACAAGTTCAAGCTACATAATACAAAAGAAAGGCGGCATCTAATCTTTTTTCATAAAATTACTGTTTGTGAGTCACAAATTATTTAGATTTACCGCGATTGAACCAAATCCCAGCTAATACAATGGTGAAGTGAATCGTTAGTTTAGTCAAAAAATAATCATTTAAATGAATCATGAATAGTTCAAAAAAGTATGACCTTGTTCGCAAGTGTCGGTGGAAAGTGTTTTGGGACATGACGAAAACATGACTACATGCTAATAACAGCTAAACCGTTAACTAGAGGGTAGAAGATATGTTTTGAATTGGCTACCTAGTCAGTCTGCTCTATCATAGTTTATAGGATAGGCCTACCTGCTGCTGTAATGGCCTACTGTCTGTCTCTCCTTGGGAAACGGCCCACTCGTCTCACATACATGCATGTGATGCGTGCAAAGTGACATTACGATCCTGGCTGATATGTTGATTTTTATTTTATTTATAAAATAAAATAAACTGTGCCTAAATAAATTACATTAACAAAAATTCTGAAATTCATTTCCATTACTTTTCCAAAACATTTTTGATTTTATAATTTTCCAGGCATGGCAAACACAATAAAAAAATTCCATGACTTTTCCAGGATTTTCATGACCGTAAAACCTGGTTCAGTCTCCTTTCCACCAGACACTGGGAGTTGAATTCACCTTTCAGCAGGACAACAATCTAAAACACAAGGCCAAATCTACACTGGAGTTGCTTACCTAAAAGACAGTGAATGTTCAGTTTTGAATACCAAGAAGACAGTGGACGACTTACAGTTTGGACTTAAATCTGCTTGAAAATCTATGGCAAGACTTGAACATGGTTATCTAGCAATGATCAACAACCAATTTGACAGAGCTTGAAGAAAATGTTTACAATCCAGGTGTGGAAAGCTCTCAGAGACTTACCCAGAATGACTCAATGCTGTAATCACTGCCAAAGGTGATTGATTCTAAGACGTATTGACTCAGGGGTGTGAATACTTATGTAAATTAATATTTTTGTATTTCATTTTCAAAAAAATTGCTACAATTTCTAAAAACATGTTTTCACTGTCATTATGGGGTACAGTGTGTAATTTTGAATTCAGGCTGTAACACAACAAAATGTGGAATAAGTTATAGGATATGAATACCTTCTGAAGGCACTGTATATCTATCTATCATTGATTGATTCATTTCTATGTACAACAGATATGAATGCTCACCCTAACAGCCCAGTGGGAATCAGATGAAGATGTACTTAGCGATGTGCTGAGCGACGGAGTATTTGTGTCTCTCTGCAACAATACAAATTCAACTTAGATTGTATCAATAAAGACCACAATAAATTAACCTATATGATGACTGAGATTACCCCCAATGAAGATTAGCTAAACAGAGGGGTATCAACGCCAGCTAACTTTAATAAACAACCAGAAATAACTGTTGATTTTCTGATACATGAAGAAAGCTAAACTTAGACATCTATTTTTTTTGGTCGTTTGCGTCAATTAGACCATTCCTATTTCAAGCTTAACCTTCTAAAACAAAGTTATTTCAGAATATTTAGGCAGGTTAGCTGGCTAACTCATTCATCCTGCTTTGTAGTTTACCCCTCTGGTCATTGCTGAAATGATTGAGAAGATAAAGTGCAAGTATCTACACGCGTTTTAAAACATAATTATACATATGATTACTGCAAACACATGTTCCCTACGAGGACGATATAGTTGGTGGCAAGTAAGTAGAGTATCACTCACAAACTTTGGTGCTGCTAGAGTCTGGTTGAGGTTGTTGAGACTGATGTCGTTGCCACCCTGAGCTGAGGCCACCAACCTCAACGCTACAAAGAAACCCTGTGAGGAACAGAGAAACTGGTCAGTGTTTCATGTGGGAAATCATTAATTAATTGGTAGTAAGAAGTAATATAAGTTCATTTTTATTTACCCGTTTGTCCAAGAAGCCCTTCCTTTCTGGATCGGCCAAATCCCAGATCTGAAAATATATATATATATATTTTTTTAAATATGGTGTAACTGTACTGTATGTAGTTGGAGCCTAGAAGTCTGCAGTTTACTGAGTGTGTGGTGTGTGTGTGTGTGTGTGTGGTGTGTGTCTCCTACTCACCTTTCCTAAGGTACTGTCTGAGAGTCCTGATTTCTTCAGGAACTGAGCAGCATCTGCAGCTCCTACTGTCCCTGTGTTTCCCAGATCCACCTTCAAAGGGGGAATGGAATGGAGGTAATGTAATTAGCTGGCTGTGCTTCTGTATTACAGCCAAAGGGGGAATGGAATGGAGGTAATGTAATCAGCTGGCTGGATTCGGTATACAGCCAAAGGGGGATGGAATGGAGGTAATGTAATCAGCTGCTGTGCTTCGTATTACAGCCCAAAGGGGGAAGGAATGGAATGGAGGTAATGTAATCAGCTGGCTGTGCTTCTGTATTACAGCCAAAGGGGGAATGGAATGGAGGTAATGTAATCAGCTGGCTGTGCTTCTGTATTACAGCCAAAGGGGGAATGGAATGGAGGTAATGTAATCAGCTGGCTGTGCTTCTGTATTACAGCCAAAGGGGGAATGGAATGGAGGTAATGTAATCAGCTGGCTGTGCTTCTGTATTACAGCCAAAGGGGGAATGGAATGGAGGTAATGTAATCAGCTGGCTGTGCTTCTGTATTACAGCCAAAGGGGGAAGGGAATGGAGGTATGTAATCAGCTGGCTGTGTTCGGTATTACAGCCAAAGGGGGGGAATGGAAATGGAGGTAATGTAATCAGCTGGCTGTGCTTCTGTATTACAGCCAAAGGGGGAATGGAATGGAGGTAATGTAATCAGCTGGCTGTGCTTCTGTATTACAGCCAAAGGGGGAATGGAATGGAGGTAATGTAATCAGCTGGCTGTGCTTCTGTATTACAGCCTCTCCGACCTGCATTACACTACATTGGAACTGCAACATTATAACTGCAACATTTATGGGGTGTAAACGATTGACTTCCGTCTCGCTTCCGCATTGTCTCCGTACTGCTGTGCTGTTTGTTGCTACTTGGCTACCTGCCAAACTATTCACGTTTTACTTTTAATAAACGTTTAATCAATCTCTGTGTTCAACAAATTTACCAACTTTTTAGTTTTGTCCTCACTCATCTTTTTTCGTTAAACTTTTTCACCCCGGACGTTTATCCCGAGACAGAAGAGTCATTTTCCTGTGCGTTTTAGCTGCCAACTTTACGTTATTTTCCTTTTTTCCATCGCAACTTTTTTCCCTTATTCAACTTTTTCACTCCGGACGCTTTATCTGGACATGGTTCATCAACATCTTCAACAGCCGAAGCTAAGTAGTAACATTAACATGATGTCTTCTAATTGCAGTCGCTGTACTCATAATATACAGGAGAATTCTCGCCTTACGGCGAGAATAGCTGTGCTACAAGCCCAGCTTCAGACGCAATCGTTAGGCAAGGGTAATATCAGTGTAGGAAAGGAAGAAAACAGCGTCTGTGCCACCAGTAAGTACAGACAGTAACGTTAGTATAAATCCCCCCGCACAGTCCCCGCAGCCGGACAACTTTCTCATGGCTTCTGGAGGGAAATACTGTTGGAATGCTCAACCGGTGTCGCTCATTCAGCCGACAGAAACCTTCAACCGGTTTTCCCCATTATGTAGCGAGTCGGAGTCTGAGTCTGAGTCTTCTCTAGTCTCTACTCCTCCCGTTACGGGGTCTGAGACTCCGAAGGCTCCCACCATTAGCTCTGACAAATTGAAAACCCTAGTCATTGGCGACTCCATTACCCGCAGTATTAGACTTAAAACGAATCACCCAGCGATCATACACTGTTTACCAGGGGGCAGGGCTACCGACGTTAAGGCTAATCTAAAGATGGTGCTGGCTAAAGCTAAAACTGGCGAGTGTAGAGAGTATAGAGATATTGTTATCCACGTCGGCACCAACGATGTTAGGATGAAACAGTCAGAGGTCACCAAGTGCAACATAGCTTCAGCGTGTAAATCAGCTAGAAAGATGTGTCGGCATCGAGTAATTGTCTCTGGCCCCCTCCCAGTTAGGGGAAGTGACGAGCTCTACAGCAGAGTCTCAGCACTTAATCGCTGGTTGAAAACTGTTTTCTGCCCCTCCCAAAAGATAACATTTGTGGATAATTGGCCCTCTTTCTGGGACTCACCCACAAACAGGACCAAGCCTGACCTGCTGAGGAGTGACGGACTCCATCCTAGCTGGAGGGGTGCTCTCCTCTTATCTACCAACATAGATAGGGCTCTAACTCCTCTAGCCCCACAGTGAAATAGGGTGCAGGCCAGGCAGCAGGCTGTTAGCCAACCTGCCAGCTTAGTGGAGTCTGCCAATAGCACAGTCAGTGTAGTCAGCTCAGCCATACCCATTGAGACTGTGTCTGTGCCTCGATCTAGGTTGGGCAAAACTAAACATGGCGGTGTTCACCCTAGCAATCTTATTAGGATAAAGACCTCCTCCATTCCTGCCATTATTGAAAGAGATCGTGATACCTCACATCTCAAAATAGGGTTACTTAATGTTAGATCCCTCACTTCAAAGGCAGTCATAGTCAATGAACTAATCACTGATCATAATCTTGATGTGATTGGCCTGACTGAAACATGGCTTAAGCCTGATGAATTTGCTGTGTTAAATGAGGCCTCACCTCCTGGTTACACTAGTGACCATATTCCCCGTGCATCCCGCAAAGGCGGAGGTGTTGCTAACATTTACGATAGCAAATTTCAATTTACAAAAAATAAATGGCGTTTTCATCTTTTGAGCTTCTAGTCATGAAATCTATGCAGCCTACTCAATCACTTTTTATAGCTACTGTTTACAGGCCTCCTGGGCCATATACAGCGTTCCTCTCTGAGTTTCCTGAATTCCTATCAGACCTTGTAGTCATAGCAGATCATATTCTAATTTTTGGTGATTTTAATATTCACATGGAGAAGTCCACAGACCCACTCCAAAAGTCTTTCGGAGCCATTATCGACTCAGTGGGTTTTGTCCAACATGTCTCTGGACCTACTCACTGCCACAGTCATACTCTGGACCTAGTTTTGTCCCATGGAATAAATGTTGTAGATCTTAATGTTTTTCCACAAAATCCTGGACTATCGGACCACCATTTTATTACGTTTGCAATCGCAACAAATAATCTGCTCAGACCCCAACCAAGGAGCATCAAAAGTCGTGCTATAAATTCTCAGACAACACAAAAATTCATTGATGCCCTTCCAGACTCCTTCTGCCTACCCAAGGACGTCAGAGGACAAAAATCAGTTAACCACTTAACTGAGGAACTCAATTTAACCTTGCGCAATACCCTAGATGCAGTTGCACCCCTAAAAACGAAAAACATTTGTCATAAGAAACTAGCTCCCTGGTATACAGAAAATACCCGAGCTTTGAAGCAAGCTTCCAGGAAATTGGAACGGAAATGGCGCCACACCAAACTGGAAGTCTTCCGACTAGCTTGGAAAGACAGTACCGTGCAGTACCGAAGAGCCCTCACTGCTGCTCGATCATCCTACTTTTCCAACTTAATCGAGGGAAAATAAGAACAATCCAAAATTTCTTTTTGATACTGTTGCAAAGCTAACTAAAAAGCAGCATTCCCCAAGAGAGGATGGCTTTCACTTCAGCAGTGATAAATTCATGAACTTCTTTGAGGAAAAGATCATGACCATTAGAAAGCAAATTACGGACTCCTCTTTGAATCTGCGTATTCCTCCAGGGCTTAGCTGTCCTGGATCTGCACAGCTCTGCGAGGGCCTGGGATCGGGAGAGACACTTAAGTGTTTTAGTACTATATCTCTTGACACAATGATGAAAATAATCATGGCCTCTAAACCTTCAAGCTGCATACTGGATCCTATTCCTACTAAACTGCTGAAGGAGCTGCTTCCTGTGCTTGGCCCTCCTATGTTGAACATAATAAACAGCTCTCTATCCACCGGATGTGTACCAAACTCACTAAAAGTGGCAGTGATAAAGCCTCTCTTGAAAAAGCCAAACCTTGACCCGGAAAATATAAAAAACTATCGGCCTATATCGAATCTTCCATTCCTCTCAAAAATTTTAGAGAAAAAGCTGTTGCGCAGCAACTCACTGACTTTCTGAAGACAAACAATGTATACGAAATGCTTCAGTCTGGTTTTAGACCCCATCATAGCACTGAGACTGCACTTGTGAAGGTGGTAAATGACCTTTTAATGGCGTCAGACCGAGGCTCTGCATCTGTCCTCGTGCTACTAGACCTTAGTGCTGCCTTTGACACCATCGATCACCACATTCTTTTGGAGAGACTGGAAACCCAAATTGGTCTACACGGACAAGTTCTGGCCTGGTTTAGATCCTACCTGTCGGAAAGATATCAGTTTGTCTCTGTGAATGGTCTGTCCTCCGACAAATCAACTGTACATTTCGGTGTTCCTCAAGGTTCCGTTTTAGGACCACTATTGTTTTCACTATATATTTTACCTCTTGGGGATGTTATTCGAAAACATAATGTTAACTTTCACTGCTATGCGGATGACACACAGCTGTACATTTCAATGAAGCATGGTGAAGCCCCAAAATTGCCCTCGCTAGAAGCCTGTGTTTCAGACATAAGGAAGTGGATGGCTGAAAACTTTTTACTTTTAAACTCGGACAAAACAGAGATGCTTGTTCTAGGTCCCAAGAAACAAAGAGATCTTCTGTTAAATCTGACAATTAATCTTGATGGTTGTAAAGTCGTCTCAAATAAAACTGTGAAGGACCTAGGCGTTACTCTTGACCCTGATCTCTCTTTTGACGAACATATCAAGACTGTTTCAAGGACAGCTTTTTTCCATCTACGTAACATTGCAAAAATCAGAAATTTTCTGTCCAAAAATGATGCAGAAAAATTTATCCATGCATTTGTTACTTCTAGGTTAGACTACTGCAATGCTCTATTTTCCGGCTACCCGGATAAAGCACTAAATAAACTTCAGTTAGTGCTAAATACGGCTGCTAGAATCCTGACTAGAACCAAGAAATTTGATCATATTACTCCAGTGCTAGCTTCCCTACACTGGCTTCCTGTTAAGGCAAGGGCTGATTTCAAGGTTTTACTGTTAACCTATAAAGCGTTACATGGGCTTGCTCCTACCTATCTTTCCGAGTTGGTCCTGCCGTACATACCAATACGTACGCTACGGTCACAAGACGCAGGCCTCCTAATTGTCCCTAGAATTTCTAAGCAAACAGCGGGAGGCAGGGCTTTCTCCTATAGATCTCCATTTTTATGGAACAGTCTGCCTACCCATGTGAGAGACGCAGACTCGGTCTCAACCTTTAAGTCTTTACTGAAGACTTATCTCTTCAGTAGGTCATATGATTGAGTGTAGTCTGGCCCAGGAGTGTGAAGGTGAACGGAAAGGCTGGAGCAACGAACAGCCCTTGCTGTCTCTGCCAGGCCGGTTCCCCTCTCCACTGGGGTTCTCTGCCTCTAACCCTGTTGCAGGGGCTGAGTCACTGGCTTGCTGGTGCTCTTTCATGCCGTCCCTGGGAGGGGTGCGTCACTTGAGTGGGTTGAGTTACTGACGTGATCTTCCTGTCTGGGTTGGCGCCCCCCCCTTGGTTTGTGCTGTGGTGGAGACCTCTGTGGGCTATACTCGGCCTTGTCTCAGGATTGTAAGTTGGTGGTTGGGGATATCCCTCTAGTGGTGCGGGGGCTGTGCTTTGGCGGAGTGGGTGGGGTTATATCCTTCCTGTTTGGCCCTGTCCGGGGGTTTCTTCGGATGGGGCCACAGTGTCTCCGGACCGCTCCTGTCTCAGCCTCCAGTATTTATGCTGCAGTAGTTTATGTGTCGGGGGGCTGGGGTTAGTTGGTTATACCTGGAGTACTTCTCCTGTCTTATCCAGTGTCCTGTGTGAATTTAAGTATGCTCTCTCTAATTCTCTCGTTCTCTCTTTCTCTCTGAGAACCTGAGCCCTAGGACCATACGTCAGGACTACCGGGCATGATGACACCTTGCTGTCCCCAGTCCGCCTGGCCTTGCTGCTATTCCAGTTTCAACTGTTCTGCCTGCGGCTACGAAACCCCTACCTGTCCCAGACCTGCTGTTTTCAACTCTTAATGATCGGCTATGAAAAGCCAACTGAGAGACCTGAGCCCTAGGACCATACGTCGGGACTACCGGCCGTGGTGACTCCTTGCTGTCCCCAGTCCGCCTGGCCTTGCTGCTATTCCAGTTTCAACTGTTCTGCCTGCGGTTATGGAACCCCTACCTGTCCCAGACCTGCTGTTTTCAACTCTTAATGATCGGCTATGAAAAGCCAACTGAGATTTATTCCTGATTATTATTTGACCATGCTTGTCACTTATGAACATTTTTGAACATCTTGGCATGGTTCTGTTATAATCTCCACCCGGCACAGCCAGAAGAGGACTGGCCACCCCTCATAGCCTGGTTCCTCTCTAGGTTTCTTCCTAGGTTTTGCCTTTCTAGGGAGTTTTTCCTAGCCACCGTGCTTCTACACCTGCATTACTAGCTGTTTGGGGTTTTAGGCTGGGTTTCTGTACAGCACTTCGAGATATTAGCTGATGTAAGAAGGGCTATATAAAATAAAATTGATTGATTGATTGATTACACGTTGGGATCCTTAACGTTAACAAAAATCCCTAACCGAAAAACCATGTATTTCCCCCCAATTAATTATAAATCACAGTTTAGTTATAACAAAACATTATTTTCCGTGTTATAGCCAAATAGGCTATAAAGGCCTGGGGAAGTTGTGCAATTCAAATAAAACCAGAGAGGAAGAGGCGAAATGTAGGCTACTTGGTGAATTTGCAATGCATGACAAGACATTGCAAGATGCAGATTACCAAAACATATGAGCATGCTTCTGTCTCTCTCTCCCTGGCGCTGGCATGCCTGCTCGGTCTTCGCTAATGATGCAAGTGTGTGTTCAGTCTTCGGTCTGTTGCGTGTAGAATATCCTAGCCTATTCATGGCACCGACGTTTTAGGGCCAGTCTTGCGAGCACAGGGTAGCCTACTTAGTTTTGGTCTCATATGAAATGACAGTAGCCTGTATCGATTACGATTTTCAGACATATTGGGATGTGGCCCCTTGAAATCGCCTCGGCTACGGCATGTTTGATTGTCTGTTAGGGTAGGCTACACTACGGTTTTTAAAATGCCGACACCAAACCTTCTCTGGTGATATGAACGGACATTTTACTTGTCTGTAAAGGAATGCCGCTTCTTCACTAGGCAACCAGAACCGTCAATCAAATAATCTCCAACTGCTGCGCGCAAAGGTACAGACCTGATGCGGCACTTTTTTTAATTGTCTGAAAAGTTATCAATTGTCGCTATCGACATGTTACTGTAGCTGCGTTCTATGTCTGTAAAGGGTTGAAGTAGATAACTTAATTACCCTGACCTGGCGGTCAATTATAGGTAATAGGACCATTATTCTGCATTGTAAATTGACGTGGAATTTGAAGATTTTTTCTTATCGTTTTAATGGAAAACCGATTTTAAAAGATGCCCGTTTAAACCCTAAGCAAGATTGTCACGTCCCTAATTGGAACTGCAATGTAATGCATTGTAGAACGAAGGCGCAGAATGGCTAGCTTCTGTAGAGACATACGCATTAAATGTCAATGTATTGGGTAACAAACAAAAAAACATGAATGGCACAAATTATCATTCATTCAGCGGTGGACATTTACCTGTCTGTAGTAGACTTCGTAAACTGGGTTTCCACTCGATAACTACAGAGAAATCAAGAAAGGTCAGGGGAGATGTAGTTTTAAAAAAAAAGCACGTTTTACTTACACAATTTGGGCGTACTACATTCAACACATTTAGGAAAGACTTCAAAGATGTAGCCTATATGCTGTCACGGGTGAAGTCATAGTGAATCAACAGTCTAAATCTGTGTCACTGTCAGTATGAAGTGGTTTCAAGTCTGCCATAATCATCTCTAACTGGAGCAACCCACATTACTTGTAATAAAATTGAGCAAGTCAATAGCCATAAGAAACAGTGTGAAGATTAGGAAGATCAACAATGAAATGACAGCTGAGCTAACAAACACTACTGCAGTTCAACTTTTGGTGACTTGCTAACAAGCTAACTCCAAAAAGACTAGTAGCTAATTGTTTGACAGTGTTACTGACACAACTACGATAGTGAACATTGTCAATGTGATTCGGGATATTAGCTAAATATAGCTACAGCTAGCTAGATAGCAATCACTTAGCTAACACAACTAGCTACATTGTCGGCTTCTTTCCTGTTGGCGAAAATGCTAACAGCTAGCTAGATAGCTAACAAGGGGACCTGCATCAATCTTTGACCTCTCGGCTGATGGCTACCATATAATTCAATCACTTTCAAGATTTGTGAAACACTCGCTAATGTACACCATTTAACCATAGCAAAAAACATCTGGAAAGTAAGATGTTTGGTAAGTAGTTGGAGTTACCTGGGTGAGAGTCATGAGCGCCGCCATGTTTCCTGCTGTCTCGGGAGCGCGCACACCCTTGAAGCTACAACGCGCCTCAACACTGACAGCTCGACATTGTTGACATCAGTGGTGTGGAGGAGCGTGAATGCATGGCGAGGGAAAACCTGTTCTTTTCAGTAACACCGAGAAAAAAAGAGAATAGAATAGAACTACCTACACCCTTTTCTATTGCTCACCCTTTTCTATTCATTTTTTCCATTGTTATAAAGTGTCTGAAAAATCTGTTGGCAAATAAATTATGGTCATTAAAGAACACAGACATTCAATAAATGGGAATAAACACTCAAGGTGGATAACCTATTGCCGAGGCATTTTGCTTACTTACTGTACTCATTATTCAACAGGGGCACTATTGTTATAATTTATTGTCTGTCTTTATTACCGTTTTTATTATTGCTTTGGTGCTATTTTCACATGTACAGTACCAGTCAAAAGTTTGGACACACCTACTCATTCCAGGGTTTTTCTTTATTTTTAGTGAAGACATCAAAACTATGAAACAACGCATATAGAATCATGTAGTAACCAAAGAAGTGTTAAACAAATCAAAATATATATTTTCTATTTGAGATTCTTCAAGGTAGCCAAGCTTTGCACACTCTTGGCATTCTCTCAACCAGCTTCATGAGGTAGTCACCTGGAATGCATTTCAATTAACAGGTGTGCCTTGTTAAAAATTCATTTGTGGAATTTATTTCCTTCTTAATGCGTTTGAACCAATCAGTTGTGTTGTGACAAGTTAGGTGTGGTATACAGAAAGCCCTATTTGGTAAAATACCAAGTCCATATTATGGCAAGAACAGCTCAAATAAGCAAAGAGAAATGACAGTCCATCATTATTTTAAGTCATGAAGTTCAGTCAATACGGAACATTTCAAGAATTTTCAAGCGCTATGATGAAACTGGCTATCATGAGGACCGCCACAGGAATGGAAGACCCAGAGTTACCTCTGCTGCAGAGGATAAGTTCATTAGAGTTAGCTGCACCTCAGATTGCAGCCCAAATAAATGCTTCACAGAGTTCAAGTAACAGACACATCTCAACATCAACTGTTCAGAGGGGACTGTGTGAATCAGGCCTTCATGGTCGAATTGCTGCAAAGAAACCACTACTAAAGGACACCAATAATAAGAAGAGACTTGCTTGGGTCAAGAAACACGAGCAATGGACATTAGACTGGTGGAAATCTGTCCTTTGGTCTGATGAGTCCAAATTTGAGATTTTTGGTTCCAACCACCGTGTCTTTGTGAGACGCAGAGTAGGTGAACGGATGATCTCCGTATGTGTGGTTCCCACTGTGAAGCATGGAGGAGGAGGTGTGATGGTGTGGGGGTGCTTTGCTGGTGACACTGTTGGTGATTTATTTAGAATTCAAGGCACACTTAACCAGCATGGCTACCACAACATTCTGCAGCAATACGCCATCCCATCTGGTTTGCGCTTAGTGAGACTATCATTTGTTTTTCAACAGGACAATGACCCAAAACACACCTCAAGGCTGTGTAAGGGCTATTTGACCAAGAAGGAGAGTGATGGAGGGCTGCATCAGATGACTTGGCCTCCACAATCACCCGACCTCAACCCAAATGAGATGGTTTGGAATGAGTTGGACCACAGAGTGAAGGAAAAGCAGCCAACAAGTGCTCAGCATATGTGGGAACTCTATAATCTAAAATATATTTTAATTTGTTTAACACTTTTTTGGTTACTACATGATTCCATATGTGCTATTTCATAGTTTTGATGTCTTCACTATTATTCAACAATGTAGAAAATAGTAAAAATAAAGAACCCTTGAATAAGTAGGTGTGTCCAAACTTTTGACTGGTACTGTATGTGATGAATTTCATTAGTACAAAATTACAAAACTACAAACTGGTAACACTTGTAACGCAGCCAGTCATACATAATATATCTTTCATTGTGCGTTAATTTTGTTTGTAGACATCTTTCACCACACAACCATTGATCCAAAATATACGTTTACTGTGAAATATAATGACTACATTGGTTTAATCACCAAAACACAACATAATGATATCTTATCAATTTAGTTATTTTAACAACCATTTCATCCAATAGCAAAACATTTAAGATACATGTTTCAAAACTGCCCTTTGAATGTAGTATGCTACAGTACTGTAAACTACAGTACATTACAGAGTTTTCAAATTAGGCAATACACTTGCACTACCCATTCAAATTGACTGAACATCAAATGTATTTGTATTTGTTATGGATCCCTATTAGTTCCTGCCAAGGCAGCAGCTACTCTTCCTGGGGTCCGGCAAAATGAAGGCAATTATACATTTTTAAAAACATTACAATACATTCATAACAGATTTCACAACATATTAAGTGTGTCCTCAGGCCCCTACTCTACTACCACATATCCACAACACAAAAATGTGTAAGTGTGTGTATAGTGTGTATGTTATCGTGTGTTTGTATGCATGTGTCTGTGCCTATGTTTGTGTTGCTTCACAGTCCCCGCTGGTCCGTAAGGTGTATTTTTATCTGTTTTTTAAATCTAATTTTACTGCTTGCATCAGTTACTTGATGTGGAATAGAGTTCCATGTAGTCATGGCTCTATGTAGTACTGTGCGCCTCCCATAGTCTGTTCTAGACTTGGGGACTGTGAAGAGACCTCTTGTGGCATGTCTTGTGGGGTATGCATGGGTGTTCGAGCTGTGTGCCAGTATTGCAAACAGACAGCTCGGTGCATTCAACTACCTGTTGTAGTGGTGTAGTCAATCTCTCCTCCACTTTGAGCCAGGAGTGATTGACATGCATATTACTTATGTTAGCTCTCTGTGTACATCCAAGGGCCAGCCATGCTCCCCTTTTCTGAGCCAAATTTAATTTTCTAAGTCCCTTTTTGTGGCACCTGACCACACGAATGAACAGTAGTCCAGGTTCAACAAAATTAGGGCCTGTAAGACCTGCCTTGTTGATAGTGCTGTTAAGAATGCAGAAAAGCGCTTTATTATGGACAGACTTCTCCCCATCCTAGCTACTGTTGTATCAATATGTTTTGACCATAACAGTTTACAATCCAGGGTTACTCCAAGCAGTTTAGTCTCCTCAACTTGCTCAATTACCACATTATTCATTGCAAGATTTAGTTGAGGTTTAGTGTTTAGTGAATGATTTGTCCCAAATACAATGCTTTTAGTTTTTGAAATATTTAGGACTAACTTATTCCTTGCCACCCATTCTAACTAAGCGCAGCTCTTTGTTAAGTTTTGCAATCATTTCAGTCGCTGTGGTAGCTGACGTGTATAGTGTTGAGTCATCCGCATACATAGACACACTGGCTTTATTCAAAGCCAGTGGCATTTCGTTATTAAAGATTGAAAAAAGTAAGGGACCTAGACAGCTGCCCTGGGGAATTCCTGATTCTACCTGGATTTAGTTGGAGAGGCTTTCATTAAAGAACACCCCCTGTGTTATGTTAGACAGGTAACTCTTTATCCACAATATAGCATGGGGTGCAATACCATAACACATACATTTTTCCAGGAACAGACTATGATCGATAATGTCAAAAGCTGCACTGAAGTCTAAGAAAACAGCCCACATAATATTTTTGTCATCAATTTCTCTCAGCCAATCATCAGTCATTTGTGTAAGTGCTGTGCTTGTTGAATGTCCTTCCCTATAAGCGTTGCAAAGAAAAAGCCATATCTCATACTGGCCAATAAAAATAAAAGATTAAGATGGGCAGTCTGAGATATGGCTTTTTCTTTGCAACTCTGCGTAGAAGGTCAGCATCTCGGAGTCGCCTCTTCACTGTTGACGTTGAGACTGGTGTTTTGCGGGTACTATTTAATGAAGCTGACAGTTGAGGACCTGTGAGGCATCTGTTTCTCAAACTAGACACTCTAATGTATTTGTCCTCTTGCTCAGTTGTGCACCGGGGCCTCCCACTCCTCTTTCTATTCTGGTTAGAGCCAGTTTGCGCTGTTCTGTGAAAGGAGTAATACACAGCGTTGTACGAGATCTTCAGTTTCTTGGCAATTTCTCGCATGGAATAGCCTTCATTTCTCAGAACAAGAATAGACTGACGAGTTTCAGAAGTTATTTGTTTATGGCCATTTTGAGCCTGTAATCGAACCCACAATTGCTGACGCTCCAGATACTCAACTAGTCTCAAGAAGCCCAGTTTTATTGCTTCTTTAATCAGCACAACAGTTTTCAGCTGTGCTAACATAATTGCAAAATGGTTTTCTAATGATCAATTAGCCTTTTAAAATGATAAACTTGGATTAGCAAACACAACGTGCCATTGGAACTCTGGACTGATGGTTGCTGATAATGGGCCTCTGTACGCCTATGTAGATATTCCATTAAAAATCAGCCATTTCCAGCTACAATAGGCGGCAGGTAGTTTAGATGTTAAGAGCGTTGTGCCAGTAACCGAAAGGTCGCTGGTTCTAATCCGCGAGCCGACTAGGTGAAAAATCTGTCGATGCGCCCTTGAGCAAGGCACTTAACCCTAATTGCTCCTGTAAGTCGCTCTGGATAAGAGCGTCTGCTAAATGACTAAAATGTAAATGCAATGACAGTTGAGGACCTGTGAGGCATCTGTTTCTCAAACTAGACACTCTAATGTATTTGTCCTCTTGCTCAGTTGTGCACCGGGGCCTCCCACTCCTCTTTCTATTCTGGTTAGAGCCAGTTTGCGCTGTTCTGTGAAAGGAGTAATACACAGCGTTGTACGAGATCTTCAGTTTCTTGGCAATTTCTCGCATGGAATAGCCTTCATTTCTCAGAACAAGAATAGACTGACGAGTTTCAGAAGTTATTTGTTTATGGCCATTTTGAGCCTGTAATCGAACCCACAATTGCTGACGCTCCAGATACTCAACTAGTCTCAAGAAGCCCAGTTTTATTGCTTCTTTAATCAGCACAACAGTTTTCAGCTGTGCTAACATAATTGCAAAATGGTTTTCTAATGATCAATTAGCCTTTTAAAATGATAAACTTGGATTAGCAAACACAACGTGCCATTGGAACTCTGGACTGATGGTTGCTGATAATGGGCCTCTGTACGCCTATGTAGATATTCCATTAAAAATCAGCCATTTCCAGCTACAATAGGCGGCAGGTAGCTTAGTGGTTAAGAGCGTTGTGCCAGTAACCGAAAGGTCGCTGGTTCTAATCCGCGAGCCGACTAGGTGAAAAATCTGTCGATGCGCCCTTGAGCAAGGCACTTAACCCTAATTGCTCCTGTAAGTCGCTCTGGATAAGAGCGTCTGCTAAATGACTAAAATGTAAATGCAATGACAGTTGAGGACCTGTGAGGCATCTGTTTCTCAAACTAGACACTCTAATGTATTTGTCCTCTTGCTCAGTTGTGCACCGGGGCCTCCCACTCCTCTTTCTATTCTGGTTAGAGCCAGTTTGCGCTGTTCTGTGAAAGGAGTAATACACAGCGTTGTACGAGATCTTCAGTTTCTTGGCAATTTCTCGCATGGAATAGCCTTCATTTCTCAGAACAAGAATAGACTGACGAGTTTCAGAAGTTATTTGTTTATGGCCATTTTGAGCCTGTAATCGAACCCACAATTGCTGACGCTCCAGATACTCAACTAGTCTCAAGAAGCCCAGTTTTATTGCTTCTTTAATCAGCACAACAGTTTTCAGCTGTGCTAACATAATTGCAAAATGGTTTTCTAATGATCAATTAGCCTTTTAAAATGATAAACTTGGATTAGCAAACACAACGTGCCATTGGAACTCTGGACTGATGGTTGCTGATAATGGGCCTCTGTACGCCTATGTAGATATTCCATTAAAAATCAGCCATTTCCAGCTACAATAGGCGGCAGGTAGCTTAGTGGTTAAGAGCGTTGTGCCAGTAACCGAAAGGTCGCTGGTTCTAATCCGCGAGCCGACTAGGTGAAAAATCTGTCGATGCGCCCTTGAGCAAGGCACTTAACCCTAATTGCTCCTGTAAGTCGCTCTGGATAAGAGCGTCTGCTAAATGACTAAAATGTAAATGCAATAGCCATTAACAACGTCTACACTGTATTTCTGATCAATTTGATGTTACTTTAATGGACAAAAAAAATTGCTTTTCTTTCAAAAACAAGGACATTTCTAAGTGACCCCAAACTTTTGAACGGTAGTGTGTCATACTTATGTCAAATCATAATAGTCATTATTATAGTAGTACATTTGAGTGTATATCATACATATGTTTCTACTTTACATACATGTTAATTATGTAGTTCTCAAAATCTGTAGTAGACAAACCAGTTTACATGTAAAACCTATAGGTTTACCAAACGTTTAAGTGATCATCAATTAGGAGCAGTTGGATTAATAGTAAAATGTATTTTAACAAAAGAGAGAAGGGAATCGTATCAAAAGTAATGTGAGCGTTGCATTGTGAAAGGCAATTACTTTATATGAACATGTATTGCAATGTGAAACTACATTTGGTGAAAAAGTTACTATAGATTTTGTGTGTTGTACTTAAGTCAATTGAAAATGTGCTTAGTTTTGAAACTGCCCTTTTGATCTGTTTTGAGTTTTGTACTAAGTTGTGAAAATATACCACCTACTTGTGAAAGTTGCACCAAAGCGATAAAAACTATTCTCCAGTGTTATTAATTGTGTTGTCGCCCCCATGTGGCAAAATGTTTAAATTATTTTTGATTAATCTAAATCGGTTCATCACGTCAGACCATTCTCTTTAGATTATTATTCCTACACAGAGCGTCTATGTCAAACAATATTTTCTGTATAATGTGTAGGGGGTCAATGATAAGACCGCATAGTTAAATTATTTTAATAAAACTTTGGTATCAATAACAATGTTATAAGACAAGTGTGCATTCCTAGGTGACATTGCCGTACAACATGGGGTTGACCTGACCGCAATTAGATGTGTGGTGTCCAACAGGCCCTTGGCATTGTTAGGATGGAATGCCATTCAACTATAACCTAAACAATCTCCACACTTTCAAGGGGGAAAAAAAAGGAACATTTGCAAATAAAATATTTGAAATTCAAAGCAGGGAAAAATTATTGACAATCACAGCGTTGAACAGGAGGGATAATTGATAAATTACTAATCTTTCACAATATTCATCAAAACGCAAAGAACCCAACTTTGTTTTAATGGCCACGCAAGTAATCTCATTGAACACACATGGAAACAAACAGTAAAGATCAAGGAAACGGTAGGGAAATTCAGTGCGAAACAAATTGATGTAATGAGAATACAGTACAATAATGATGAGCTCATTTGAATGACAAGAAGATCCAGGTCTATGAGATGGCATGTTATGAAATCTGTCCCACTTAAAAAAAAATTAAAAAAAACATTCAGTGGTATAAGAACACATTTATTTCCAAACGATGACAACCAGTGACTTTGTGAATAACTGTAGAGCGGTGAACGTCTTGGTGAGTTAAGATGATTTGGAAGAAATGGCAGAGTAGATGATAGGGGGAATATAGCAATGGGGGGGGAATATAGCAATGTTACACAGTTCAACAGTAATGGACTGCTGGTAAACATAAAGACACTGAACATATTAGCCAATCAACCATGACATACTGGATTGGAAGGAGCTATGAATGTCATATCTGGATAGGGGGGAAAATAAAAACGTACAAACTGATGTGTGAATCACTTGAAGTCCAATATCACCCACTCTCTGCATCCCAAATGGCACCCTATCCCCTATATAGTACACTACTCACCAGAGGCCCTGGTCAAAAGCAGCGCAGTATATAGGAGATAGGGTGCAATTTGGGATACACACACTTCAGTAAAGCTTGTAACCTGAGATGGGGCCCGTTGGCTTCTCAGGGGATGGATGCATAGCAGCCATGATAACTCCCTGGTTACTTGTGCCAGAGTGGGACCGACACCCTCAAATCGCAAATCAACCCCTAGCTCCTACCCCATAGGCACTTGTGTAGATCTCAGAGGATTGGATCATTGGCAGATCCTCTGTTAGGTCAGATGGAATTGTAGCCAAATTGTGGACACCCTTCTGGTTCTCTGAGATCTACACCATGGACTAGGACAGTGGTTAGGGGTTGAATTGGGATTCAGAGACAGACGCTCTGTCCAGGCCACCCTATAGCTCATCTTTCCCTGGAGCCTCCTCTTCCTCAGTTCCTTCCTCTGGCGTCTCTTCCTCCTCACCCTCCTCTTCACCTTCCTCCTCACCCTCCTCTTCACCTTCCTCCTCACCCTCCTCCTCAGTGGCTTGTTCTTTGTTTTTCCCTTCCTCCTCTTTACGTTTCTTGTCGTCTTCCTCCCGTTTCATTTTCTTCTCTGGCTCCTGCGGCAGGTAGACAATAAAGAGGGGTGTTAACAGTAGATGCACTAGTATTGACAGTGAACTGGAAGCCATTTTGTGGTAGTTGGCATGTTCGTCATTTCTCCTGAAGCCCAGCACTAGGACACACCGATTCAACTAATCAAGGAGTTGATGAATTGATTCAGGTGTGTTAGTACTGGGAATGTACAGTACACTCCTGTGTGAGTGACCGACAGGTAAACACTCATAGGAGAACAGCGGAGAGGGCCATCCAGTTAAACACAGTATAGTTATTACATACCTTAGTAACACCCCATGTCTCAGCTCCAAACTCCTCTGCTTCCTTCACATCATCTGTGATCAGGAAGTTGTCAAAGATTGTGCCAGATTTCACCTGAAAAAAGATAAAACACCAACATCATGAGTTTATCTGATCAGATGTATTGTTTTATCTACATTGATAACATTTTACCTGACCAGGAAAAGGCTCTACTATCTACCATTAGCATTACTCTAGATAGTCATAGGGCCAGAAGGGTATACTACAAAGGAAGCTTGATCTACTCTGGGTCCTTTGATAAGCCAGAAATAACCACTAATGTTCTGGCTCACTAATAAAGCTAAACTTCGATGTGTGTTTTTTGGTTGAGTCAGCTAGATCGTTCCCATTTCAAGCTTATCTTAAAAAAAGAAAAATATTTTAAAAAAAAAGACAAAAAAAGCTGGTCCCGTGTAGCTCAGTTGGTAGAGCGTGGCGCTTGCAACGCCAGGGTTGTGGGTTCGATTCCCACGGGGTGGGGGGGCAGTATGAAAAATGTATGCACTCACTAACTGTAAGTCGCTCTGGATAAGAGCGTCTGCTAAATTACTAGAATGTCAAATGTAATTCACCCTGCTTTGTAGTAAGCCAACTGAAGCTTGCTAGCTTTAGAAGACCCTGAGTTGATCTAGCTTCCTTTGTAGTATACCCCTCAGGAGTTTCTTGGCAAGGTCACATGGTCAGGTAAAACTTGTGAACGTACAAATATAAAAGTTTCTCACAGGTGTCCACCATTGAGATGCATATATTTTATTAAATATATCATATTAGAAATACGTAGCATCTATGTACAATATATGATGTTCTATTTCAATTCTGCGGTGTGCAGTCTCACCTGCCACAGATCCAGACCCAGGACACTGATGTCATCAAACTTGTAGATGGTAGAGTCAGCGGCGTACTCTGGGTTATCGATCTCAGGATGGACCCAGGCTCCTTTGTAGTTGGGGTTGTCAATCTGCTTGGGCTTCCACTCTCCCTGAGGACACAATGCAAGGTTGTTGCTTTTAAAGGTCTTAGCCATTGTTTTAAAGGCGCATTCTCCCTGCACCTTAGCCCAGGGCTAAGGAAGATTTTAGCGAGTGTTCACAAGTGGGCTAGCATTAACCATTGCCCAGGGCTAGCCCCAGAAACACGGTGCCAAAATAGCCAGTGTGAAACAGGGTCAAGAACAATGCCTAGAATGCTCACTGTCCAATCACAAAAGCTGCACTGAAATTTATTTGAATATGCAGCTGATGCCTGTAATGTGTTCTGCACTATTTCATCCATGCAAAAACATTGGTTGCTACGCCTAACAAAAGTGGTTGCTATGCAGGCTGGCTAATGTCTTCTCACTTAGCCAACTAAAGCTACAAACTCTACAGCTGGAAGGGCAGCAAACACTCCATTTGTCTGTTTTCATAGGTTTTATATTGACATTTAATTGGATATAGTCACGATAAGAATATTGTTGCAGGATTTTGCCTGGATCAGAAAAGTTGCTCTCGTTCTCCGTGTACAGGGGCGAGATGGCATTTCAAAAGTGAAACATTGTTTCCGAGGTCAGACAGCAAGGCTTATACAAACCATCACTGTTGGAAATCAAATGCTAGGCCAGAAGCAAGAGGAAATCGGGTTAATAAATGTCTTATTGCTTGTAACATTCGTCGCGTGTCAGAGATAAAAAGGTAGCCTAGCGGTTAAGAGCTTTGGGACAGTAACTGAAAGGTTGCTGGTTCGAATCCCTGAGCTGACTAGGTTAAAAAAAAAATCTGCCAATGTGCCCTTGAGCAAGGCACTTAACCCTAATTGCGCCTGTAAGTTGCTCTGGATAAGAGCGTCTACTAAATGACTGAAATGCCAAATAAAAATGTTGGTCGCATGTTGCGTTTGTCCGTTAGCCCAGGGCTTTGGAATACGTGTGAATACTTAGCCCAGGGCTAAATCTTGGCCCAGGGTAAAAAAAAAAATGCTTGTGCGAACACAGGCTAAGCTAGCCCCTGGGGCTAAGAACAATGCAGTGTGAAAAGGCCTAAAGAGTCTTCCTCAACTTGCCTCAGCCAGTTGCACAACATAAAGGTTATTGTTTAAGTCTCTGACACCATTTTAAAAGCCTTCTTTTTTTTTTTTTTTTTTTTGGGTTACAGTAGCCAGTTTTGCAACATAAACGGTCCGAATTGTGTGGCATTATTTCAGGACAACTTCCTCCATTCCACAAAAACTGAATGGCAACACAAGCTGTTGCAAAAATGTTGCTAGAACTTCCCTTTCAAGAATAACACGTTTCTCCAACGTTGCGGTCTTGAATACCCCTCTGGCTAAGCACGTCGCATTGACAACGTAGCTGAAAACACACACTCCTCTTGGTTCAGTTTGATAACACATCCCCTCCGTAGGCTAGTATAGTGTTTCTCAACTAAGTGGTCCTCTGTAGCTCAATTGGTAGAGCATGGCGCTTGTAACGCCAGGGTAGTGGGTTCGATCCCCGGGACCACCCATACGTAAAAATGTATGCACACGACTGTAAGTCGCTTTGGACAAAAGCATCTGCTAAATGGCATATTATTATTATTATTATTATTATAACTAATGTCCTTGAGTACCACCCATCGGACATTTTTGCCCTAGCCCCACACTAGCACACCTGATTCAACTACTTATATCAAGCCTTTGATCAGTTGAATTAGGTGCACTTGTGATGGGCAAGAAGACTGGAGTTGAGGAACACTGGTATAGTCTGATCACCCCCCCCCCCCCCCCCAGCCCAGCTTAACACACACCTTGTACTCTGGGTTGGGGATCACAGGAGGCTCCCACTCTCCATCCATATCCTCGTCCCAGTCGTCAGGCTTCTTAGCATCAGGGTCAGGGATGTTCTCAGCCACATCCCAGTCCTGGAAGAATACAACACAGCCATTTACTACTACAGTACAGTACAGCTTACTGAACCAGTCCTGGACACATAGCTTACAATATAATCACTTCCTGCTATGGCACGTCGAGGTCAGCCTCACTACATCATGGTCAAACAGTAATACTATAGACTTGGAGTAAAATAGGTGTTGGTACTCAGTTTGGTCACTGGTACTGTTTATATTTAGGTGCAGGAGCTCCACAATACTTTTGAGCTAATATTCTATGAGAGGAACAGGAGCTCAAGCAGTAGAACATTTGAGGTGCCTGTAATCAACTCCGGTTAGCTCCTGCCCAAGTCAAGCACTGACTATAGTAATAATGAGGCATCCGTCCTCTACTTTCTTTTACTGGGTGTATTTTACAGTAAAGTATATTCATATGATCTAAATGCAGTTTAAATAAAGTTGGATTTGATCCGAATAGGTTTGGTGCCTAGTGGTGTTTAAAGACAGCGGTTGTACCTCTGGCTTGGTGTCTTCAGCGTCGTCCATCTTGGGGCGGTCGTCCCAGTCCTCGGGCTTCTTGGCCTCAGGGTCCTTGATGGTCTTAGCTGGCAGGAAGTCCCAGTCCTCCTCCAGAGTGCCTGACTCCACCTTCTCGTTATCAATCTTCACCTCGTAGGTCTGGTTTGGGTTCAGGATCAGTGTGTACAGGTGGGTCAGCTCATCATCCTGAAGAGGGGGAGAGAGATCGCTTAGGTTAAAGTAGGTGTGTGAGAGAGGAGTCAGACGGGGAGAGAGATGGTAATCATGTTATGGACTTTTCCCAGAGGCCAGAAGACTCAAAATGAGCACCTTACCTTGCACTTGACTTCCTTCTTGATGAGATGATTCTTGCCCTTGTAGTTGAAGATGACGTGGACCTTCTTGGTGCTGTAGCCACAGATGTCAGGGCCCTGTACAGGTTTCAGGACAGAATATGAGCAAAGTAGCACTATAGGCCTTGCATCCAAACCTTCCATCCAATCACCACCAAGCTTTTCTATATAAATGAGTCATTGTCACACACAACAGTCCTGATGTTCCTGCCCAAGGTAGTCAGACCAGGAAATAAACCTACTCATAGGCTACAACAAGCACCCAGAGTTTTCCCTGGCATGTCACAACGTGTTCCAAGTCAGGAAAAACACCGGTGTGTATTCACTAACCAAACGGAAGCAAATGGGACAAAATGGGGCGGGACCTACCTGAATATGTCCAATAGAAATGCTTGTTTATGTTGCAAAATGTTTGGCTACAGTTTTCTATGATGTGCACTAATGAACGCACCCCAGGGTCCTGCCCATAAGACCAGACAGAGTACCTACCGAACATGATGTAGTACTGGGAGTCTCCGTGCATCTCAGCCTGGTTCAGGGTGGAGGGGAACACCTTAACGTAACCACCGCCACAGTCGATTTTCTGCTCGTGTTTCACAGTGAACTGGATCACCAGAGTCTTTCCCTCGTTGCTGAAGGGCTGGAAGCGGGCCGAAGCGGCATAGAAATGGGCGTCCTGGCTGGTCTGGAGACCTGGGGACACAGCCAGAGCGACGCATGATGAACACTGATTAATACTCACTGTATCACAGTCATAATGACACCAAAGTCGCAATACACCCTAACAGCAATTATCAGTATCCCAGATAACAGAACAAGTTCATTGACCTCAGCCATACAGCAGGTCGCAGGATTGTGGTAAATTCCATCAACTCAGGAAGTAAACTGAAGTACATTGAAAAGCACTGAGCATAATTGTAATTTCAGATTACTTCCTAAATTGACCCCAACCCCAGCAGGCAATAAGGAAACTGACCCAGCAGGCAATAAGGAAACTGACCCAGCAGGCAATATGGAAACTGACCCAGCAGGCAATATGGAAACTGACCCAGCAGGCAATATGGAAACTGACCCAGCAGGCAATAAGGAAACTGACCCAGCAGGCAATAAGGAAACTGACCCAGCAGGCAATAAGGAAACTGACCCAGCAGGCAATAAGGAAACTGACCCAGCAGGCAATAAGGAAACTGACCCAGCAGGCAATAAGAAAACTGACCCAGCAGGCAATAAGGAAACTGACCCAGCAGGCAATAAGAAAACTGACCCAGCAGGCAATAAGGAAACTGACCCAGCAGGCAATAAGGAAACTGACCCAGCAGGCAATAAGAAAACTGACCCAGCAGGCAATAAGGAAACTGACCCAGCAGGCAATAAGGAAACTGACCCAGCAGGCAATATGGAAACTGACCCAGCAGGCAATAAGGAAACTGACCCAGCAGGCAATAAGGAAACTGACCTAGTAAGGTCAGCGACCCAGGGGCCAATCAGGAACTAACCTTTGTCCTTCTCAGCATCTCCATAGAAGTTACCAGCTGTCAGTTTCCACTCTCCATAGTCTGCCTTGTGCTTGGAGTCCAGCCAGCGAGTCTTCCAGGCATCTGCTGAAAGATACACCAAACAATGAACTGTCAGAATCCTCAAAAATGAAGAGCACAGTGACTGATATCACCTTACAGTGTATAATATGGCATATAAGGCCTTCTCCATCTCAAACACAGTAATTGTACAGTACAGACTATCTGATAGGTGCAAAAACACTATTCCTTTCAGTTTTGATTAAAGGTGTCACTAGCCACTTCTCTGATGACATACACAAAAACAAATGTTACAATCGTCTTGATGATTAGTTATAGTGAGTAAAACGTTACAAATGGAGCCCATGAATCTGGCTGAATAGACCACTGGCTGAATAGACCTAACTAGACAACTAAGCTAACGTGACTGTAGTTAGCTAACTAGTTAGTTAAGTAAGTCTGCAAATGTTACATTGTCAAAGCTAACTTCTCCACATTCTTTCAATGTGTAGCAATATAACTAGCATTAACATGGGAGTAATCAATTTGCAACAAAATCTGCAGTATAAAGTTAAATTGAAGAGAAGGCAGTGTGACATCACATTTACAGGTCCATCTTTGAAACTCGTGCATGGCCTGAGTAAGTAGGTTAGCTAGCTAACGTTTCTAGACGAGGGTGGAATGAGAAATAAAACGAACTTACCTCCATCAAGGAATTGTTCTTGAAAGTAAACGGTAGCATGCACAGAAAGTATGGACAGAATTATCGCGAATGATCCCAAGGCCTGCATTTTGACTGCCTCAAGCTTCAACGTTGTCTTCAAAAGAGACTCTTGAAGGAAATGTCTTGTGATTTCATTGAATGACACAAGGAAGGGAAAGCGATTTCGGAATTGCTCGAGTGAACAGATGTCTGCCTCTCATTGGTTCAAACGTTGTCAGCCTAAACCAATCAGGTGAGACCACGAAACACTCGCTCTGTCATTCCTCTTCCGGGGAACTCATTTCCGCTGAACCAGTGGTAAATTGTTTTGACTTGATAGTACACAGTTTATGTCAAAATTGAATTTTCATAAAAGGTTAGTAGAACTTACGTAGCAAGTTAGGATAACTTATGCAGCAGGTTAGGAGAATTAACATAGCAGCTTTGGAAAAGGGTTAGGGTTAGCTCAAATACAAACATTTCTAACTTTTAAAGTCAGATTCATGATCAGATTGAGCGGTATTCGCAACTTGTGAAATTGTATATCATTCATTCTTATCAAATTGTAAAGTTGTAAAATTGGCCTCACACCTCACTCTTATTGTTGCATCAGTTGAATCTACCTTTAAATTAATGATCAACATAGAAGCATTGCTTTTTTCTTGTTATTTTTCTTATTTTTCTTATTATATTCCCCCCCCCCCCCCCCCTTCGGAGGCCCAAAATAACTAGTTTTATGTATGCATGTACAAGTACCAGTCAAAAGTTTGGACACAAAACCTACGCATTCAATGGTTTTTCTTTATTTTTACTATTTTTTCTACATTGTAGATAATAGTGAAGACATCAAAATTATTAAATATACATATGGACATGTAGTAACCAAAAAGAAGTTTAACAAATCAAAATAATTTTATATTTGCGATTCTCAAATAGCCACCCTTTGCTTTGATGACAGCTTTGCACACTCTTGGCATTCTCTCAACCAGCTTACATGAGGTAGTCACCTGGAATGCATTTCAATTAACAGGTGTGTGCCTTGTTAAAAGTTAATTTGTGGAATTAATTTCCTTCTTAATGTGTTTGAGCCAATCAGTTGTGTTGTGACAAGGTAGGGGGGGTATACAGAAGATAGCCCTATCTGGTAAAAGACCAAGTCCATATTATGGCAAGAACAGCTCAAATAAGCAAAGAGCAATTTCAGTCCATCATTACTTTAAGACATGAAGGTCAGTCAATACGGAATATTTCAAGAACTTTTCTTCAAGTGCAGTCGCAAAAACTGACCTTCATGTCTTAAAGTAATGATGGACTGAAATTGCTCTTTGCTTATTTGAGCTGTTCTTGCCATAATATGGACTTGGTCTTTTACCAGATAGGGCTATCTTCTGTATACCCCCCCTACCTTGTCACAACACAACTGATTGGCTCAAACACATTAAGAAGGAAATTAATTCCACAAATTAACTGAATTATCATTTCTCTACCATAAGCCGCCTCCAACATCGTTTTAGAGAATTTGGCAGTACGTCCAACCGGCCTCACAACCGCAGACCACGTGTAACCACGCCAGCCCACGACCTCCATATCCGGCTTCTTCACCTGCGGGATCGTCTGAGACCAGCCACCCGGACAGCTGATGAAACTGAGGAGTATTTCTGTCTGTAATAAAGCCCTTTTGTGGGGAAAAACACATTCTGATTGGCTGGCCCTGGCTCCCAAGTGGGTGGGCCAGGCTCCCCAGTGGGAGGTGCACCCCTGCCCAGTCATGTGAAATCCATAGATCAGGGCCTAATTCATTCATTTCAATTGACTGATTTCCTTATATGAACTGTAACTCAGTAAAACCGTTGAAATTGTTGCATGTTATATTTATATGTTTGTTCAATAATAATATGTAAAATGTATATGTAAAGTGCATTCGGAAAGTATTCAGACCCCTTGACTTTTCCACATTGTATTACGTTACAGCCTTATTCTAAAATTGATAAAATTATTTTAATTCCTGTCCACCCGTGGTAAATTAATTTGATTGGACATGATTTGGAAAGGCACACACCTGTCTAAATAAGGTCCCACAGTTGACAGTGCATGTCAAAGAAAAACCAAGCCATGAGGTCGAAGGAATTGGCCGTAGAGCTCAGAGACAGGATTGTGTCGAGGCACAGATCTGGGGAAGGGTACCAAAACACATCTGCAGCATTGAAAGTCCCTAAGAACACAGTGGCCTCCGTCATTCTTAAATGGAAGAAGTTTGGAACCACCAAGACTCTTCCTAGAGCTGGCCAACCGGCCAAACTGAGCAATCGGGGGAGAAGGGCCTTGGTCAGGGAGGTGACCAAGAAACCGATGGTCACTCTGACAGAGCTCCAGAGTTCCTCTTTGGAGATGGGAGAACCTTCCAGAAGGACAACCATCTCTGCAGCACTCCACCAATCAGGCCTTTATGGTAGAGTGGCCAGACGGAAGCCACTCCTCAGTAAAAGGCACATTACAGCCCGCTTGGAGTTTGCCAAAAGGCACCTAAAAACTATCAGACCATGACAAACAACATTCTCTGGTCTGATGAAACCAAGATTGAACTCTTTGGCCTGAATGCCAAGCATCACATCTGGAGGAAACCTGGCACCATCCCTACGGTGAAGCATGGTGGTGGCAGCATCATGTTGTGGGGATGTTTTTTAGCGGCAGGGACTGGGAGACTAGTCAAGATCGAGGGAAAGATGAACGGAGCAAAGTACAGGGAGATCTTTGATGAAAACCTGCTCCAGAGCGCTCAGGACCTCAGACTGGGGTGAAGGTTCACCTTCCAACAGGACAACGACCCTTAGCACACAGCCAAGACAATGCAGGAGTGGCTTCGGGACAAGTCTCTGAATGTCCTTGAGTGGCCCAGCCAGAGCCCGGACTTGAACCCAATCGAACATCTCTGGAGAGACCTGAAAATAGCTGTGCAGCGACACTCCCCATCCAACCTGACAGAGCTTGAGAGGATCTGCAGAGAAGAATGGGAGAAACTCCCCAAATGTAGGTGTGCCAAGCTTGTAGCGTCATACCAAAGACTTGAGGCTGTAATCGCTGCCAACGGTGCTTCAACAAAGTACTGAGTAAAGAGTCTGAATACTTATGTAAATGTTATTTTTCCGGGCTCTTTTTTTATACATTTGCAAATATGTCTAAAAACCTGTTTTTGCTTCGTCATTATGGGGTATTGTGTGTAGATTGATGAGGGGAAAAAACGATTTAATCAATTTTAGAATAAGGCTGTAACGTAACAAAATGTGGAAAAAGTCAAGGGGTGTGAATACTTTCCGAATGCACTGTATATGTAGCAAAAAAGCTGTAGAACCATTGCTTTACTAATGTCACTGCGTTATAATATCTTTGTTTTCAAATGAATGTAGCCTACAGTACAAGTTTTTGTCAACTGGAAACATTTTTGACAAGCATCCTAGATGGTGTTAGTCTTTCCCCTCAATCTGTTTGGGTGCGTGTGTGTTCCTCTCTGACTGACACAGTGAACATCTCCACAGAAGACAAGTAAACTGGCGTCAGCCATCAAATCGCAAATTATGTCAACGCACACACACTGAACACACACACACACTGAACGAACACACTGAACACACACACTGAACACACACACACTGAACACACACACACTGAACACACACACACTGAACACACACAGACACACACACACACGCACACACTGAACACACACACACACTCACACTGAACACTCACACTGAACGTTCAGAGGCCAGAACCAGTGAGTGTCCCTTTGAAAAGCATTCGTAATCAAACCACATGAATCACTCTCCTTTCCCTTATTATTTCCAGCGTGGAACATGTCCTCTGTCAGTCCTGTTAACTGCAGCCTTGAGGACCACTGAGGCACCGCCAAGCACAACAACATTACAATAATAACACATCATTAATGTGGCTGGTTAGTAGTTACAGGTGTTCTGTTCTGGTACATCTCCACATAGTGACTTAGGGGCTACATGGGGAATTGGGATGACGGTGGGTAGTTTAAATAAATCACAAAGTATGGATTGCATTCACTCCCTTGTCCATAGATTGCTTTCAAGGTAAGAAAACAAATATGTAATATGTAGAATAGCTGAGCTATCCCTTTAATGTTGGGCAAGTACCAAACGCCCCCCTGAAAGGAATGTATTACACTACATTAAAACAGGTGGCAAGCCATAGTTGTATCTCAGTTTGATATAATAAAATCAATACATAACTCATCACCCATAACTCTACTTTGACAAGTTACTGACCCAGAAGGGACCTTCCATCTGTCCTCCTGAACTATGGAGAGATCACACACACACACACATTACTCCGCTACAGTGACCCACACATGGTATACCCCTCCCCCATGTCTCCTGACACCCCTGGGGAGGCCTGATGGAGTGGAGCTTCATCTGCCTAACAGGCTGGCAGGTCTCCATGCACCAGGCTGCAGAGACACAACAGCTCGCTGCTCCCTCCCAGCCCTGATCCCAACCCGTCCGTTCCTGCCAGGGCTGACATGGTGCCATTGTCCAGCAGACACACTCGTTACCAGCATCAAGTCATGTTCAGAGTAGCCTAGAGAGTCGCACATTGGAAAAGAAAATAAACAAGTTGCTGGGAGGAACTTCTTGTCACAGTGTTTTCTAGTGTATCTTTATTACAATCAATCAAAGAACATTGAATCTAAATACAACAAAAATAATAACAAAATGTCAATAAATGAATTCAAGGTATAGCACAGCATGAACTGCATTAGAAACAGAGAATCAACTTGAACAGTACTGAAATTACTTGAATGTAAACAGTACATTGAGTTGACAAAACATTAAGAACACCTGCTCTTTCCATGACATAGACTGACCAGGTGAATCCTGGTGAATGCTATGATCCCTTATTGATGTCACTTGTTAAATCCACTTCAATCAGTGTAGATGAAGGGGAGGAGACAGGTTAAAGATGTTTAAGCCTTGGGACAATTGAGACATGGATTGTGTATGTGTGCCATTCAGAGGATGAAACAGCAAGACTAAATATTTGAGTGCTTTTGAATGGGGTATGGTAGTAGGTGCCAGACACACCGGTTTGTGTCAAGAACTGCAACTCTGCTGGGTTTTTCACGCTCAACAGTTTCCTGTGTGTATCAAGAACGGTCCACCACCCAAAAGACATCCAGCCAACTTGGCACAACTGTGGGAAGCATTGGAGTCAACATGGGCCAGCATCCGTGTGGAACGCTTTTGACTCCTTGTAGGGGGGGGGGTGCAACTCAAAATTATGAAGGTGTTAATGTTTTGTACACACAGTGTATATTAGACAATGTTTAACAAATATTTATAATTGATTTCTGGGGGTTTTTTCCAGTAAAAAAAAACATTTTCTTTGGCTTTTACTAACCACTATATCCCACAAAAGTACAAAATGCACTCCTATGTGGAGGAATGTATCAAGAAATATCCCATAAATTATTTTATTTTTGATATAAAATCAAATGTTGATTTCCGTATTTCTGTTATTTTTCCAGATATACTGTAACTCCATGAGAGGGCCCATCCATGGTTTGGTGGGTTTTACGAGAAAAATAAGGTAACCACACTCTATTGCTCTGATGCAAAACATTTAATACTAGTTAACCAATGTTTCAACAGCAAGGTGCCTTAATAAGGATTTCTGGTTGAAGGCAGTCAAACAGGAAGTAAATTAACAAAGGGTTCTCAATAAACTGAAAATGTAGAAGCTGTGTTTAAAGTTTATGTTTTTATGTTTGATTTTTTATTCAAATCACCTCAATTGACTGCCTTCCATTTGAATTGACCCCAACCCTGTTCTGGTGGATTTTATGACCATTAGTTATTTTAGCCTCTAAACCTCCCTGGCCGTTAGTCCAGACTCTAAACCTCCCTGACCGTTAGTCCAGCCTCTAAACCTTCCTGACAATTAGTCCAGACTCTAAACCTCCCTGACCGTTAGTCCAGCCTCTAAACCTCCCTGACCGTTAGTCCAGCCTCTAAACCTCTCTGACCGTTAGTCCAGACTTTAAACCTTCCTGACCATTAGTCCAGCATCTAAACCTCTCTGACCGTTAGTCCAGCATCTAAACCTCCCTGACCGTTAGTCCAGACTCTAAACCTCCCTGGCCGTTAGTCCAGACTCTAAACCTCCCTGACCGTTAGTCCAGACTTTAAACCTTCCTGACCGTTATTCCAGCCTCTAAACCTCCCTGACCGTTAGTCCAGCCTCTAAATCTCCCTGACCGTTAGTCCAGACTCTAAACCTCCCTGACCGTTAGTCCTGCCTCTAAACCTCCCTGACCGTTAGTCCAGCCTCTAAACATCCCTGACAGTTAGTCCAGCCTCTAAACCTCCCTGACCGTTTGGTTCCAAGAGCTTCAGACCAAGAGGAGGATCAATAGTCCTGAACAATGAATCAGTCGACCCACTGAAGTGTTACATCAGACAGGCAGGCTGCTCTCATTCTGGGGCTACACACACACAGACACACACACACACACACACACACACAGTCTTGCGCAGCTAACCTTGTGAGGACATACAATTCAGTCCCATTCAAAATCCTATTTTCCCTAACCCCTAACCCTAAACCTAACCCGTACCGTACCCTTACCCTAACCCTGATCTTAACCCCAACCCTAACCCTAACCCTAACCTTAACCCAAAAACCTATCCTTAACCCTAACACTAAACCTAAACCTAAACCTAAACCTAGCTCCTAACCCTAACCCTAAACCTAATTCTAACCCTGACACTAATTCTAACCTTAACCCTAAACCCCCTAGAAATAGCATTTGACCAACAACCAACATAATGTCCCCAGTTGGTAAACATTTTCTTGGTTTACTATTCTTGTGGGGACTTCTGGTCCCCACAAGTATAGTTAAACACGTCCACACACACACACACACACACACACACACACTCAGTCTGTGACCCATCATTTCCGAACAACCATAATGCATAGAAAGAACACCCTTTTGAATTTCCTGTGCCCTATAGTAACTGCTGCCACTTAAAGGGGCAATCAGCAGTTGCTACATCCATTTTTTGACTTATACACTGAAGATATGTACCCATTGATTCTTGAAGAATATAACTTATAAATGCCTCATGAGCTTAGTTCAACTGTCGTAGCCCATCAGAACCCAAAATATAAACTTGTTTTACTCCAATGTTTGTAAACAAAGTCAATGTAAACAAACACTATTTAGCCTCAAAACATGGTTAAAACTTCCATAGCTCTGTCTATGAATTTGAGAGTGGTTACATTTCTCCAGCCCCATACCTCTGAAACAGGGGCGGGGAAAATGCTTTGTTATTGATTGTACTGCTGATTGCCGCTTTAAGCCATGTAAAAACAGAACATCACAATAAGAATAGACTGCCTGCCTCCCCTGTTGTCAACAATACATCAAGGAGCAGCACTAACTAATACGATGTGTTAGAAGGATTTATACAGTACAGTGCATGACAGACTACTAAATGTGTGGTGGTGCACATGATTGGGTTCAGTTTAGACAATTTAGGAAGTAAACTGACATTTCTATTAAAATTTTCCTCAATGCTTTGGAATTTCGGAAATTTGGAATTGGCTGAATTGAAATGGAGTTAACCCCAACGCTGTATACCACCACACATTTAGTAGTCTGTCAGGCATTGTACTGTATAAATCCTAGTCTGGTGTATTTATGAACAGAAACGAACAACCTAGCAGCATCTCTGTAAAGGAGTGGGGGAGGAAAAGATGAGGAGGAAAGGAAAGGAATAGAGGAAAAGAGGAAAGGAAAGGATGAAAGGAGGAAATTAGGAAAGGGAATGAGGAAAGGAGGAAATTAGGAAAGGAGAGAAGGAAAGGATGAAATTAGGAAAGGAAATAAGGAAATTAGGAAATTAGGAAAGGGAAGGAGGAAAGGGAAGGAGGAAAGTGGGAAAGGGAAGGAAAGGAGGAAAGGAAAGGAAAGGAAAGGAAAGGAGGAAAGGAAAGGAGGTGACTGACTGTATCAGGCCTTGAATAGGGTCTAAGGGCTTGTCCATCAATTGTTAACCTGTTAAAAACATTTAATGAGGTGTTAAGTGGTACGGTTGTCTGACCAAATTAGCAGGCGTGACAGATTACCCAAGATAGAGGATTTTCTCAACCTTCATCCGCCAGGACTGAGTCTTCTGAGGACATTTCAGGTGTCACTGCCTCAGCTCATGTTGCCTCATCTAGGCCAGGAGATTTCCCTGGTCAGGTCATATTGCCTCATCTAGGCCAGGAGGATTTCTTACTGTAGTCAGGTCACATGGTCAGGAAAACTCCTGGCCCTAATATGGAATTCAGCAGCATTAGATGTCTCTCCTGTCCCTTTCCACTGATAGGGGGACATATTGGTCAACAATCCAGCCATCCATCGCAAGACCACTAGAGTGCGAGCTCAATTGAATCCGGAGTATAAATCGATCATCAAAGCTTGATGATAAATTGATCATCAGTGATCATCAGTTCTGTCTTCACAAGTCACTCAAGGTGCCCCCCCATTAATTTGACATCCAGGAAAATAGAGACCATCCTTTATACAGAACGTCTTTGTTTTGTGATCACAATCACATGTGCTGAAGTTGACCATCCTTTATACAGAACATCTTTTTTGGTTGTAATTTTGGGTAGAGCTGCATGTGCGACATAACTCCACCAGTCCTAATGTTTTTTTAATCAATTGGTATATTTGAGTTTAACCACAATATTTGTTGCATTATTTGTTCTGTCGTTTCTGGAGGATTAAATTGAAATTGCAACCAACTTTCTATGGCTTGTTTTAGAAATAGTGATATTTGGGAGATGATTTCCTTTTCAAATAACTGAAAGTGAGAGGTTGTAATCTGAATAAAGGGAAAAAGGCCATTCTTGAACATGGGTGAGACAATCTTACTAATTTGCTAGAGAACTAGTTCGGATTTTGTATGGGCGGCAGGTAGTTTAGTGGTTAAGAGCGTTGTGCCAGTAACCGAAAGGTCGCTGGTTCTAATCTCCGAGCCGACTAGGTGAAAAATCTGTCGATGTGCCCTTGAGCAAGGCACTTAACCCAAATTGCTCCTGTAAGTCGCTCTGGATAAGAGCGTCTGCAAAATGTAAATGTATGACTGAAGCTTTTAGTGATAGGTCTAATGCTTTAATATTGAATAATTTCTGTCCTCCGAATTCATATTCATTATATAAATAGGCCCGTTTAATTTTGTCTGGCTTGCCGTTCCAAATAAAATGGAATCTTTTTTTCTCATGTCATTATAACAATGGGATATGTATTCCAAGTATATCCACATCACAATCAGACCATCTTATTGGTAAACTACATGGTAATGAAAAAATTGTATATTTAAGTGATCCAATACATAATATAGTACATTTATCATAATTTGGTTGTAATCCAGAGAGGTTAGAAAATGTATCTAGATCCTTATGAGGCTGTGGAGGGATTCATGTTATACAGAACGTCCTTTTGTTTTTGTGATCACAATCACGTGTTGACAGCCTTCATACAGAACATTTCCTCTCCATTGGATCACATGTGCTGCCAGGTTTTATCCAAGTACTGAATGTGCTCCTTAGCCTTCATCCTCAGCGCTGCGATGCTGGAGCTACGTTCCACTTCCTCATGCATAGGGTAGTTATCATTGAAGCTGGGGGGACACTGGTAGGGAGGCGGTGCCATTGACTGCGTGCTTTGCCTCCCCTGCATTCCTTGCACCATCCCCTGGTGCACCACGCCATGTACTGGGGGGCTGTTGAGGAAGCTGTGGGAGTGGGAGGGGTAGGAAGGCTGAAGGTGAGGGCCCTGCCCTGGGGCCCTGTAGCCGGGGATAGTGTGCATGGGGGTGGCACTGGACATGGGCGAGGCCAGCCAGGGGTCCAGGGGTAATGGGTTGGACAGGGGCCCCATGTTGGAGGGCATGGGCGGTCGGTTGAAGGACAGCATGGAAGAGTCGTGTAGCTTCAAGGAGCTGGAGTCCATCTTCTCCTGACGTCTCCACTTAGCCCGACGGTTCTGGAACCACACCTGGACACGGACAGAGAAGATACAGTCGTATTAGTCTCCACGGTAACAAGATTACACTTTGACTCAGTTATTTTCACTTGAAAATGTATGCCAAACAAAGTTTAACAAACCATACAACTCTACAGTGCCTTCAGAAAGTATCCATACCCCTTGACTTATTCCACATTTTGTTGTGTTACAGCCTGAATTCAAAATTGATTAAATTGTATTTCTTCTCTCACCCATCTACACACAGCACCCTATAATGACAAAGTTATTATTTTTATTATTTTTATGTTTGCACATTTATTGAAAATGAAATATCTCATTCACATAAGTATTCACACCACTGAGTCAATACTTTGTAGAAGCACCGTTGGCAGCGATTACAGCTGTGAGTCTTTCTGGGTGTCACGAATGTCGGTGGAATGCGGTAGGCCAGAGTCAAGCACAGGACACAAAATGAGATGAAGAACCACTTTACTGAGTAGTAAAGAAATACAAGCAAAACCCTCCAAAACAACAAAGGAGGAGCAAAACCTGCTCACAAAATGACACTCGTACAATCAAATAAACATAGAAACATATAACATAGAGTGGCAGCAGCTTGTACTCCGGTGACGATGAATGCCGAAGCCTGCCCGCGCCAGAAGGAAGGGCAGTCTCGGCAGAATCCGTGACAGTACCCCCCCCCCCCCTCCCCCGACGTGCGGCTCCAGCCGTGCGTCGACACCGGCCTCGGGGACGGCCAGGAGGACGCGGTGTTGGGTTCCTAGCAGGATATCCCTCCTAGGAACCCAGCACCGCTCCTCCGGACCGTACCCCTCCCACTCCACGAGATACTGCAGGCCCCCCATCCGACGCCTCGAATCCAGGATGGAACGGACCGAGTACGCCGGTGCCCCCTCGATGTCCAGTGGGGGCGGAGGAACCTCCCATATCTCAGACTCCTGGAGTGGACGAGCTACCACCGGCCTGAGGAGAGACACATGAAACGAGGGGTTAATACGATAATTAATAGGAAGCTGTAACCTATAACATACCTCGTTCAATCTCCTCAGGACTTTAAATGGGCCCACAAACCACCTACCCAACTTCCGTCAGGGCAGGCGAAGGGGCAGATTTCGGGTCGAGAGCCAGACCCGGTCCCCCGGTGCATACACCGGGGCCTCACTGCGGTAGCGGTTGGCGCTCGCCTTCTGACGCCTGATGGCCCGCTGCAGGCGTTCATGTGTAGCGTCCCAGGTTTCCTGCGAGCGCCGAACCCACTCGTCCACAGCAGGTACCTCGATCTGGCTCTGATGCCAAGGTGCCAGGGCCGGCTGATAACCTAACACACACTGGAAAGGCGTAAGGTTAGTGGAGGAGTGGCGGTTGGAGTTTATAGACATCTCTGCCCAGGGTAGGAAAACCGACCACTCCCCTCACCGGTCCTGGCAATACGACCTCAGAAACCTACCCACCTCCTGGTTAATTCTCTCCACCTGCCCGTTACTCTCGGGGTGAAAACCTGAGGTAAGGCTAACCGAGATCCCCAACCGTTCCATGAACGCCCTCCAAACCCTTGAGGTGAACTGGGAACCCCGATCAGACACTATATCCTCAGGCACCCCGTAGTGCCGGAAGACGTGTGTAAAAAGGGCCTCAGCAGTTTGTAGGGCCGTAGGGAGTCCGGGCAGAGGAAGGAGGCGACAGGACTTAGAAAACCGATCCACAACGACCAGGATGGTTGTGCTCCCTCTTGAGGGAGGTGGATCAGTCATAAAATCCACCGATAGGTGGGACCACGGTTGTTGTGGAACGGGTAGGGGTTGTAATTTCCCTCTGGGCAGGTGTCTAGGTGCCTTACACTGAGCGCACACCGAGCAGGAGGAAACATAAACCCTCACGTCCTTGGCTAAGGTGGGCCACCAGTACTTCCCACTAAGACAGGTCACTGTATGACCGATGCCAGGGTGACCAGAGGAGGGTGACGTGTGAGCCCAATAGATCAAACGATCACGGACCTCCAGCGGTACGTACTTACGACCCTCTGGACACTGGGGAGGAGAGGGTTCGCTACGTAACGCCCGCTCGATGTCCGCGTCAACCTCCCACACCACCGGTGCGACCAGAAACGACGCCGGAAGTATGGGAGTGGGCTCCACGGAACTCTCCTCCGTGTCATACAGTCGGGACAGAGCATCTGCCTTAGCATTCTGGGAGCCCGGCCTGTAAGAAAGGGTGAAAACAAAATGGGTTAGAAACATGGACCACCTTGCCTGGCGAGGGTTTAACCTCTTCGCCGCTCGGATGTACTCCAGATTGTGGTGGTCAGTCAAAATGAGAAAAGGGTGTTTAGCCCCCTCAAGCCAATGTCTCCACGCTTTCAGGGCTTTGACCACCGCCAACAACTCCCGGTCCCCCACATCATAGTTGCGCTCCGCCGGGCTGAGCTTCTTCGAAAAGAAAGCACAGGGGTGGAGCTTGGGTGGCGTGCCCGAGCGCTGAGAAAGTACAGCGCCTATCCCAGCCTCGGATGCGTCCACCTCAACCGTGAAGGCCAAGGAGGGATCCGGATGAGCCAGCACTGGAGCCGAGGTAAACAGGTCCTTCAGGCGACTAAAAGCCCTGTCCGCCTCAGCTGACCACCACAGATGCACCAGTCCCCCCTTCAGCAACGAGGTAATGGGAGGCGCTACCTGACCAAAGCCCCGGATAAACCTCCGGTAGTAGTTGGCAAACCCCAAGAAACGCTGCACGTCCTTCACCGTGGTTGGAGTCGCCCAATTACGCACGGCCGAAATGCGGTCACTCTCCATCCTCACCCCAGACGCGGACATGTGGTACCCTAGGAAGGAGATGGACTCCTGAAAGAACAGGCATTTCTCTGCCTTAGCATACAGGTCATGCTCCAACAGTCTTCCAAGCACTTTACGCACCAGGGACACATGCTTGGCCCTTGTAGTGGAGTATATAAGTATGTCATCAATATACACCACTACCCCTTGTCCGTGCAGGTCCCTGAAAATCTCATCCACAAATGATTGGAAGACTGATGGAGCATGCATTAACCCGTATGGCATGACAAGATACTCATAATGTCCAGAGGTGGTACTAAATGCCGTCTTCCACTCATCTCCCTCCCAGATACGCACTAGGTTGTACACGCTCCTGAGATCCAATTTTGTGAAGAAGCATGCCCCGTGCAATGATTCCGTCATACTAGCTATCAGGGGTAATGGATAGCTGTACTTGATGGTAATCTGATTTAAGCCACGGTAATCAATGCACGGGCGTAAACCACCATCCTTCTTCTTAACAAAAAAGAAACTAGAGGAGACAGGTGAAGTGGATGGCAGAATGTATCCCTGTCTCAGAGACTCTGTGACATGTCTCCATAGCCGCCCTCTCCTCCTGAGACAAAGGATACACGTGACTCCGGGGAAGTGCAGCTCCTACCTGGAGATTTATCGCACAATCCCCCGGACGATGGGGTGGTAATTTAGTCGCCCTCTTTTTACTGAAGGCGATAGCCAAATCGGCATACTCAGATGGAATGTGCATGGTGGAAACCTGGTTTTGACTTTCCACCGTAGCTGCCCCCAAGGAAACTCCTACATACCTCCCTGAACACTGACCGGACCATCCCTTGAGAGCCCTCTGTTGCCATGAAATCGTGGGGTCATGAATGGTTAACCAGGGAAGTCCCAACACCACAGGATACGCAGGAGAATCAATCAGATAGAGGCTAATCCTCTCCTCATGACCCCCTGCGTCCTCATAAGAAGTGGAGTGGTGACCTCCCTGATTATGCCTGACCCTAACGGGCGACTATCTAATGCATGCACAGGGAAAGGTTTATCAACAGACACAGTAGGAATCCCTAAACTACGAGCATACTGGCGATCAATAATATTCCCAGCCGCGCCTGAATCTACTGGCGCCTTATGCTGGGAATGGGGGGAAACTTCTGGAAAAACAATATCTATACACAAATTAGCAACAGGAGGCTCTGGGTGAGTCGGGTGCCTACTCAGCTGAGACGGTCGACCAGTGCCCTGCCTGCTGCCTCGACCTCCTGAGGATCCTCCCCAGCACCGACCAGCAGTGTGTCCTCTGCGGCCACAGTTGGTGCAGGGGACGGTCCCTCTCCCCGTCTCCCTAACCGCAGCACCTCCGAGCTCCATGGGGGTAGACTCGGAGGTGCTGGGGGATGGAATGGACGGCCCCCGATCAGAACGTCCGCGGGCTGCCAACAGGTTATCCAACCTGATGGACATGTCCACCAGTTGGTCCAGGGTGAGATCGGTGTCCCTGCAGGCCAGCTCCCGACGGACATCCTCCCTTAAGCTGCAGCGATAATAGTCGATCAGGGCGCTCTCATTCCATCCCGCGCTGGCTGCTAAAGTTCTGAATTCCAGCGCAAACTCCTGCGCGCTCCTCATCTCCTGTCGTAGGTGGAACAGACGTTCACCCGCCGCTCTCCCCTCTGGTGGATGATCGAATACCGCCCGGAAGCGGCGGGTGAAATCCTCGTAGCGGACAGTGCTTGCGTCTATTCCTCCCCACTCTGCGTTGGCCCATTCCAGCGCCTTCCCCGATAGACAGGAGATGAGGGCGGACACGCTCTCGTATCCCGAGGGCGCCGGGTGAATGGTGGCCAGGTAAAGCTTGACCTGGAGGAGAAATCCCTGGCACCCGGCAGGTGTTCCGTCATATGCCCTCGGGAGCGAGAGCCGAATCCCACTGGACCCAGATGGCGAAGCGGTGACCAGTGTTGTAGGTGGGTGAGTGGTTGGAGATGGTGACGGGATACCACCTTTCTCCCATCGTTCCATTGTCTGGAATACTCGTTCCATGGTGACCCCGAGAGTCTAAATCATTAATTCCTGACGTTGGACTCGTTCCTCCATCGTCTCGGTTACTCCGGCTGCTCCTGCTGACTCCATAGTGGTGCGTGTTTCTGTCACGAATGTCGGTGGAATGCGGTAGGCCAGAGTCAAGTGCAGGACACAGAATGAGATGAAGAACCACTTTACTGAGTAGTAAAGAAATACAAGCAAAACCCTCCAAAACAACAAAGGAGGAGCAAAACCCGCTCACAAAATGACACTCGTACAATCAAATAAACATAGAAACATATAACATAGAGTGGCAGCAGCTTGTATTCCGGTGACGACAAATACCGAAGCCTGCCCGAGCCAGAAGGAAGGGCAGTCTCGGCAGAATCCGTGACACTGGGTAAGTCTCTAAGAGCTTTCCACAACTGGATTGTGCAACATTTGCCCATTATTATTTTCAAAATTATTCAATGTCTGTCAAATTGGTTGTTGATCATTGCTAGACGACCATTTTCAGGTCTTGCCATAGATTTCCAAGTAGATTTAAGTCCAAACTGTAACTCGGCCACTCAGGAACATTCCCTGACTTCTAGGTAAGCAACTCCAGTGTAGATTGTAAGTTGCTCTGGATAAGAGCGTCTGCTAAATGACGAAAATGTAAATGTAAATGTAGATTTTAGGTCATTGTCCTGCCGAAAGGTGAAGTCATCTTCCAGTGTCTGGTGGAAAGCAGACTGAACCAGGTTTTCCTCTAGGATTTTGCTTAGCTCCATTTCATTATTTCTTTATCCTGAAAAACTCCCCAGTCCTTAACGATTACAAGCATACCCATAACATGATGCATACCCAACTCTTTTTACTGTCGTTTAGGTTAGTATTGTGGAATAACTAAAATGTTGTTGATCAATCCTCAATTTTCTCCTATCACAGCCATTAAACTCTGTCACTGTTTTAAAGTCACCTCCTGGTGAAATCCCTGAGCGGTTTCCTTCCTCTTCTGCAACTGAGTTAGGAAGGACGCCTGTATCTTTGTAGTGACTGGGTGTATTGATATATAATCCAAAGTGTAATGAATAACTTCACCATGCTCAAAGGGATATTCAACGTCTGCTTTTTTTTTTTTACCCATCTACCAATAGGTGTCCTTCTTTGCGAGGCATTGGAAAACCTCCCTGCTCTTTGTGGTTTAATCTGTGTTTGAAATTATAATAATAATAATAATTCACTGCTCGACTGAGGGATCTTACAGATAATTGTATGTGTGGGGTAGAGAGATGAGGTAGTCATTCAAAAATGTCATGTTAAACACTATTATTTCACACAGAGTGAGTCCATGCAACTTATTATGTGACTTGTTAAGTACATTTTTACTCCTGAACTTATTTAGGCTTGCCATAACAAAGGGGTTGAATATATTGACTTAAGATATTTCAGCTTTTCGTTCAGCTAAACATTTCTAAAAACATAATTCCACTTTAACATTATGGGGTATTGTGTTTAGGCCAGTGACAAAACATCTAAATTTAATCCATTTTTAATTCAGGCTGTAACACAACAAAATGTGGAAAAAGTCAATGGGTGTGAATACTTTCTGAAGGCACTGTATGCACAAGGGCTACATTTAACAATTTCCACAAAAAAATGTAAAAAAAAAAACAAATTTAGTGGAAGAACTGTGCAGATGGAAACTTTGGTGAGGGAATTATGGTAAAATCCCCCGTCAGGTTTTTATCAAATCAAATCAAATTTTATTTGTTGCATACACGTGTTTAGCAAAATGTTATTGCGGGTGTAGCGAAATGCTTGTGCTTCTAGCTCCGACACTGCAGTAATATCTAACAAGTAATATCTAACAATTTCACAACATATACCCAATACACACAAATCTAGTAAGGAATGGAATTTAAGAATATATACAGTGGGGAGAACAATTATTTGATACGCTGCCGATTTTGCAGGTTTTCCTACTTACAAAGCATGTAGAGGTCTGTAATTTTTATCATAGGTACACTTCAACCGTGAGAGACGGAATCTAAAACAAAAATCCAGAAAATCACATTGTATGATTTTTAAGTAATTAATTTGCATTTTATTGCATGACATAAGTATTTGATCACCTACCAACCAGTAAGAATACTGGCTCTCACAGACCTGTTAGTTTTTCTTTAAGAAGCCCTCCTGTTCTCCACTCATTACCTATATTAACTGCACCTGTTTGAACTCGTTACCTGTATAAAAGACACCTGTCCACACATTCAATCAAACAGACTCCAACCTCTCCACAATGGCCAAGACCCGAGAGCTGTGTAAGGACATCAGGGATAAAATTGTAGACCTAAACAAGGCTGGGATGGGCTACAGGACAATAGGCAAGCAGCTTGGTGAGAAGGCAACAACTGTTGGCGCAATTATTAGAAAATGGAAGAAGTTCAAGATTACGGTCAATCACCCTCGGTCTGGGCCCCCTGCAAGATCTCACCTCGTGGGGCATCAATGATCATGAGGAAGGTGAGGGATCAGCCCAGAACTACACAGCAGGACCTGGTCAATGACCTGAAGAGAGCTGGTACCACAGTCTCAAAGAAAACCATTAGTAACACACAACGCCGTCATGGATTAAAATCCTGCAGCGCACGCAAGGTCCCCCTGCTCAAGCCAGCGCATGTCCAGGCCCGTCTGAAGTTTGCCAATGACCATCTGGATGATCCAGAGGAGGAATGGGAGAAGGTCATGTGGTCTGATGAGCTAAAAATATAGCTTTTTGGTCTAAACTCCACTCACCGTGTTTGGAGGAAGAAGCAGGATGAGTACAACCCTAAGAACACCCTCCCAACCGTGAAGCATGGAGGTGGAAACATCATTCTTTGGGGATGCTTTTCTGCAAAGGGGACAGGACGACTGCACCGTATTGAGGGGAGGATGGATGGGGCCATGTATCGCAAGATCTTGGCCAACAACCTCCTTCCCTCAGTAAGAGCATTGAAGATGGTTCGTGGCTGGGTCTTCCAGCATGACAACGACCCGAAACACACAGCCAGGGCAACTAAGGAGTGGCTCCGTAAGAAGCATCTCAAGGTCCTGGAGTGGCCTAGCCAGTCTCCAGACCTGAACCCAATAGAAAATCTTTGGAGGGAGCTGAAAGTCTGTTTTACCCAGCGACAGCCCCGAAACCTGAAGGATCTGGAGAAGGTCTGTATGGAGGAGTGGGCCAAAATCCCTGCTGCAGTGTGTGCAAACCTGGTCAAGACCTACAGGAAACGTATGATCTCTGTAATTGCAAACAAAGGTTTCTGTACCAAATATTAAGTTCTGCTTTTCTGATGTATCAAATACTTATGTCATGCAATAAAATTCAAATTAATTACTTAAAAATCATACAATGTGATTTTCTGGATTTTTGTTTTAGATTCTGTCTCTCACGGTTGAAGTGTACCTATGATAAAAATTACAGACCTCTACATGCTTTGTAAGTAGGAAAACCTGCAAAATCGGCAGTGTATCAAATACTTGTTCTCCCCACTGTACATATACAGTTGAAGTCGGAAGTTTACATACACTTAGGTTGGAGCAGGGGTGGTGTGTTCATTAGGGCGATATGGGCGACGCACTGCCAAACGGGAAAAGGAAGGGATTTTTTTTCTAATCAATTATATCACGGCAACAGTAGTTATCAGTGTTCTAATCTAGACGTCTGATCTGCCACTAAATGTCCAATCAGGCTAAAGTCGTGCTTCAAATGGCCCCGCCCCTTTTGGGGCGATTTCAGTCAGGTTGAAAATCGCCCCAGAAGTCTCTCATAGACTCTCATGTAAAATCTTTTTTTTTCAAATATCAGAGCTTTCAATACAATCTCTATGGGTTCCGGGAGGGCTTGCACTTACGCGCTTTCGTCATACGTAACATAACCATGAACGTAACAAAGAAAAGAGCGGGTAGCAGCGTCAATCAATTCACGTACTACTGTCAAGATGGCTAGCGTTCAGTGCAACTCGATTGTCTCTTTGAAAGAAGTTCCTTTTTGTCGGCGAACAAATCAAGATAAATTGGCAACGAAACAATTAGGACCTCCCAGACCAAATTTAATAATTCAACAGGTTTCTACTAAAGGGGGAAAGTCCTACACCCGAGGATTTTCCAAAAATTGGTACGAACGAAAAACCTGGCTAGCAGGCTGCGATGTAGCTAATGCAGTCTTCTGCTACCCCTGCTTACTCTTTCACCCTGAAGGCGGCACGGCAGACAGCACCACTTGGACAGCGACTGGTGTAAAGGACATGCACCATTTTTCAGAAAAGATTAAGAAACATGAGCTGTCAAAGACCCACATGGATAGCTGTTTGAGATTGTCTGCTTTGGGGAGAGTGAACATTGCCACTCAACTGGATGAGGGATACAGGCTAGCTGTCCGCCGCCACAACGATGAGGTTAGCAAGAACCGCCACATCCTCAGCCGGCTAATCCAGTGTGTGAAGTTTTGCGGAGTGTTTGAGTTAGCTTTGCGAGGCAAAGATGAAACTGAGGGTTCCACCAACCCTGGTATTTTTCTTGGACTTGTCAACTTTGTGGCACAATTAGATGAGGTGTTTTATGGAAATGCATATTGTTTATGCAGTGTTGAGGAATGTGAAAGAACACCCTTCATTATTTTTACTGTGATAACTTATTTTGCTTTTGTAAGCCAACACTTTTGAGATCAGTCAATAAATGCTTCTGGTATTGACTTATATGCTGCCCCTGTCTTCATGTTGTTGCTGGACATATCTTTTTTAAAATGTGTGTAGGTCACCTAAATCATCAGAAAAATTGCCCCCGCTGAGAATTTTTTCAGGAGCCGCCACTGGGTTGGAGTCATTCGAACTCGTATTTCAACCACTCCACAAATTTCTTGTTAACATGCTATAGTTTTGGCAAGTTGGTTAGGACATCTACTTTGTGCATGACACAAGTCATTTTTCCAACAATTGTTTACAGACAGATTATTTCACTTATAATTCACTGTATCATAATTCCAGTGGGTCAGAAATTTACATACACTAAGTTGACTGTGCCTTTAAACAGCTTGGAAAATTCCAGAAAATGATGTCATGGCTTTAGAAGCTTCTGATAGGCTAATTGACATCATTTGAGTCAATTGGAGGTGTATCTGTGGATGTATTTCAAGGTCTACCTTCTAACTCAGTGATTATTTGCTTGACATCAAGGTGAAAATCAAAAGAAATCAGCCAAGACCTCCGAAAAAAATGTGTAGACCTCCACAAGTCTGGTTCATCCTTGGGAGCAATTTCCAAACACCTGAAGATACCACGTTCATCTGTACAAACAATAGTACGCAAGTATAAACACCATGGGACCACGCAGCCGTCATACCGCTCAGGAAGGAGACACTTTGGTGCGAAAAGTGCAAATCAATCCCAGAACAACAGCAAAGGACCTTGTGAAGATGCTGGAGGAAACAGGTGCAAAAGTATCTATATCCACAGTAAAACAAGTCCTATATCGACATAACCTGAAAGGCCGCTCAGCAAGGAAGAAGCCACTGCTCCAAAACTGCCATAAAAAAGCCAGACTATGGTTTGCAACTGCACATGGGGACAAAGATCTGTCAAGGCGTCAGTGTAATGCGGTAGGCGAAGTCAGGCGCAGGACACAAAGCTAATCAAATGGCGTACTTTACTTGTCGGTAAAATGAATGAACAACAACCTCCACGCAGGGAGGGAACAAACCCGCACACTAACGACAGCCGAAACATGAACAAACACACACAACACACAGTGTGAGACAGAGGGTTAAATAGGGATGACATAACTACATGATGGGAAATAGGTGTGACCAATAAAGACAAAACAAGTCGAACATAGAAACATGGATCGGTAGCAGCTAGTACTCCGGTGACGACGAACGCCGAAGCCTGCCCGAGCAAGGAGGAGGGGCAGCCTCGGCTGAATCCGTGACAAGATCATACTTTTTGGAGAAATGTCCTCTGGTCTGATTAAATTAAAATAGAACTGTTTGGCCATAATGACCATCGTTATGTTTGGAGGAAAAAGGGGGTGCCTTGCAAGCCGAAGAACACCATCCCAACCGTGAACCACGGGGGTTGCAGCATCATGCTGTGGGGGTGCTTTGCTGCAGGAGGGACTGGTGCACTTCACAAAATAGATGCTATCATAAGGAAGGACAATTAAGTGCATATATTGAAGCAACATCTCAAGACATCAGTCAGGAAGTTAAAGCTTGGTCGCAAATGGGTCTTCCAAATGGACAATGACCCCAAGCATACTTCCAAAGTTGTGGCAAAATGGCTTAAGGACAACAAAGTCAAGGTATTGGAGTGGCCATTACAAAGCCCTGACCTCAATCCTATAGAACATTTATGGGCAGAACTGAAAAAGCGTGTGTGAGCAAGGAGGCCTACAAACCTGACTCAGTTACACCAGCTCTGTCAGGAGGAATGGGACAAAATTCACCCAACTTATTGTGGGAAGCTTGTGGAAGGCTACCCAAAATGTTTGACCCAAGTTAAACAATTTAAAGACAATGCTAACAAATACTAATTGAGTGTATTTAAACTTCTGACCCACTGGGAATGTGATGAAAGAAATAAAAGCTTAAATAAATCATTCTCTCTACAATTATTCTGACATTTCACATTCTTAAAATAAAGTGGATATCCTAACTGACCTAAGACAGGGAATTCTTACTAGGATTAAATGTCAGGAATTGTGAAAAACTGAGTTTAAATGTATTTGGCTAAGGTGTATGTAAACTTCCGACATCAACTGTATGGACAAGCAATGACAGAGCGGCATGGACTAAGATACAGTAGAATATTATAGAATAGAATGCAGTATATACATATGAGATGAGTAGTGCAAGATATGTAAACATTATTAAAGTGACTAGTGTTCCATTTCTTAAAGTGGCCAGTGATTTCAATAGGCAGCAGCAGCCTCTAATGTGCTAATGATGGCTATTTAACAGTCTGATGGCCTTGAGATAGAAGCTGTTTTTTATTCTCTCGGTCCCAGCTTTGATGCACCTGTACTGACCTCGCCTTCTGCATGATAGCAGGGTGAACAGGCAGTGGCTGTTGTCCTTGATTATCTTTTTGGCCTTCCTGTGACATCGGGTGCTGTAGGTGTCTTGGAGGGCGGGTAGTTTAACCCCGGTAATGTGTTCGGCAGACCCCACTACCCTCTGGAGAGCCCTGCGGTTGCGGGCGGTGCAGTTGCCATATCAGGCGGTGATACAGCCCGACAGGATGCTCTCAATTGTGCATCTGTAAAAGTTTGTGAGGGTTTTAGGTGCCAAGACACATTTCTTCAGCCTCCTAAGGTTGAAGAGGCTCTGTTGCACCTTCTTCACCACACTGTCTGCGTGGGTGGACCATTTAAGTTTGTCAGTGATGTGTACGCCAAGGAACTTGAAGCTTTTCACCTTCTCCACTGCGGTCCCGTTGATGTGGATAAGGGGGTGCACCCTCTGCTGTTTCCTGAAGTACACAATCATCGCCTTTGTTTTGTTGACGTTGAGTGAGAGGTTATTTTCCTGGCACCACACTCCCAGAGCCCTCACCTCTTCCCTGTAGGTGGTCTCGTCATTGTTGGTAATCAAGCCTACTACTGTTGTGTCGTCTGCAAACTTGATGATTGAGTTGGAGGCGTGCTTGGCCACGCAGTCCTGGGTGAACAGTGAGTACAGGAGGGGGCTGAGCACGCACCCTTGTGGGGCCCTACTGTTGAGGATCAGCGAAGTGGAGATGTTGTTTCCTACCTTCACCACCTGGGGGCGGCCCGTCAGGAAGTCCAGGACCCAGTTGCGCAGGGCGGGGTTCAGACCCAGGGCCTCGAGCTTAATGATGAGCTTGGAGGGTTTTATGGTGTTGAATGCCGAGCTATAGTCAATGAACCGCATTCTTACATAGGTATTCCTCTTGTCCAGATGGGATAGGGCAGTGTGCAGTGTGATGGCGATTGCATCGTCTGTGGATCTATTGGGCCGGTAAGCAGCTTGAAGTGGGTCTAGGGTGACAGGTAAGGTAGAGGTGATATCTCTCAACGCACTTCATGATGACAGAGGTGAGTGCAACGGGGCGATAGTCATTTAGTTCAGTTACCTTTGCTATGTGACAAGGTTTACCAAAAACTCTTAAATATCTGCTCCAAATTAATATGAAAAGATGTCTGCAGAAATAATGGGGTGTCAGCTATGACATGGCACCTTGAGTTTGAAAAATCTATTTTGGTTATTGAACTACACTAAGTGAAGAGGATTTACACATGGAATTACGGTAACGGAATTACATCATGGGACCCTGATCTGTATTACACAGAAATCCATAATTATATCCATTCTCCTCATGTTTCAGCAGTTAGGACATCACAATACAATACAGCACAGTAGAGCAGAGCAGAGTTCAGTAGGATTCAGTACAGTACAGTACAGTGGAGTAGAGTTCAGTACAGAAGAGTACAGTACATTAGAGTTCAGTACAGTAGAGTTCAGTACATTAGAGTACAGTACATTAGAGTTCATTACAGTTTAGTGGAGTTCAGTACAGTACAGTAGATCACAGTTCAGTACAGTAGCGTTCAGTACAGTACAGTAGAGTTTAAGTACAGTAAAGTACAGTAGAGTTCAGTACAGTAGAGTTCAGTACAGTAAAGTACAGTAGAGTTCAGTAGAGTAGAGTTCAGTACAGTTTAGTAGAGTTCAGTTTAGTAGAGTTCAGTACAGTAGAGTTCATTACAGTTTAGTAGAGTTCAGTACAGTACAGTACAGTACAGTATAGTACAGTACAGTTCAGTACAGTATATACAATATACTATACTTTACTGTACATTTTTTAAATGTACTGCACTGTACCTCTACTCACTGTACAGTATAGTGCTGTTCTGTCCTGTACTGTACTGTACTGTCCAAACTTGTGAAACATACAGTACCAGTTTGGACACACCTTCTACATTGTCGAATAATAGTGAAGACATCAAAACTATGAAATAACACATATGGAATCATGTAGTAACCAAAAAAGTATTACACAAATCAAAATATATTTTATATTTTAGATTCTTCGAAGTAGCCACCCTTTGCCTTGATGACAGCTTTGCACACTGTTGGCATTCTCTCAGCCAGCTTCATGAGGAATGCTTTTCCAACAGTCTTGAAAGGGTTCCCACATATGCTGAGCACTTGTTGGCTGCTTTTCCTTCACTGTGCGGTCCAACTCATCCCAAACCATCTCAATTGGGTTGAGGTCGGGGGATTGTGGAGGCCAGGTCATCTGATGCAGCACCATCACTCTCCTTCTTGGTCAAATAGCCCTTACACAGCCTGGAGGTGTGTTGGGTCATTATTGAAAAACATATGATACTCCCACTAAGCGCAAACCAGATGGGATGGCATATCGCTGCAGAATGCTGTGGTAGCCATGCTGGTTAAGTGTGCCTTGAATTCTAAATAAATCACAGACAGTGTCACCAGCAAAGCACCCCCACACCATCACACCTCCTCCTCCATGCTTCACGGTGGGAACCACACATGCGGAGATCATCCATTCACCTACTCTGCGTCTCACAAAGACACAGCGGTTGGAACCAAAAATCTGAAATTTGGACTCATCAGACCAAAGGACAGATTTCCACCGGTCTAATGTCCATTGCTCGTGTTTCTTGGCCCAAGCAAGTCTCTTCTTATTGGTGTCCTTTAGTAGTGGTTTCTTTGCAGCAATTCGACCATGAAGGCCTGATTCGCGCAGTCCCTTCTAAACAGTTGATGTTGAGATGTGTCTGTTACTTTTATTTGGGCTGCAATTTCTGAGGCTGGTAACTCTAATGATCTTATCCTCTGCAGCAGAGGTAATTCTGGGTCATCCTTTCCTGTGGCGGTCCTCATAAGAGCCAGTTTAATCATAGCACTTGATGGTTTTTGTGACTGCACTTGAAGAAACTTTCAAAGTTCTTGAAATTTTCCAGATTGACTGACATTCATGTCTTAAAGTAATGATGGACTGTAGTTTCTCTTTGCTTATTTGAGCTGTTCTTGCCATAATATGGACTTGGTCTTTCACAAAAGAGGGCTATCTTCTGTATACCACCCCTACCTTGTCACAACACAACTGATTGGCTCAAACGCATTAAGAAGGAAAGAAATTCCACAAATTAACTTTTAACAAGGCACACCTGTAAATTGAAATGTATTCCAGGTGACTACCTCATGAAGCTGTTTGAGAGACTGCCAAGGGTGTGCAAAGCTGTCATCAAGGCACATGGTGGCTACTTTGAAGAATCTCAAATATAAAATATATTTTGATTTGTTTAACACTTTTTTGGTTACTACATGATTCCATATGTGTTATTTCATAGTTTTGATGTCTTCACTATTATTGTACAATGTAGAAAATAGTTTTAAAAAATAAAGAAAAACCCTTGAATGTGTAGGTGTGGCCAAACCTTTGACTGGTACTCTACGTTTATGATAGGTTCGGATTTGGTCCAGTCCGGTCCGTCTGTGGACGTTAACATCAAGGCCAGCGTGGACTGACTATATTTCAACTACTTTTCAACGTCCAAGAACGTCCGGTGTCGGTCGGTACTCAGTGGGTGAGGATGCTGGTTAAAGTAAATGGAAAGAGAGGAGGCTCATGGGTAGGTGTCAATAAGAGCTGGGAGAGGTGACGTTAACTGGAGTGAGAGAGAAAGGCCCTAGTTTAAAAAATCCAGTAGAAGTTCCTATCAGATTTTGGAACCTATCCTATAGGATTTTATCAAAATGTAGCTGGTTGTCTTCAGCAGGTTGTCCTCCAACGAGTGATCTAAACAATATTTCCTGTTTCCTGTTTGGTTTTTGAGTTGTGTTCGTTTCAACAGCGCATACAACCTGATTTCCCCACTAATCAATATGAGTGATTAATTGCCACTTGTCAAAACAACATAATTTTTGGAGCATGTGCAGTTTATAATGAAGTAATATGATCAGATTGCTATTGTGGCACATGTATGTGTAGGTAGTACATTTTATGTTTAGGTTTTCAATATATCACAAACTGTTTATTGATTTGGACACTTGAAAACCGTGTTTTGACATTGGGCTATTTATCAATAGTTATTATCAACGGGAAGCAGCAACAGCATCATGTTCAACTAATGTTTTAGGAATATAGATGGAACTTAACATTACTTAATTAGGTAAAAACTGCTGAATGAGTCCAAAAACGTGATTCATTTATTTTGATGATCTACTAGAAATCATGAAAACAGGGTTGCCTATAATAAGGCACATATATATTTAGCGATAACAAACAACAACAAATATTTATCATCTGTGGTTTATCGTGGTGTCACGCCCTGACTCAGGGGACTTGTATTTGTTGAGTCAGGGTGTGTATTTTCTGTGTCGTGTTGTGCTATGTCGATTTTCTATGTTTAGATCTAGAATGTGTAGATCTATGTTGGCCTGTGTGGTTCCCAATCAGAGGCAGCTGTTGCTCGTTGTCTCTGATTGGGGACCCATACTTAGGCAGCCTTTTGGCACCTGTTAGTCGTGGGATCTTGTTCCGTGTATGTTGTGTTGTGTTGTGTTGTGTTGTGTTGTGTTGTGTTGTGTTGTGTTGTGTTGTGTTGTGTTGTGTTGTGTTGTGTTGTGTTGTGTTGTGTTGTGTTGTGTTGTGTTGTGTTGTGTTGTGTTGTGTTGTGTTGTGTTGTGTTGGACTTCACGTTTCGTTTCATTTGTTATTTTGTCGTTGTGGTGTTTATTCTATATAAATAAACATGTACGCATTTCACGCTGCGCCTTGGTCCGTCCCGTCTGTATACGATCGTGACACATGGTTTACACCCCCCTAGTAGGGTCCAGCCGTAGGGTACTCCCCTTACTCCCCCCTAGTAGGGTCCAGCCGTAGGGTACTCCCCTTACTCCCCCCTAGTAGGGTCCAGCCGTAGGGTACTCCCCTTACACCCCCCTAGTAGGGTCCAGCCGTAGGGTACTCCCCTTACACCCCCCTAGTAGGGTCCAGCCGTAGGGTACTCCCCTTACTCCCCCCTAGTAGGGTCCAGCCGTAGGGTACTCCCCTTACTCCCCCCTAGTAGGGTCCAGCCGTTAGGGTACTCCCCCCTAGTAGGGTCCAGCCGTAGGGTACTCCCCTTACTCCCCCCTAGTAGGGTCCAGCCGTCCCCTTACTCCCCCCTAGTAGGGTCCAGCCGTAGGGTACCCCCCTTACTCCCCCCTAGTAGGGTCCAGCCGTAGGGTACTCCCCTTACTCCCCCCTAGTAGGGTCCAGCCGTAGGGTACTCCCCTTACTCCCCCCTAGTAGGGTCCAGCCGTCCCCTTACTCCCCCCTAGTAGGGTCCAGCCGTAGGGTACTCCCCTTACTCCTCCCTAGTAGGGTCCAGCCGTCCCCTTACTCCCCCCTAGTAGGGTCCAGCCGTAGGGTACTCCCTTACTCCCCCCTAGTAGGGTCCAGCCGTAGGGTACTCCCCTTACTCCCCCCTAGTAGGGTCCAGCCGTCCCCTTACTCCCCCCTAGTAGGGTCCAGCCGTAGGGTACTCCCCTTACTCCTATGTAATTAGCCTTACTTTGGCGTCATCCTAAACAAACTACCAACGTTTTCAGAAGCCTCACTTGTCGCTATTAGCATACTTGGCTGTCACAAAAACACATTATTTGCATGATACTTATTCTGCCACTAATTTTTTTACCCAACCTGCTAACACTGAAAGTAAAGATAGTAAAGCAGTCGCATTATACTTACGTCACTGTTTGTTTACCCCTAGATTTTTCACTGGTTAGCTGATGTTAGCTGGCTGGCTAGCGGGAGAAGTTAATCTCTATCTATTTGGCTTGTTTTAGATATGTCGCGTAACTACTTCCTGTCTGCCTACCCTTGAATGATCTCGGTATTTACAAAAGTTGTAAGTTGTTGGCGTGCCTATCTGTCCTTTCAAATGTAACTTGTCGGAGTCCAGCTGGGGAGACAAAATACCAAATACCCAACTCATCCTCGATCCACCAGGACTGAGTCTTCTGAGAAAATTTCAGGAATCACTGCCTCAGCTCATGTTGCCTCATCTAGGCCAGGAGATTTCCCTGGTCAGCTCATGTTGCCTCATCTAGGCCAGGAGATTTCCCTGGTCAGCTCATGTTGCCTCATCTAGGCCAGGAGATTTCCCTGGTCAGCTCATATTGCCTCATCTAGGCCAGGAGATTTCCCTGGTCAGGTCATATTGCCTCATCTAGGCCAGGAGATTTCCCTGGTCAGCTCATGTTGCCTCATCTAGGCCAGGAGATTTCCCTGGTCAGGTCATATTGCCTCATCTAGGCCAGGAGATTTCCCTGGTCAAGTTGATTCTTGTTGGTTTGCCTATATGTCCTTTCAACTTCAACTTGCCGGAAACCAGCTGGGGAGACAACCCTACCAAATGGCCCAAAACCAAAGTAGCCTAGGTGATATCTACACCTACTTGGTGGAATTTCCAGGTTTGCATAAATATCCAAACGCTGAAGAATATTATAGCTGTTATTTGGACGGATACAGCTCACTAGTCCTTACTACAAGCTAAGTAGCAAGCTTTATGCAAAGCGACTTACCGGTGATGAAGTGCTTGGATACACATAAATGTAAGCAAGCATTTCACTGTAAAGTCTACACCAGTTGTATTCGGCGCATGTGATAAATACAAAATGTATTTGATTTGATCGAGTAACCAACGCTTTCCATCAGCATCATGGAGTAATAGCCTGAAACCATGAGGTTCATCTAACCTGGTCCTTGGGCAGTTTATGAAAATTAATTTGGTGGTGTTTTCTCCTACTATTGTTGAAACAAAACAGCAAAACAACACAACAGCTTTTCGGCATCTTAAAAGCAGGGTTAGTTAGCTATTGAAGAAAGTCCGTTGGAATCGGCTCTTTTGCTGATAATCGTGACGTACATTCTATCTTCTTCTTCTTCTTCTTCTTCTTCTTCTTCTTCTTCTTCTATGGTATATTGGCGATTGCACAATTTAATGTGCATCCCGCCACCTACTGTGAGGGATGGAAACAGGATTCCCCCACAAAAACTACCAAACGACGAAAAGAAAACTACCAAACTACCAAATGTTTTAAATAAACTAAATCAAACAACTTTACTGTTAAATAATAAACAGATCTGATCCCTACGCAGGGCGGGCCGTCGTCCGGCGCCAGTTCCCCTTTTCAGATGTAAAATACTTAGGTCCCAAAAACCTTTATCAAAAAACAACCGGACCGACAGACTTTCTTATATTTCTCCATTCGCCCAGCGGGTCAGATGCCGGGCACCAACCAGTAATTTCTCCAAAACTAAATACAAGTGTTGATATTAGTTGGCAGATGTCATGAATACAGCCGAGGCTGCCCCTCCTCCTTGCTCGGGCAGGCTTCGGCGATCGTCGTCACCGGAGTACTAGCTGCCACCGATCGATGTTTCTGTGTTACACTAGTCTTGTCTTTATTAATCACACCTGTTACTCATTATGCTTATATGTGTCCCTATAATTACCTCTGTTTTCCCTCCTGAGTTTGTGCGTGATTGTCCGTTGTCTTACGTCGTTTGGTGAGCTGTTGTTCTGCTCTTCCCTGCGTGGAGGGTTTGTTATGGTTTACTTTTGTTTAGTAAATCAATTAATTTTCTCAGTTCTGTGTCCTGCGCCTGATTCCGTTTCACCACTTCACCCAGACGTTGACAGCAGGGGTCTTTAGTCAACATTATTGTGTTTTGATACATTTCTGATACCTTTTAATACTTTTCTGGTAGATGTTTTCTAAGACCCCTTTTCCATCTGTTTATTCAGAAATCAAAGCATTTTCTTATGCCTCATTTTTAAGATGGAAAATAGATGTAAAATGTATCTATGCCTTTATTTTCCCAAAAATATAGACTCTTAGCTTTCATTTGACACCCAATTTGATATGCTGCTATGAACTTCACATTGGTGCTCATGGGATCCTTTTCGATGGAAATGCCCAGTGATCGCTCAGAAGTCTACACTACAATGTATTGTGATAGTAGTAAAAACAGTATTTGTAGTAGTAGTAGTAGTAGTAGTAGTAGTAGTAGTAGTAGTAGTAGTAGTAGTAGTAGTAGTAGTAGTAGTAGTAGTAGTATCAGTAGCAGAGTAAACAGTAGAGGAGTCAGTAGCCTAGTATAAGTCAACAGGAATGTACACAATTATATCATTATTGGAGTGGGCAGTGTATTTATGTATTCAACCTTTACTGTATCATACCAGGAAAAGACCTTGAGGTAAAAAACAAAAAAAAACTATTTTGCTAGGGGGGCCTGGCTGTATGATGAGTGTGTAGTAGTAGTAGTAGTAGCAGTAATAATAATAATAATAATAATAATAATAATAATAATAATAATAATAATAATAGTAGTAGTAGTAGTAGTAGTAGTAGTAATAATAGTAGTAAAAATATTAATAGTAGTAGTAGTATTAGTAGTAGTAGTAGTAGGAGTAATAATAGTAGTAATAGTAGGAATAGTAGTAGTAGTAATAGTAATAGTAATAGCAATAGTAGTAGTAGTGGTATTAATAGTATTAATAGTATTAATAGTAGTAGTAGTAGTAATAATAGTAATAGTAATAGTAGTAGTAGTAGTAGTAGTAGTAGTAGTGCCTGTGCTAATTCTAGTCTAGTGATAGTAGACAGCAGGAGGCTACATACCTGGACAGTATTATTAGTGTATAGTGATATTAATAGTAGTACTTGATAGGCAGAGGCTTCAAGCAGTATAATTAGTACTCATTAATTGGTACTGGTAGTAGTAGTTAGCCAGAGGTGCCATACCTGTACGCGGACCTCTGGGAGGTTAACCTTCATGGCCAGTTCCTCTCTGCTGTAGACGTCAGGGTAATGGGACTTCTCGAAGGCCCGCTCCAGCTCATGGAGCTGGTAGGTGGTGAAGGTGGTGCGGTTACGCCGGTGCTTCTTCTTGGGGTGGTCTTCCTCTAGAGGCTCAGGTAACTTCCCCCTGTCGCTGTCCAACCCCTTCTGGAGGTCCCCGAGATGCCCATCACACTTATCACTGGAGAAAATACCTGACTCTGAAGGTAAACAGTAGAAAATGATTTTGTCATTAACCTTTTTGTTCATCCGGCAGTGCCAGTTCTGCTTACTGTACCAAATGTGGTCTTCCACATGGCTAACATTCCATGTTTGAAGAAAGGCCTCTCTTTAACATGGTTAGAAAGGTAGAGTATTCCCTTTGGTGTAAATGGTGTAAGGTATTGAATATGCTGTTCGATGCGAACAAGTGTATTTCAACACTAACGTGCTACTTAAGATACAGTTGAAGTCAGAAGTTTACATACACTTAGGTTGGAGTCATTAAAACTATTTTTCAACCACTCCACAAATGTCTTGTTAACAAACTATATTTTTGGCAAGTCGGTTATGACATCTACTTTGTGCGTGACAAAAGTAATTTTTCAAACAATTGTTTACAGACAGATTATTTCACGTATAATTCACTGTATCACAATTCCAGTGGGTCAGAAGTTTACATACACTAAATTGACTGTGCCTTTAAACAGCTTGGAAAATTCCAGAAAATGATGTCATGGCTTTAGAAGCTTCTGATAGGCTAATTGACATCATTTGAGTCAATTGGAGGTGTACCTGTGAATGTATTTCAAGGCCTATCTTCAAACTCAGTGCCTCTTTGCTTGACATCATGGGAAAATCAAAATAAATCAGCCAAGACCTCAGAAAAAAAATGGTAGACCTTCACTAGTCTGGTTCATCCTTGGGAGCAATTTCCAAATGCCTGAAGGTACCACGTTCATCTGTACAAACAATTGTACGCAAGTATAAACACCATGGGACCACGAAGCCGTCATACCGCTCAGGAAGGAGACGCGTTCTGTCTCCTAGAGATGAACGTACTTTGGTGCGAAAAGTGCAAATCAATCCCAGAACAACAGCAAAGGACATTGTGAAGATACTGGAGGAAACAGGTACAAAATTATCTATATCCACAGTAAAACAAGTCCTATATCGACATAACCTGAAAGGCCGCTCAGCAAGGAAGAAGCCACTGCTCCAAAACCGCCATAAAAAAGCCAGACTACGGTTTGCAACTGCATTTGGGGACAAAGGTCGTACTTTTTGGAGAAATGTCCTCTGGTTTGATGACACAAAAATAGAACTGTTTGGCCATAATGACCATCGTTATGTTTGGAGGAAAAAGGGGGACTTGCAAGCCGAACAACACCATCCCAACCATGGAGCACGGGGGTGGCAGCATCATGCTGTGGGGGTGCTTTGCTGCAGGAGGGACTGGTGCACTTCACAAAATAGATGCTATCATGAGGAAGGAAAATTATGTGGATATTTTGAAGTAACATCTCAAGACATCAGTCAGGAAGTTAAAGCTTGGTCGCAAATGGGTCTTCCAAATGGACAATGATCCCAAGCATACTTCCAAAGTTGTGGCAAAATGGCTTAAGGACAACAAAGTCAAGGTATTGGAGTGGCCATCACAAAGCCCTGACCTCAATCCTATAGAACATTTATGGGCAGAACTGAAAAAGCGTGTGCGAGCAAGGAGGCCTACAAACCTGACTCAGTTACACCAGCTCTGTCAGGAGTAATGGGCCAAAATTCACCCAACTTATTGTGGGAAGCTTGTAGAAGGCTTCCTGAAGTGTTTGACCCAAGTTAAACAATTTATGTAAACTTCTGACCCACTGGGAATGTGATGAAATAAATAAAAGCTGAAATAAATAATTATCTTTACTATTATTCTGACATTCCATATTCTTAAAATAAAGTGGTGATCCTAACTGACCTAAGACAGGGAATTTTTACCACTTTTTTTACTGAGTTTAAATGTATTTGGCTAAGGTGTATGTAAACTTCCGACTTCAACTGTAGATATTGCAACAGAGCCTAAAGGCAATGCAAGCTGCAGGCCTCTTCTCTCTTGGCGTGTGACGTCATATTGTCTTTCACTGCATTCCTCAGGCCAAGTAATCCCATGCGGACAGATGCCACCTGTTCAATCCGAGTGTCCACGTGTGCCCTGGGCTGGCCAGCTCTAATCTACACAAATACTTTACTTAGCTTCTCCATTCACCCAAGTACCAGATCTTATTTTCTAAGAAAACTGGGTGAGGTTGAAGCCCTACTTAACGTGGTTAATGGATGGTAGATCCCATCAGAGTTTGTTAATTAATTAATCCAATCAATTGAGATTATCATCAGATCATTGCCTTGGTAACAAGCGTGCGAGGGAGGCAGCAAAAGTGGTCTCCTTAATTCACTATGCTGTAATGTTACAGTGATAGATAATTGCTATGTCATGCCAGTATTGTTCTAGGAGAAATACTCATTACAACAAGTATAAAGGTAGAAATGTAAAGTCCAGCATTGTAGTTATGCTGTTCTAGTCTCTGAATCTTTGCCGAAAATGAGAACCTGAGCACAGTGTGCTTTCAAATGTCCCTGCCTTTCCTCCTGGATGAGGTTAGCACAGTGTGCTTTCAAATATCCCTGCCTTTCCTCCTGGATGAGGTTAGCACAGTGTGCTTTCAAATGTCCCTGCCTTTCCTCCTGGATGAGGTTAGCACAGTGTGCTTTCAAATGTCCCTGCCTTTCCTCCTGGATGAGGTTAGCACAGTGTGCTTTCAAATGTCCCTGCCTTTCCTCCTGGATGAGGTTAGCACAGTGTGCTTACAACTGTCCCTGGACCATGCCTTTCCTCCTGCATGAGGTCATTGAACATAAGTCATTGAATATGTGAATTAAATGATGTAATAAATGCAATCAATCAATTAAAACCAGTGTACTGACCCTGGAAGGCAGAGTGCTGTGTGCTGTCCCCCAGGCTGGCCAGGTTTCCGTAGGGGTCTGACTGGACCTGCTTCCCCTGGTGGTCCTCCAGGCACTCAGTGGCCACATTATGGACCCCCACTGGGGTCAGCAGGGGGTCCTGGTCCTTGCTGAAGCCCAAGATCACATCGATGCTGTGGACCCGGCCTCCTCCGCTAGACCCCCCTCCCTTCAGCATGTCATGGTAGTTGTCTGGTGACAGGCGGCCGTCGTCCACCATTCCCAAGGTATCCATTGACAAATGCACCCAGAGGAGCCCTCAGGGAGCTGGATATGTCTTCCTACTTCTGATGGGGTACCCTCAGATACCCTCAGATATAGTTGGACATGTGACAGACAGACAGCAGTACAGGTTGACACTTCTCACATAGGGATTATATCAAGAGAGAGCAAGCCAGAGCAGAATTGTTTGCTGCTGTCAAAGACCACGTAGATGGGAGGGGAGGGGGAGGGGTGGGGGGGTGGGGGCAGATCGTGTCCTTGGATTTCCTGTCGGTCTGCAAAACAGAGTTTGGAGAGTTAGACATGTTGGTCTCATCAACACACTACTTGCTGAACTGACAGTTTGGTTGTGAAAGTGCATATTCATATGCCACTTGTTAGTATTGACATAATGGTTATAATGTTACTTCAGTAACAAGTAATTCCCCTTTAGTTGGAAAACTGTGGACATGTTTGTCGTTGATATGCATAATTCACATCTGACATTCCTGACCGTTCTTCATTCTTCATGATCCATGCATGACTGAAAGCAACCAAACCTCAACTTCTTTTCTGTATCATTATTAATGCAAACTTCTGCAACAGTTTGGATGAAAAGGTATTTTTCAGCTGGATATTTTTACTTAAGGATCAAAATCTGACTCATGCATTAGTAAAGGATTGTATTTTTTTTTTTAATGAAAGAGTGTATATTGATGTATGTAATTTCTTGAAATAAATATGTTTACAAACAGTACACATTTTCTGGTTATGTCACGCCTTCCGCCTCCCCTCCTTGTTCGTGCAGGTTTCGACGTTCGTCGTCACCGGCTTACTAGCTGCTGCCAATCCATTTATCATCACTCCACTTGTCTTGTCTAATTAATCACACACACCTGGTCCTTATCCCCAATTAGTCATTGTATAAGTGTACCCTCTGCTTCCTTGTCTGTGTGGGTGATTGTTTGTTGTGAGCTGTGTGTAGCTCGGTTGAGCTACCCTTACCTTGTTGTTGCCAAGGTAGATATTTCCCCTGTGCCTGAGTTTTGTTGTCGCATGCTTGCGCAACTGTTTATCGACGGAATACATTTTTTGGATGCGTTTTACTCTCCTGCGCCTGACTCCTTCTATCACACGCATCACAGAATCACCCACCCGCTATGGAGTCAGCGGGAGAAGAGCGCATGCCTGGAGTCTTGGCACGGGTCCAGGAGCACTCCACAATGCTGGCCAGCTTGGAGGAAGCGATGGATCGGGTTCTTCAGGTAGTCCAACGTCTGGAGAGGAACAGACCCGATCTGTCGAGACCAGCTGGCCAACCGGATCCAGCCACCTACACCCCAGCACCAGGAGGGATCCAGATATCCCGACCACGGGCGTTTGAGGGGACAGTGGCGCTGTGCCAGGGATTCCTCCTCCAATTGGAGCTTTACTTCGCCAGCATCAGGCCGGCACCGTCGGAGCGGGAGAAGGTGTCCGTCCTCATTTCCTGCCTCTGTGGGAAAGCCCTGGAGTGGACCAACGCGGTGTGGAACGAGGGAGGAGCCGCGTTGGAGGACTACAGGGAGTTCGCTCGCCTCTTTCGGGCGGTATTCGACCACCCGCCCGAGGGACGAAAGGCGGGTGAGCGACTGGTCCACCTGAGGCAGAGGACGAGGACCGCGCAGGACTTCGCATTGGAGTTCCGGACGCTGGCAGCGGGGTCCGGGTGGAACGAGTGGGCCCTGATCGACCATTTCCGGTGCCATCTGCGGGAGGACGTCCGACGGGAGCTAGCCTGCCGGGACACCGTGTTGTCCTTCGATAAACTGGTGGACATGGCCATTTGGTTGGACAACCTGCTGGCAGCCAGAGGACGTCCTGGTAGGGGTCTGCCCGTTTCCACCCCGGAAGACTCGGACCTCGAGCCGATGGAGCTGGGTGGAGCCGCCGGCCGAGAGAGCGGAGGAGGACAGCGACAGTGCCACTCTGGTGGCACGACGGGACATTTCACCACACATCGTAGTCAACGTTCTTTTGGGCCTGGAGGCGGCAGGCAGGGCACTCTCACATCACCCCAGGTATCGAACACCCACACTCGTTCAGAGCCCTCTGCTGCGCACTGTAAAATACTTGTCTCCTTTCCAGAGCACATTCGCACACCATATAGGCATTTCATTAGTTCCCCTATCCATTCCACGCCCCATCAGAGCACTTGATAGTCGACCATTAGGGTCCGGGTTGGTTAAGGAAGTTACTGCACCAGTCACCATGATTACCCAGGAGAATCATTGTGAGCAGGTGACTTTTTCCATTATTGAGTCTCCTGCTTTCCCTGTGGTATTAGGTATCCCTTGGCTAGCACTCCACAACCCCACCTTCTCACGGCCGCAGAGGGTTCTCACGGGGTGGTCGCGAGAGTGTCAGGGTAGGTGTCTAGGTGTTTCCGTTGGTGCAACCACGGTGGAAAGTCCAGACAGTACCTCCACTGTGCGCATTCCCCCTGAATACCTAGATTTGGCGCAAGCGTTCTCTAAAACGCAGGTGACTAAATTACCACCTCATCGGGTGGGGGATTGTGCGATAAACCTCCGGGTAGACGCTGTACCTCCCAGGAGTCATATATAACCCCTGTCACAGGCTTAAACGGTGGCTATGGAAACATATGTCACCGAGTCCCTGCGCCAGGGGTATATATACGTCCCTCCACTTCACCCGCCTCTCCGTGCATTGACTATCGACCACTGAACAAGGAGACGATTAGATTTAGTTATCCTAACCCCCTCATTCCGTCAGTGGTTGAGTCATTGCATGAAGCGCGCTTCTTCACTAAATTCGATCTCAGGAGTGCGTACAACCTGGTGCGTATCTGAAAGGGAGATGAGTGGAAGACAGCATTCAACACAACCACAGGGCATTATGAATATCTGGTGATGCCCTATGGTTTGATGAATGCTCCCTCAGTCTTCCAGTCCTTTGTGAACGAGGTGTTTCGGGACATGCTTGGTCGCGGTGTAGTGGTCTACATCGATGACATCTTGGTGTATTCCGCTACGCGCGCCGAGCATGTGTCCCTGAGGAGAATCAACATATAGGTTATTACTCCCCCCTGATTACCATATTAACCCCTCGTTTCATGTGTCTCTCCTCAGGCCGGTGGTGGCTGGTCCGCTCCAGGAGTCTGAGGTGCGGGAGGTCCCTCCACCTCCTTTGGACATCGAGGGGGCGCCGGCGTACTCTGTCTGTTCCATACTGGATTTGAGGCGCCGGGTGCTGGGTCCCGGTGAGGGATATTCTCGATCCCTCTCTGTTGAGGGACTTTCATCATCGCCATCCGACTCACCCTGCTCCGTGTCCTCCTGGCCGTCCCCGAGTCCGGTGTCGGCGCGCTACTGGAGCTGCGCGTCAAGTGGTTGGGTTCTGTCACGAATTTAGCCGAGGCTGCCCCTCCTCCTTGCTCGGACAGGTTTCGGCGTTCGTCGTCACCGGCTTACTAGCCACTACCGCTCCATTTATCATCACTCCATTTGTCTTGTCTTGTCAATCACACACCTGGTACTCATTCCCTCATTAGTCTGTGTATAAGTGTTCCCTCTGCCCCCTTGTCCTTTGTGAGTGATTGTTCATTGTGAGAGTGAGTAGCTCGGTTGAGCAACTCTTTCCTTGTATGTAGCCAAGGTGCTAGTTTTGTTTTGACGCTTGCTGCGCTTTATTAATGTACACTGAATAAACTCTGGATTTGGTGTTTTACTTCCTGCGCCTGTCTCCGTCATTCACACCTCATCACACAGACTGCAATGAAATGAAATGAAGAAATATCTTAACAATAATGGTATCTTCAACAAGTAGATGTAATTAAGTAGTAATAGTACTATCAACTCAAACTAAGTAGTGATAGTACTATCAACTCAAAATAAACAGCAATATCACTATCAACTCAAAATAAACAGCAATATCACTATCAACTCAAAATAAACATCACTATCAACTCAAAATAAATGTAGCTCAATTGGTAGAGCATGGCGCTTGTAACGCCAGGGTAGTGGGTTCGATCCCCGGGACCACCCATACGTAAAAATGTATGCACACATGACTGTAAGTCGCTTTGGATAAAAGCGTCTGCTAAATGGCTTATTATTATTATATTATAAACAGCAATATCACCATCAACTCAAAATAAACAGCAATATCACTAGCGGCATTTGTAAATGCCCTTTCCCACCTGGACAAAAGGAACACCTACGACATACCATAGGTACAGCAAATTTCCCTTATTGTATGGGACACCTTTAAATGTGCCTTTAGAGGCCATGCAATTCAGTACTCATCTTGAAAACAAAAGCATTTTAGGTCAAAAGAGTTTATACTAACAAAGGAAATAGAAAGTCTAACAGAACAGATAGATGGCAATAAAAACTGTAACATAGAGGCTCAGAATAAATTAGAGGAAAAACAAAAAGAAATGGAGAAACTTATTCTAGAAAGATCAAGTGTACTATATTATAAAAATAAAGCAAACTGGATGGAATATGGGGAAAAATGCAAAAGGAACACCTACGTGAGAATGCTATTCATTGACTGCAGCTCAGCGTTCAACACCATAGTGCCCTCAAAGCTCATCACTAAGCTAAGGACCCTGGGACTAAACACCTTCCTCTGCAACTGGATCCTGGACTTCCTGACGGGCCGCCCCCAGATGGCAAGGGTAGGTAACAACACATCTGCCACGCTGATCCTCAACACGGGGGCCCTTCAGGGGTGAGTGATCAGTCTGTGTGGTGCCAGGATAACAACCTCTCCCTCAACGTGATCAAGACAAAGGAGATGATTGTGGACTACGGGTAAAAGAGGACTGAGCACGTCCCCATTCTCATAGACGGGGCTGTAGTTGAGCAGGTTGAGCGCTTCAAGTTCCTTGGTGTCCACATCACTAACAACTACCCAGACTATTTGCATTGCCACCCCCCCCCCCCCCCTCTTTTAGGCTGCTGCTACTTTCTGTTGAGTATCTATACATAGTCACTTTAACTCTACCTACATGTACATATTACCACA